TGCACAGCAGGTCACCTGACCATCCAATCCTTCCAGCAGGTTCCAGCACATGCCAAGGTATACCAGCTACTTCCATGTCATAAAGGCTTAGTCATGTCTCTTGACCAAGCAATGAGCTAGTACCCTGACAGTCCTGTTGCCTGGGGAATCCTAGTAGTTGCCATGCCAAATATCCAGGTAGGGTCAAGACTTGTTGCTGGGGTGTGTTGTCTACATAGTGAGGGTCCATAGTGCTGCGCAATGGTCTCTAAGGCCTGAAAATGGCTGTTGGCCTGACACACCCTGCCAGAGGTGGGGTTGTTCAGCAGTGGTAAGACAATTATGCAAGCCAGCCTGACCATCTTGACAGACAACAGAGCACTGCGGAAGCCATCTTTCTGCACCTGCAGGAGGGTGGGCTTGCTGCTCAATGCCAAATGAGGTTGAGAGGTGAGAAGTTTGTCTACTGTTTGTGGTGTTGGTTTGGAGGATGAGCCTGATTTACTTAGTGAGATCCTAGCTCTGTTTGTAGGAATAAAATGTTACACACCTGGATTTCCTTCTTCCGTGGCTTCAGCAGACATCCCTGCAAGCACAATATCCATGGATGGACCAATATCTGGATGGACAGTGAGCATGGATGGGATGTTGGACAGATTGGTGCATACCTTCTTCTCCTTCAACATCTAATGCCCTCTCTTTCCCCTTCTCATCCGGAGACATGCCAAATCATGTGGCAGCATCTTGGAACCCAGTAACAGTGGTGGCAAATGGGATAATGCTCAATGGGCTCAGATATGGCATGGGGATGGAGGTTGGATGGGTGGGTGTGGGAGGGGTGGACATTTAATGGGTGTGGGAGGGAGCAGTGGGAGTGGATGGGGTGAGCACTGTGTGAGCAGTTTCTCAGTCTTGGCCCATTGCTTGAAGGAAGCACAAGGCTGAGAACAGGTCCTTGTGCTTCACAAACACTAACATGCAGGCAAACACTGCCCGAAGGAAGCGTGAGGCTGAGAACAGGTACTTGCGCTTCACAAACACTATCAAAAGGGGCACTTGAGGGAGAGGGCAAGTTTGAGTTTGAGTTCAAGGTGTGAGGAGGTGCTGTCTTGCATGCAAGCCCACCAAGTGAAGCAACCTGTGAGGTTTTGCTTCACTTACTTGCTGAACCTCTCTGAGAGAGGCCTGAGCGAGAAGGGGGCTGAGAGGAGGGGAGGGGAGGGGAGAAGGCATTGAGGAGACCAGCAAGGACAGCAAAGATGGGGGGGAGGATGATGAGGATGCTGATGACAATGGTGGTGGTGGTGGTCAGGAGGAGAGAAGCAGTGGTGGTGGTGTGGAAGAAAAAAAAACTTTGCAGAAGATGGATGACACATCCCCCATCTGCATCTGCTGGAAGCAGATGGTCATGTGACGTCCCCGGAAAAGGGTCATCAATACTACCACAGGAGTCAGGATTGCACTACATAAGCATAATCACATGCAAATCATGTGACCTTAATCCCCACTTTGCAGGTGACTGCTCCCACATTCATTACATAAGCAGAGCATGTGATATTATGAGATTGACAATGACTAATCATAATCACATTTCAGTGTTTGTCTGGGGGATGTGTCATCTTTGCTTCTGCTTAATCACGTGATGCGGTGCCTTGACAATGCACAGCCCCATTCCCACTTGCTCCTGCGTGCATGCAAAAATTCCCACCACTGCTTCTCTCTCCCCACCACCACCATGACCATTGTCATCCCTGTTGTCCTCCTCATTGTCCTCCCCACCCTCCTCGTTGTCCTTGCCAGTCTCCTCAATGCCTTCTCCCCTCCCCTCCCCTCCTCTCAGCCCCCTTCTTGCTTGGGCCTCTCTCAGAGAGGTTCAGCAAGTAAGTGAAGCAAAACCTCACAGGTTGCTTCACTTGGTGGGCTCATGCTGAACAACCCCACCTCCAGTGGGGTGTGTCAGGCCAGTATTCCCATGGTTATTTTTGGGCCTTAGAGACCATTGCATGCCACTACAGGCCCTCACTACACAGACAACGCACCCCAGCAACAAGTCTTGACCCCCCCTGGATATTTGGCATGATGACTGCAGGTTTCCTCTGCAATGTGATTGACCCACATGGATATTCAGCATGCCAACACCTGCCTTGGAGAGGTATCCAGAGACCAGTTTAGTATAGAGTACAGTTTATAGTAGCTAGTATAAGTAGTTCCTAGAAACTCCTGTACTTAGCTTATTCTGCCCCTTTTCTGTTAGCATTATATGGACCTGATTATCCCCTTATTGGGTAGGCAGATTTGACTTGACTTAGCAGATTTGACTGGACTTATTGTGACTTGACTAGGTGGACACCAAGCTCTGATTATTGCATACCGACTTTTGACAGCTCAGCAACAGGCTGACTCCAGTGTTTCTACTGATTTCCCCCTTCTCTCCCCCCTATTCCTAGTGAGTTCTCACACACCACCCATCAGACTGACTTATTTGGACCCCTGATATTTCGGACACCTTTTGAGTTGGATCACCAGGAAGGCACCATTGACCTGACTTTGCCACTGCCAGAGCCTGCACCCATCACTGTCAAGCTGCCATCCTCCCCTGCCTGACTTCTGCTCCTGGAGGTGCTGGACAAGACATGGCCTGGGTTGTGGACTTTTAATGAAGTCATGCACAACATCACCTGCATCCGTAGCTATACGGACAAGGCTACACCAGGCCATGTTCTTTGGGGGCAAGCCTTCAAGCAGGTGCATGGATTTGATGGCAAGTACAAAACTTGGTATAAACATGCCAAGTTGTTGGAGTCTGCCTGCCTGAAGAAGCTCATCAAAAGGTTCAGTGAATGGCCAGGGAGTACATGGGCAAGGTTCCGGCTGCGTGCCCGGAGGAAGAATGACAGATGTCTGAAGGATGGCAAGGTGGAGATGAACAAGCTGGCTTGGTGGGTGGAGTCAGATGAAGAGGGAGAGTAAGAGAAGGGCCATGAACTGTAGTCATTGGTGAATTGACTGTGTAGAAATACAATAGATGGGCTTGGAGGTGATGTCCTCCAAGTCCTTTGTTTTTCTTGCTTTCTTGTGTAGTAGTATAAATTAATAATTACATGACGTCTAGATAGAGCACTAACTAATTGTATCTATCGGACTTACACGTTCGGTGTTAGGCTGCACCAGCTATTGAATTGCTGAGCAATGCACCCTCCGCTGATGTCATTGCGCCCCCTGACAATGGCCCAAGGCAAAGCATAGCGCCATGCCATCGGTTCGGCTTTGTTCGTGCGACTGGCTACTTTACTGTTCATGGTCTATCAGGCGAGAATGGATCAACTATCGCCCCGGGATCCGGACGGTCGCTCTGGATCTCAAGCACTCGGAACGCCTTGACAATGCCGACGGAGTTGCCGAGCCTCAGCGGGGCTTAGCGAGTGCTGATTTGACGACCTTGCCTGACCGAGGATGCTTCTTTTGGTGTTACGGCAGTCATCGGCACTAAAGAGAGCACCTTTATCGACGTCGCTTTGTCATCTTGGCACTGTCGGGGTTGGTGAGCGTGGGTGGATTTCCGTGCGGTGTGGAGACGGTACATAAGTACAATGGCGGTTGAGGCACAGAAAGGTACGCAGGTTTACTCATCACTTGTGTACTATTATCCTTATACCCCTCCTTGCAAGCTACAGTGCATATACGGTCTCGTGCAAGTGTGGGAACTCAGTTTATCCGTACTCCCTTTCAACCTCAAATCCTGAAAAGCGAATCAGTCAATATTGCGATACCATATTCTACTGACATGTCCCATTTCTCATAGGTCCTTCTCATCTTCTTCTCCATCCGGGATCATCCCTTCCCTCATGGTCGAGTTCGATATGTCCGAAGAGCTCGCCACCTTGACAATAGCAATTTTTGTCGTAGGCTACTGCGTCGGCCCTCTGCTATGGGGACCCCTTTCCGAGTCGTACGGACGACGACCCATCTTCATAATCGCCTTCGTATTTTACACCATCTGGCAAGTAGCTGCGGCGCTCTCCCGCTCTACCGGGCAAATTCTCGTCTTCCGCTTCCTGGGCGGTACGTTCGCCGCCGCACCGCTGACGAATGCGGGTGCCGTGCTGGCGGACATCTGGGATGCCGATACGAGAGGCGAGGCAATGGCGATCTTCACGCTGGCTCCGTTTGCGGGACCCGCCTTGGGTCCTATCGTCAGTGGGTACATGAGTGTCGCGCATGTGACTTGGCGATGGCTCTTTTGGTTGTTGAGCATCTTCGCAGGTGCGTGTACGGTAGCAATCATCTTCTGTTTGCCTGAGACGTATACGTGAGTCGCATGTGCTATCATTCAAGGCTCAAGATGATATTGATACCGTTCACAGGCCTGTTCTGCTCGTCTCACGAGCCAAGACCATCCGCCTGAAAACGGGGGAGACGCGGTACTTCGCCGCCCTAGAACGTGCCGAAGTGTCTCTGCGGAAGCGGCTCTCCCTCGTCCTCGGACGTCCGTTCAAGATCCTCTTCCTCGAGCCCATGCTCATCGCCATTACAATCTACATGTCCTTCGTGTACGGTTGCATCTACCTCCTCTTCGAGGCTTTCCCAGTCGTTTTCAGGGACACGGGATGAACTCCGGCGTTTCAGGGCTGATGTTCCTGCCCCTCTTCCTCGGAGGATGTGCAGGAGTGGCACTCTACATCTGGGGGTTCAATCCTCGGTATGAACGATTCATGCGCATGTGTGATCCTCGCCCAGTGCCGCCGGAGCGCAGGTTAGAGATGGCCATTGTCGGTGGCCCGTTGTTCGCCATCAGCTTCTTCTGGTTTGGATGGACAAGCTACCCGAGTATCTCCTTCTGGAGCCCCATGATGGCAACTTTCCCCCTGGGAATCGGAATCACACTTATCTTCCTATCACTGTTCAACTACATCATCGACGCTTACTTGCTGGTTGCTGCCTCTGCCCTAGCGGGAAGCACCGTCGTGCGGAGCTCCTTCGGTGCGGGGTTCCCGATGTTTGCTACCCAGATGTTCGATAAGCTCAGCCCAAGATGGCCAAGCACACTCCTCGGGTGCATCGCACTCCTTATGATTCCCATTCCGGTGATCCTGATGCGCTACGGTGCCTTCCTAAGGCGGAAGAGCAAGTACTCCCCAACGGACTGAGCGCCGAGTCGATAAAACACGTGGACTCTTGGCGTGCTGGAGACACTCTGAATAGTCTCCATACATCGATCGCAGTAACTCAGAGCACTGCTTCTCTTTGGACACACATGTAAAGTAGCATCAGTGCAATCAATGATTTGAGATTTTGACATGTTGACTCCGCAAATCAATGACGAACAATGCGCCACGCCACTTTAATCCGTTATACCTTTCCAGAAGACATTACAGCGATGTGGTGCCCAGTGTGGTCCGTGCTTTGTGGAACGTGTGAAGTTGCGAATTCGTCTGGAATGACGCAAATTCCAGTGGGGCACATCCCTGACGCTCAGCTCCTGTACCGCTCTCCACACCTTCTCAGCGTCGACATGAAATCCGCTGCGCCGTACAGCTCCGGTATATGTTGCGTAGCCTTCATAATGCCTCGTCATGACAGGAATATTGCACCCACTTTGATCCACAATACCCACCAGAGAACGTCCCGACTGCTCGAACCCTATCGCCTCTAACATCCGACAATGTCCGCAGTACACGAGTTCGACCATGAAAGGCGCTCGACCAGCAGCGACGACTCTTTCCCTGAGCCAGTGACTCCACCCTACCTGACACCAATGAGTTCATATATGTATTCGCCCTCCAACGTCGACGCAGGTGTGTTAGATATCGGAGACAGGTCGCCAAGCGTCACGTCTCTCCCCTTAGGCCCGCTTATCACGGTTGACGGACGAACGCAGCCTGCTCAAGACGATCCTAATGCAACAATGCGGCAGAAGAATATTCCTGGATATGGATATCAACAAACATCCCCAACGAGATTCTTCGAACCTTTCCCTGAGGGACCAATCCCTGCAGAACAGTTCCGGCCGAGAAGGGGGTTCATTCCCTCCATCCATGTGCCTCATGAGTTCGCCCTTATCACACTATCGGAGGGCAACTTAGTCCGAATGCTTGGGTTTGATGAAGGGGCGGTTGGTGCTGTAAGAGAGGTGCTGAGCAGTCAGGAGGGAGAGAAGCAGGGTGTGAGGTCGGAGAGAAGGGGGAAAGAAGCACAGCATCCACAGAGAAGAAAGAGCACTGACAGCGCTAGAGAAGGCAGAGTCCTGTCACCCGTGAATGTCGCTGCATCGCCCGTTGAGGGGGAGATGATCGAGTGGTGTCTCGAGGGCAAACCTTGGAAAGAACGGAAGAACAGGTATGTCTCTGCTCTCTGTTGACAGTGGTGTGAGCTGACGATCGCTCCAGTTCAGAGATATTCTTTACCTCGGTGATCAGCACACTTCTCAAACACTCTTATCACTATGTCTCTCCCTTGAATATTTCAGCACCGGGTTCACCTTTGCACTTCTCTGGCATCTTCTCTCGCTCGATCGAGCCTACGGAGGAACGCAGATGCGCCTTCAGCGTCTCTTTCCCGGCCGCGAATATCATACGTGTGATCGGAGCGCCTCGCGAATCAACGCCTGGTATCTTGGCGGTCGTGAGACAGGGATGGGGCCAGCGGCTCAAAGAGGAAAAGTCGGAGATTGGAGCGTGGGAAGGCAGATTGAAAGGACCAGGCTGTAGGCTCTTTCTTCATACATTGGAAACGATTCTGAGCACCACCCAGTGTTTGGCGCTGTCCCAGAACCACCAGGGCCAGAGGTCGTGCTCGAAACGCTCGCCGCGTTCAACAGGCAAGGTATCGAGCTCATGACGCTTGTGCGCCTCGCTGGTACCGAAATGTGGCTGTTTGATTGTCCCGCAAGCAAGGAAGAATCGATGACGATATCGACCTCAACCTGAGACTTGGTACCACGGCCATGTGTTATTCTTGGATGGTACAACATGAATAAGTGTATGATAGTACTAGTAATTACCCACATTAACGGTATATCTTGTTTATACGTATTACCATGAACGAAGTCCTTGTTCCTGCATTTCTCTCTCATCTCGTAACCGATGCGTCAATAATGTCCGGTCAGTGCGGCTTTTCTGTGCCTTCGTCTAGAAGGATAAAATCGGAGACCGAATCGAGTGTAATCGTTTGCTACCCAACCAAGCAGATGCGCTTGTGTAATGGTTGCGTCCTCGAATGTTGCACGTCCCCGCTGCTCTAGTTTCGCACCCACTTCCGGACTGACGTACGGGCAGTTTCGTAAATGTAGTTTGATGTTCGGAGCGAGAGTTTCACCAGTTATCGGATCATCGAGGAAGCTGAGCGCTTGTAGATTCGAGAACTGACAGCGGTCGATCGTAAGGTGCCTTAGGGCCGATATCGTTTCCGCAGGAAGAGATCGGAGAAGTTTAACCACATCGGTTGGACATGAATAGAGGACGAGATGCTCAATAGTCGGGAATCTAGCAAGGAGCATCGCAACGCTCCACTCCGGATATGCACCAGAGAGTGTCAGTTCAGAGGGGGATGATTTCCATGTCAAGCGGGATAGGATTTCGCTCCAAGATAGACTATATTCCGTGTTGAGGATAGTTAACCGTTCGAGGGCAGGCACACCGAACGGCACGTCGATGAATGTGTACAACGCATAGGAGTCGAGTGTGAAGTCTTGCAGCAGCGGGAGGGCGAGAGGCACCCTGTCCCCTTCTGGCGGAATATGGGTGATCCAGGTGAGGCCGCCAACTCTCAAGGATCGTAATGCAGGGGTAAATCGCAGGAGAGTATGAAGTTCAGGCGAACTATTGAAGTGGGTGTTCTCGAGGGTGAGATCTTCCAGATAATGGAGTGTTCGCCACCATGAGATGTCGAGACGAGGTGAATGCGGAGCATCCATATAGACCAGGCCAAGGTTGAGCGTGCGAATTCGCTCAAAGTGTTCCTCCAGTGAGAGGATCACGAGGGAAAGCACCGAGGGATCCGGAGAGCTGATAGCTATTGATACATCGAGACGCTGATAATGCGATCTTGCAAGTGATACGGATATTCGCAGTAGTTCGGCATGGACGCAACTGTTACGGTCATCGAAAGTTACGTGTCTCCAAAGTGCGGACGTCGTGATGCATATAGCTCGCCAGGAGCGGCAGACGGAAGACAGACGTCCAACGGCCTTCTCTCGATCAGCGCGGCTGTCGGTTTGCGCTTCCAGCCCGTCAAGGGCGAAAAAGATGTCACGCCATATCTCGTCTGGAAGGTCGGCGGCCAACGGCATGATGTTGATGGGGTATGATAAGGTAGAGCACATTGATGATAGCTGCCACTTGGGGAACCACAATTAGTCCCTTTCCACAACACCATTGACAGTAATCTCACAGTTATTTGCCAGCCGGTCCACCCGGCTAAGAGCTTATATGCCAAATGTTGAAACGTGGTGGTCGTCGGGGATAACCGCCATGACCATGATGCGCCACCCGGGGAGTCGCGAAGGAGGGGATATCTAGGCGCTCTGCCCGATGAGGAAGGCGACAACGAGGCGTCCATGCTGCTCACACCGTTCTTGCTCCTGCATCGCGGCCCAGGCGAGGAACGCTCACATTTTCCACCGACATTGGAAGACGTCGCTATCACCCCATACGTAAACTGGTTTGGTAACCCTTTCCTTTCTCGTCGACGATTACGACCTTGGACCCTCCACGGTGCCGGCACTACTAGCGCTTGCTCGTTGTGCCCAGCAGGAACGTGAATGACGAGCAAACCACGTCGTGGTGCGTTCAAGCGAGGGGACTCCGCTACCAGTAGTCCGACTGCCTTTGGACGACTTGATTTATGCGGATCCAACATCATCAGGTTGGTTGGCTTTCCGCTGGATGTCCTCGAGGGACTGCAGCCGGTGCTCAGAGGTGACGATGGACGCGGAGTTCTCAATGTGAAGAAGTATACGAACGAGAAAGGCGAGAAGACTGCAGTGCTGACGCTGCTCGGAAAACCATGGACGACGGACTGTGGAAATGTCAGGTACGCATATACGCATGTATCATCCAGGACTCTGGAGCTGAACACTCCCTTCCGGTAGCACGGATATCCTTCTGACAGTGATATGCGGACATCTCCACAAGCATCTATTTCAACCTACAACTGGTCTTCCACCGCCTAGAACAACCCCCCCAGTTCATCTCAGCATTACTTTCAAGCGCCCTGTTCATCCTCCTTCCGACGCGCCGAGGACTCGTTCTGTCTTCGCCATTTCCTTTCCAACACCGACTCTTGTCCGGACGGTCAGCATTCCAGCGGTGGATGAGCCTCTAATTTTCACGGAGATATTGGGCCTGTGGGGAGGGGAAGTGCGGGACTATAGATCTCTTGCTGATGGGTGTTATGACATTCGTCTGAGGCCAAGACGCCGTGAGTCATCATTTAATTACCTCACACATTAAGCGCTGACAGAGAACAGTGTTCTCTTCCAACTCTGTTGGGGATAACCAGACCCCTCTGAGCGCTCTCATCGAGTATCTTCATAGCAAAGGCTTTCCATTGATCCATTCCCTGCACTTTCATTCCAAGTCACCATACCCGGACTTCTTTCTCTTTGATTGTCCCGACGGACCAGTTCGTGAAGATGCCGATCCAGCATATGTCAACCATGTACTGACTGCTCAGGATGGTTATTATCCAGATCTCGTCGTCGAGAAGAAGACGAAAGTTAAAAAAGAACGTGGTCCGCCTACTGTCGAACCGAAGAAAGGATTATTTTCATTTCTCCGCGGCCGACGTTCTTCAAATCCCAACCCTACCATCGCCCCCGCTGCTGTTGCAGCGGTTACGGACTTTCACTCTCGTCACTCCTTGGACAGCAGACCGGATGCGTCCTCTTTCTACGCGAATGGTGTTGCGGAGTCGTACATGACACGTCGCGCTTCCGATCCTGGCACGGTCAAACAGACGACAAAAGCTACCCTCGTCGAAATGATTGACAAACCTCCCACAATTCGGTCGAATGAGGAATGGCCCATACAAGCTGAAAGTACTCGAGCCCCACGTTCTGGAGCTACCTCACCCCCCATGATGAATACGAATGCAGTCGATCAGAAGGGGAAGGCAAAGATCGTCGAGATTGAAGAAGAACATGACGTCGATTCACAAACCAACGGATGGGGTGGCTTCAAGGGGGAGCCCCTAGATGAAGAACAAGCGCCGAAGGAAAAGAAGTCGAAGAAGAAGGGAAAGGACGCAAAGAGCGGTCGCAGCTCTCCTAATGGCGGGGAACAAGGAATGCCTGGCATCCAGCAAACTATGACGGTTGGAAGCGAGCAGAACGGTGGATGGGGAGACGGAACTAATGGATGGGACGCGGCCAACCAAGAGAACGGATGGGGTCCAGGAGCAACGGAAATGGGCGACACAGATGCTGGATGGGGCGCTTCAAACTCCGATGCAAATGGCGGCGGTTGGGAAGGTGCAGGACATGCCGACAGTGTCACCTCTGGGGCTGGTCCTTTGGGAGCACTTGGGACATCTAGCCCTGGGAAAAGTGTCGCGAACGAATGGAACGGCAGCACAGCAATGACATTGGGTACCATCGAGCCCGATATCAAGTCTGTCAAGTCTGCGAAGAGTACTACTGGCAAGGCGACCATCCCCAACGGCAAAGTGCTCCCCCCCGCCCCCAGCGAAGAACCTGCAGATGCCCTGAACGGGAATCAGGGTAGGGGCCGAAAAGACCAGAAAAGTACTAAGGAGAATAAGGGAGGGTCCAAATCGAAAAGTATAAACCAGAACATGTCGGATCGTCCTGTCACATTCAGTCCTGGGTGGCCTGACCCCTTACCCCCGCCTCGCGAGTCGACTATCGCAGCGAATCGGAGCCACAAAGAGAGTCGACCTAATCCGTATGGTGCTCCCGTCCCCTCCAAGCCTTCTTTCTATTGGACACCGTCCGAATCTGTCAGTGACATGCATCCTCGAAACGGGATTCAAGATATTGGTTCGGTCATAAATGGCGTATTCGTGCCCGCGGATCGACCATCACCAGCCGTCATCCAAGCTGCGAGTGCGTTCATTCCACCGAACAACAAACTTATAGCGAACGGTGGTTTATTTGGTCCCAATACACCCACACCAGAGGCTGCGGAGAAGATGAGAAAGGAACACGAGGAGAAAATGAAAGCAGAAATGGAGAAGCTTGAAGAAATGCAAAAGAACCAGGCATGGGCTGCGGCTGTATCAAATGGAATGAGAGCCGAGATGGAGAGGCAACTTTATCTTCAGAGCAGGGGTATCAATCTGGTCGACTACTTCTCTCAGCACCCGGACACTGGCTTTCCGGGATATATGCAGCACCAGGCAGCTGCTAATCGAAGACAGGACGTTCATTGGCAGGGGCCGCGGCAAGGCGCTCCTCAGTCAAATCAGCAGAAGAATGAGAAGAAAAAGAGTAGGAAAGGGGATCAATACGCAAATTACGAACAGCCCGGGGCTGAGGCTGGGTATAGCGGCTACCCCTGGACAGACACAACTGCTGGGCCCCCGGGTCCATCGGAATATGCGACAGATTGGGGTAACGCTAGCCATGGACTCCAACCTTACGGTCAGGATCCGGCACAGAAGCACAAAAGTAAGAAGGGAAAGAAAGGTCAACAGGAAGGGGCCGATCAGCGGACAGGGTATTCGTGGCAAAACGGCGCCGCTGAGGGACTCTCGTTCGGAGGCCACGGCCAGTTCTTTGGCCATGCTCAGAATCCAAATGATTGGGGTACTCCGGCCGGTCCTGCTCTAAATTCAGCCCAGCATATTGGTTGGGATGAGCAAGCAGCTGACGGCAAGAATAAGGGGAAGAAGAATAAATCGTCCAAGAAGCAGCGCAACTGGCGTGACGAACAAGTCGATCCATATAACGCCCAAGGCGAGGGTTGTGGTGCGTGGGGCTCGCAAATGCAGAATGACCATGTGCAGTATGATGCTTCTGGAAAGAATCACGAACCGAGCCAAAGCCCGGGTGGATGGGGCGGAGCTTCACATGGCGATTACGGTGGCTTCGCAGCAGACCCAAGCAGCGGCTGGCCAGCAGAGGATCAGGTGGCCGCAGACGCTGGAAAGCAAACCATATCGAAAAGAGGTGGTCCCCTTAAAGGCATTCTCAAACTTTTCCGGCGTGGTTCCAAGAAACAATCGGGCAACTATGCAAGCAACGACTGGGCAGGCCAGAGTGATTGGGGTGCTCCAAATGTTCAGGTTCAGGTCGAGACACATACACAAGCGCAAAAGACTGATTGGAGTACGTGGCCCGCTGCTGGAGAACCCAGTGGTGTTCAAGGCGGACATGCCAGCGGATACGGTGGTGCTGCTCCCAATCCTGGCTGGCCTGGCTCACTGACTGCCACGGGCGGTGGAGGATGGCCAACGGGGGCTACGAATCAGGTTCAAGACCCAGGCTGGGAGCAAGGCGGTATGTCAACCCATCGAGGTCAAGATGGGGGCTGGGTTGATCTGGCTGCTATGGCAATGTCCCAAAATGATGGCGGACACTGGTCTCAAGCCGCCACATCTACGCATCGGGGCCACCAAGGAAGAAGCTGGGATCAGACAGCAAATGGCCACCCTCCGTCGATGCACCACGGCCAGGGCGGTTTTATGCCACAAGCGAATGGCCCCCCAGCTCAGTCACTATATCGTGGGGGAGGCGGATACGGAAGGTCCCCAATGCCCGGCATGAGGCCTGCCCTCGATCCCAATGGATTTTTGGCAGCAGAAAATGAGAAGTGGGCTGCTCGCGTTCCACAGAACCCTACTGCCAAAGCGCTTATGCAAGGCTTGCAAAATGGCCACTCTCGCCAGCCGGCTGAGCACGCCTACTACAGGCAACAGCACGAGAGCGCTCTGGAGGACTCCGACCCTAGCGATGGGCATCACGACCTTGAAGAAAACATTGGCGATTTTTTGACGAGACTGGAGGACGTGGCAATGAATCAAGCGGCAGCCTCGAAGTCTAGACATCCTCTCAGGCGACAACAGACGGGTAGGAAGAGGCATTGAAAGAGAACCATAAGATTGATTCGATGTTTCCCTTATACTCAGCAACGTGTTGTACAAGATATTTTTCTATTCTGTCTCCTTTTTCTTCATCATGGGTTTATGTATTTTCAGATTGGGAGATTGTGTAAATAATTATGGTAAAACACCAATGTTTCTGGGTTGCGGAGGTGAAGACAGACCGTTCGTCAACACTGCCACCTGGGGGGTTGGAACTCCAGGTCTGAGCTGATATCTCATAGTATTATTATTTCGTGACCATTGAAAGAATGGATATATGGACAATATTCGCCATTACAACGTACGGCACCGAGCATTGTGCGCCTGAATGTCGCTTGACGAGGGTAAATGCTGCATTACTCGACATGACTCGACCAGCCCCACACATGCGATCCTTTCCATTTCCAGCGACAACGGTACCCTGACCATTGGACAATGAGGGCGCTAACCCTGGGCAAAATGCCCCGCACGTCCTCGACTGGTAAAGTCAGACGGCGATATATAAACCTAGGATATGCTGCAGGCTGAGCGCCAGATTATCTGACGACAATGCCTCCCCAAATCATTTGCACTTCCCAGCAATCTCGGTAAGTCCCTCCTGCTCTGCTCTGCGCATGCCCGGCTAGCCCGATCCCACAGGTTCCATACCGATACCCTCGCGACGTCGAATGAAATTGACCTCAAGAGCGTCAACATATCCATTGGGAAGACTGATCTGCTTGTCGACTGTCACCTGCGGCTCAAGGCTGGTGTACGATACGGCCTCCTTGGGAGGAACGGCTCGGGCAAGAGCACGCTTTTCACTGCGCTGAGGGATGATCTTATCCCTGGACTGCCGAGCAACGTCAAGATTACACTCGTCAGCCAAACGCTTGCGGATAGTTTTGGAGAAGCTGGGGAGGAGGGGTCAAAGCAGGATGACACGACGGTGCTCGATAGGGTTATCACGATGGATCGAGTGAGAACAAGGACGCTCAAGCAGTTTGAAGGTCTGTCACACTCTCCTTTCAGCACAGTAATCACTCAGATGTATGTACAGAACTTTCGGCCGCAGTCGAATCCCACTCTTCCTCTCAGATCCAACGCGCTGTCTCAGCTTTCGAACTCTTCAAGATCAGGGAGGACTACGAGAACAAGAAGAAGATTGCGATGCGCCGCTCTGGTGCGCGAGGGAAGGCAGCACGATTGGAAGAGGACAAGGCAGAGCTGCGATTGAAAGAGGCCGAGGAATCGTACGTCTATCACGTCCCGTCAACACCCACCCTGATCTGACGGAACAGGTTCGCGAACATGTCCCTCAACGTTGTTGTCGACCCACTCACCCAAGCGCTATCGCACATTGCCGACCTCCAGCAGATTCTCGAGTCTGTCGACTACCAGACTACGACCTCCCGTGCTGGATCTATCCTTGCTGGGTTGGCGTTCACCCCCGAGATGATCGCGGGGCCGTACAAGGACCTGTCAGGAGGCTGGAGGAGCAGGGCCGCACTTGCGGGAGCACTGTTGCTCCAGAGCGACGTTCTGCTACTCGATGAACCGAATAACTTTTTGGTGAGTTCCCTGTGTTGGGAGTTTAGGGAGTCCTGATTGTTGTGATAGGACTTGCCGACGACGATGTGGCTGGAGATGTTCCTCACCGAACAGGTTGACGGACGCACTGTCGTGATGACGAGTCATGACCAGGAGTTCTTGAACCGCGTCGTGGAGGAAACGATCTACATTCGCGGGCAAAAGCTGCGATATTTCGAAGGGTGCGCCTGTCGACCATTACTGTAACAGGATACATACTAACAGGCCTACGTCTAGCACTCCCCTCCAGCTCGAGATCTTCGAGCGCAAAGACCTGAAGCACAAGCAAAAGCAGCAAGCCGCGCTGGACAAGAAACGCGCGCACGTCGAGTCTTCTATCCAAAAAGGGCGTTCAAGCGCCAAGAAAACAGGGGACGACAACCGAGCGCGCATGGCCGCCCAGCGCCAGCGGAAGCTAGACGAGCGCTGGGGGTTGGAGGTGAACGCTAAAGGACACAGGTTTAAGCTTAATCGGGATTTGGTGGGGTATGCGCTTACGAGCCGTGCGGGTGTGCAATTCGAAGAGCAGGAACAGGTCGTGAGGCTCTGCTTGCCCGAGGCGCCCCAGTTGCGCACTACGGGGGATCTGGTAACGTTCGATAAGGTGTCGTTCAGGTATCCTAAGGCTAAGAAGCCGCTGCTGGAGGATGTGACCTTCTCACTGGCCCAAGGTGGGAGGATGGCATTCATCGGAGCTGTGCGTGACGAACGTCCACGTCCATGCATTACATTGGCAGAACTGACACACGGTAGAACGGACACGGGAAATCCACACTTGCGAACCTTATCGTCGGAGCTCTCAAGCCTTCATCGGGGAAGATAACGACCCATCCGCAGCTCAAGATCGGCCATTACGGGCAACACAGTGTCGAGTCCCTAACGCTCGGGACGCAAGGCACGCGCAAGACAGCGGTGCAGTATTTCCTGGACTACTTTGAGAAGCTTGGGGAGAAGGTGGAGGAGGGTGAGGCGAGGGCGTGTTTGGGCACTCTGGGGCTGGGAGGGAGGGCGATGGGCGAGACGCCTGTTGAGGGGTTGAGCGGGGGCCAGAAAGTCCGGTTAGCATTCAGCTTGATCGTCTTCCGTCCTCCGCCTCTTCTGTAAGTGCATCATTACCCGTGCCAACGGTGTGTGCCGGGCTGCGGAGTGCTGACCCGAACGGAAGGTTGTTGGACGAGATAACTACCCACTTGGATCTGGGGACGATCAGAGCGCTCGCACGAGCCTTGCGCAAGTTCACGGGCTCGATCATCCTGATCACACACGATCGTTGGTTCTGCAAGGTAGTTATCGAGTTGGCACCTTTCCGAGGGCGGGCGGGCGCTGGTTCAGATGAGGATGAGGATGAGGAGGATGAGGATGAGGATGAGGACGAGGAAGGGGAAGGGGAAGCGGAGGTAGGGGGGAAGAAGGGAAAGGTATACAGGGTTTGGAATGGCCGGGTCGGGTTACTGGAGGGAGGGATGGAGGAGTATGTCACTAAGGTTGAGAGGGGGATGACGAGGCGGATGAGGCTTGCTCAGGGGAAGTAACTCGCAACTCGCCGTCGCCGTCCATGATTGGCATTGGGAGTAGTGGAGTTGTAGTGTTCGATACAGCTTTGCCCGCACTACTCACTCCTTACTCCTCACTACTCTACAGTATCAGTACCAGTATCAGTATCAATATCAATATCAATATCACTATCACTATCACTATCAGTATATTCCGCGCAACAAGTCCACAGTCTACAGTCTACCGCACTACAGCACGCACAAGCCCGTCAAGCCCTATGCAGCCCTATGAAGCATCATCATCTCCACCAAAACGCCAGGGCCAAAAGCAGTACAGAGCACTTCCTTTCTCTTGCTTCCTTTCCCCTCACTGCCGCCTGAACCTGAGCCTTCGTTACCGTCAGTGTCGTTGGCTTTGCCCTCACTCTTCCCTTTAGCCTCACCTTCAGCTCCGGCTTCGCCTTCGCCCTCACCTTCGCCCCCCCACCCCCTCATCCTTTCCAAAACCGCCAAAACCGTCGCACTAGCACAGTTCCCCCTCTCCCCATACACCTCCCAACTCGCCCTCATCCTCTCCCTGCCCAACCCCAGCGTGTCCTGTACAGCTCTCAATACCGCTGCTCCTCCGGGGTGGAGGGCCCAGTCTAGCTGCTCCGGGGGTGTAGGGGAACCGAGGGCAGTGAGCAGCGCTTGGAGCAGGGGGAGGAGGGAGGAGGATGCGAGGGCAGGGACGCGGCGGGAGAGGAGGGCCGTGTAGCCTGTTGATGTTAGGGGGACGGCGAGGTCTTGAGCGGAGGAGGGGAGGAGGACTGAGCTGTAGGCTTTGATCGTGTAGATCGGTTTCCATGGGGGGCTGCTCTTGTGTTGGTTGGTGGTGCTGGTGGAGGTGGGGGAGAGGCTGTCAGGAGTTGGACAGGTACTGACGACCACTGCACCCGCTCCATCTCCAAACAGCGTCACAGCCGGGTTTGCCTCTCCGAGGAGGACGAGCCTCTCGAGCGCGCTCCTGTAAAAAAGGCTCGCGCACTCGCTCGCCACGCAGAGGATGTTTGCCTGCTTACCGCAAGCGTGGGCTGCGAGGGCTAGCTGGGCTGCGTGACGCAGGAGTGCGACGCCCCCTGCGCAGCCGAGTCCGTGCAATAGGGTACGCTGGACACTGGAGGAAAGGGAGAGGGAAGTGGCAATGTATTGGTCGTACCCTGGGTTAGAGGAGCAGCAGACGGTGACGCATACCAAGTGGGTGATTTGGGAAATGTTCCCCGCCCAGGAGGAGATTGCTGCCCGGGCTGCGGAGGTGCCGAGGGAGACGCCGAGTGATAGGAAGAGGTCTGTGCTCGCTTCGATGAGTTTTGGACTGGAGGAGGAGAGGTGAGGGGAAGTGAGGGGGAGGGAGATGCTGCGTTTTGTGATGCCTGTGGAACGATTTATTGCGAGTGTTTTTTGGAGTCTGAGTAGTGTGAGTGGGAGAGGGGAGGGAGGGAGGGAGGGAGGGAGGACGTACGCTGGTGTAAGAGGATAGTGACGTAGTGCATAGTGTTCAAAGTCTTGTGGTGTTATTTGTTGTTGAGGGAAAGCACTGCCTATACCTACGATAGCGACTTGTATTGAAGAGGGTAATACGGTTATCCCAGGTGGGGATGTGTCAGGTGAAGGTATGTCGCCCATCAGAGGATAGATGATGGGATAGAAAGTAGAGGATGTAGAGTGTTATATACGCATTTCAGGCACATGGGGATGGCGTTCCTAGAGTATCCAATTAGGACAGAATGATCCTTCACAGTGGAACATGAATCGTACCACCAAGCGAACGCATGTGTCCCTCTAGGAAGGGAATGACGCATGATGAACAAAAAAGGTTTGCCGCTCAAGAACCCCAGAGGATATTATGGTCGATGAAGTACGGTCCACGGTCAATGCGCTCGGTTCACAGCAGGATGGACAGCGGCCGGTTAGTAAGCCAAGTGGAGGTTAGGGAATCGTCTTCCTTTTACAGCAGACTCGGTTTGGAGTGTGTGTAGAGGGGGAGGGCGAGTTTACTTCATCCGAGATCGGCAGGAGACAGAGGCAGATCGGTTGAGGAACTCGAATGCTCCCAATCGTAAGATGACGTTGCTTTGGCACACTCGTCTTGCTTCTCCCCAGTATGAGTGGCAGTGTCAGGCGCGCAATAGTCACGTGGTGTCACGCGCACACGCGTCAACAGAGTCCATTCCTGATTCACACTCACCGTCGCCCCTCATCTCCCATCCACCATGTCCCGCCGCCTCCCCGCCCCCGCTCTCCCACGCGCACGCGCACCTACCGTCCCCTCCTCCTCATCCTCTCGTCCCCGTCTCCCGCTCGCAAAGTCCACCGCCAGTCTGCGAAGCGCAGACCAGGCCCAGTCAAGGGGATCCACCCCCCTCCCACCTGTGTCCCACGTCCAGGCTATGGAGAGTCTTATGAGCCCGCAGAAGAGGGAAGGGGGGGATAACATTCAGGTTGCCGTTCGGTGCCGGTATGTCTCCTTTCTCTCAGAGTAGAGCTGCTCATTTTGCGTGCACAGAGGGAGGAACCAGAAAGAGATAGACGAACAATCACCGATCATCATCGGCTGCCCTATGCTACACTCTTCCCCTCCAGACCCACATGAAATTACCATCGAGACGGGTCACAGCGCCGGGTCTGTCCCCCTGCCCGGAAGCCTCATCTCCCAGTCTTCGAATACGAACACGCGTACATACCCGTTTGACCGTGTTTTTGGGCCTGAGGTAGACCAGGCGACGATCTACCAGTCTGTGGTCGAGCCTCTGCTGAGGGAGGTCCTGGAGGGGTACAATTGCTCGTTGCTCGCTTATGGGCAGACGGGGACAGGGAAGACCTATACCATGCAAGGGGACTTGTCACCCTCCCCTTTGACCGGAGGACCAAGCACGAACTCGGGGATGATCCCCCGCGCGCTTTCCGCGTTGTTCACTATCCTCGGAGAGACAGCCACGGACTGGAGCGTCAAGTGCAGCTATATCGAGTTGTATAACGAAGAACTCCGGGATCTGCTCGCCCAGGAACTCCCGGCTCCGGCGGGGAATGCACAGCCTATGAGCAGGGGGAAGGAGCTTCCCCCTGGGCTGAAGCTGTTTGAGGATGGGGCGAAGAAGGGGTGTGTGATTCAGGGATTGGAGGAGGTGGCGATCAAGGATGAACGGGATGCGATGCGCTTGCTGCTTAGGGGGAGCAAGCAGAGACAGGTCGCAGCAACCAAGTTTAACGATCATTCTTCGTGCGTTCTTCTCCAAAGAGCTGGAATGACATTGACCTCTCCTAGACGCTCACATTCAGTATTCACCATAACGGTGCACTCTACCTCTCCCGCTCCTCCCAAACTCGGCGTCTCCTCCCAGAGCGAGAACGAGTTCCTCCGCGTCGGCAAGCTCAACCTCGTCGACCTCGCCGGAAGCGAGAACATCGGGCGGAGCGGAGCGGCCGACAAGCGGGCGCGGGAAGCGGGGATGATCAATCAGAGCCTGCTCACTCTGGGCCGGGTGATCAACGCGCTTGTCGAAGGCTCCGCGCATGTCCCGTATAGGGAATCGAAGCTTACCCGTCTATTACAAGATTCTCTCGGAGGAAGAACGAAGACTACGCTCATCGCTACCGTCTCACCTGCGAAATCGAACCTGGAAGAAACGCTCTCGACGCTCGAGTACGCCCTCACGGCAAAGGCGATCAAGAACCGCCCGGAGATAAATCAGCGCATGTCCAAGTCCCAGCTCATAAAAGAATACAACGTCGAGCTCGAGCGGCTGAAAGCTGACCTCCTAGCGGCGCGGAAGATGGAAGGCGTGTGGGTGAGCAACGAGACGTGGGAAGAACTTACCCGGGATACGGAAACGCGCCGGACTGCGCATGTTGAGGCGACGCGGAGAGTGCTGGAACTGGAAGTGCAGATGAAGGCTTTGCAGACGGAGTTTAACGAGAGCTTGGCTTTGCTGAGCAAGAGAGACGGGGAGGTGCGTTCCGTTATCCTTCGTGCCATTCGTACCCGCCGGACGGTGTGCTGATTCTGGGGTAGCTCAAAGATGCCCGAGCACAGATGGCGAAAGACGAAGCTGAATTACGGGAAAAGGAGGCCGAGCTAGGAGCCTTACTCCTCCAGCTGCAGGAAGAAGTCGCCCTTCGCTCAGCGTACCAATCCTCCGAGACGCGCCTACAGGGGATCGCCAGCGAACTGACGAGCGTCCTCCGTTCAGGGCTGGAAGACGTCGATTGCCTGTTTGGCAAGGTGGACCGAAAACAGCGCGCGATCGTACATAATCGGAAGACGGTGAGTAAGCATGCTGCGCGCGTGGAGGAGGTGCTTGTAGGGGCGGAGGGAGATGTGGCGGCGTTTGTTGTCAAGCAGGATGAGGCGCTCGGGTTGGTGCGGGGGCTGCTTGGGGGGCTGAAGGAGCGTCAGGCGCAAGTGCGTTGGAGTGTACAGGACTTGGGGAGGAGAGCTGACCAGAGCGGTAGGCGTTAGAAGAACAGAGACTTTTCCTAGACTCGAGGCTGGACGCCTTAGCCCAGTATATGAGCACCATCCGGACGCAAGAAGAGCACACGAACGACGCTGCCTCCTGCATGCAAGCCAGTGTCGCTCTCGAAGGGGAACAAGCGCGACAGGACGTGAACCGGGTGCTGCTTACGCTGCGGGACGAAGTGCGGGCTAAGAACGCGCAGACTGCTGGGTTGCTGGAGGGGGGGTTGGAGGAGGTGAGGGGCATGCTGGAACGGGTTTGTGAGGCGCTGCTGGGGGTTGGGAGAGAGACGAGGGCGTTCGCGCAGGAGGAGAGGGTGTGCATCGACTTGGCCGTTCAGGAACAGTTGCGGTTGGCTGCTGCTAGGGTATGTTTGGTCTACGTTTCTACGTTATGTAATGGGAGACTGACCCTGCGTAGGAGGAGAGACTGCAGCAGCAGGTGGAGGCCCTCCGCACCCTTTTGGTCCAGCAGCAAGATACGCACCACAAGGAACTCGAGGCCCAACTCGCCCAATACAGGCAGAAGAGTTCCCAGGGGCTCGCAGCCGCGCTCGCCCATTTTGGGAAAGAGACCGCAGCCTCTATCAGCCAGGATAAAGAGGAGACAGGGGTGTTCACCCAGCTCTTGGAGGAGAGGGTGGACCGTGCGCGTGCGCATCAGACTTCTGCCGAAGGGTGGGAACGGGAGGCCAACAGCCTGCGGGAGGAAGCGCTTCTCGTTGTCGATTCTGTCAGCTCCACAGCGGGCACCGCCCTCGCCCACGTCTCGGCGGAAATGTCGACGTTGGTAGAAAGCCAGCACCTGACTGTCCAGCACCGGTTTGCCGCGCTGAACGAGGCGTTCCTTCTTGCCCACCGACGGGTGGAGGAGAGCAAGAGAGAGCGGATAAGGGCTACTGATGCACTGGAGGATACGGTTAGGGAATCATATACCGGGATGAAGAGGAAACGGGAGGAAGCGTGGGTGGTGGAGGAACGGGAGTATGAGGCTATAGATGGGCAGGTACGTGTTTTCCTCCTCTTGCACAGAGCAGAGCAGAGAGCGGTAACTCACTGGATGCTGGTACTAGACATCAGCTCTCCACACGTTAGCAGCCGAGTACCACACGACCCTCGCTTCCCATATCACAGCTGTTAGGAAACATAATAAGGCAATGGTGGAGCATGGCACTGCGGAGGATAAGCCAACGGGGGAGACGCCGGAAAGGAAAAGGTGGCGGTATCCCCAGGAGTGGGAACTGACGGGAGAGAGGGAGGAGGTGCTTGAGGACTGGAGGCGGCGTGCTGCTGCTGCTGCTGCTGACCAGGCGGGGGATGGCGAGGAGGGCGAGGATACGCCTGATTCGGCTCAGGAGGTAGAAGACACCTGCCCAGACCCGGTCCAAAAGTCGCTCACCGTCCTCCCCCTTCACCCTCCTATGACGGAGCTCTTGGAGGATGTCGTGCATATCCCGACAGCAGCTGCGACGGCAACGGCGGGGGCGAGGACGAAAGGGATCCCGAGAGCGTCGGCCCGCTTACCTGCGCCGGGGGGAAGGGAGAATATCCCTCTTCCTGGGCATGGGCGTAGGCCGTCTAAGAGGGCTAGACAATAGTGACTGCTGTGTTTGTTGTTTGTTTGATGTTTGGTGTTTGGTGTTTGCTGGATACGGTGTACTTTATTTGCGATGCATAACCACTCTATATGTTGGTTAATCGGACTCGATTCGGACACCTCTATGCATTTCTGTCACATAAGAGAGAGAGAAGTCTGAGGTTACCAGTCCCTTGGACATGGGTTTTCATTTCGTTCTTCTTCCGATCACCATACCTGAGCAGGCTGTGGTTCTTGAACAGTGTGCAATGTGCTCCGGAAGATCTGGACATCTGCTCCCCGGCTAATGCTGTTTGACAAGCCCGACTTCCCCGACCTAAGTTGGCTGACGTGAACACAAGTACTCTGCCAGCATCACATAGCCATCCAGTTCCCAGTTCCCCGCAATTCTCTTGCCTCTCACACTTCTGCTTCTTTCTCAGGGTGATCAGCCTAAATCTAGATCTCTATTCTGTCCGATCCGAATGGGACTCCACATACGGAACGGGTTTGCAGGACAATTTCGGATCTCAGGCTGGCCGGTATATCGTCGGTCCTGGGCTTGTGGTCTTGCACTGCTGGCAGGCTCGTATCTCCGGTACATGTACATAAACCGCGTTGGGAACAACGATGGACACGTTGAGGGACGATATCGATCTTGTTGGATCTCGCTATGACCATCTTTTCTCTTTCTGGGGCCTTGCTCGCTGCTGTCGTTCTGTCTGGTACATGTAATGTTGTAGCTCAGCTGCCGCAGGCTGCCCTGCCTGTCCAGACGCTCGTCACCTTTGGTGACAGCTACACGTAAGTCTGTTTCTTCATCTAGTTGGTTTACGATCTGACATAATACCAGAGATCAATCCCGGTGTCAGTCCTGGTCCTCTGATGATATGGAGATTCGGTTTCTGACACTGCTTTGCAGTGACATACTTCAACACGAACCATTCCTACCCGCCTCTTCACTATCAGGAAGTCTATCCTCCCGGAGCGCACGCCGCCAACGGTGGTGCCAGCTGGGTTCGATATGCTGAGATGTACAGCGGTGTCCAGGTGGGCGATCCCATCAAGCATATAAGGCATGGACTGAACTGATCTGAATCCAGAGCTACAACTACGCTGTTAGCGGTGCTGCCTGCTCGAACGCACTTACGGGCCGTCCGGGGCAGGGGGCTGCCGTTTTCCCTGATGCCTACTTCCCTGGTGTTCAGGATTACGAGATTGGGGCTTTCGCTGCTGACTGGTATGTCATCACGAGTTGGCGCCATATCACTATTGAAGCAGAGCTCAGGGTTATCCCTGCTCCCAACGGTGCTTACTTCAACGAGCTCAACCCCTTAACGACTGTCTATTCCCTCTGGATTGGCACTAGTATGTCCTGCACCCCACCAGCTGGAGAACCACAGTTGATAAGAGATATTAGATGACGTCGGTATCAACTCCCTCTTGACCGGAAACCAGACTGCTGGTGTGACCATCGTGAACGTCACCGAGTGTGCCATAAGCTGGATGCAGCAGATGTACACATATGGCGCGCGGAGGTTCATTCTTCAGAACATGATTCCTCTCGACCTGGTATGGGCACATGCCCATGTGAGCAGACGTCTTGCTTATCGCGCTCCAGGCTCCGGTGTATGCTGTTGGACCCGATCCGTTGGATCACTACTGGCCTGTTGCCCACAACAGGACTGACTACAACATCCAGCTGCAGGAACTGGTGCGTGCAGGTATTCAATATAATCCGCTGGTGAACTTATCCCCGCCTCAGGTGATGTCAGGCAACGCGCTCTGGGATCTTCAAGTACCCGCCGCTCTGATAACTCTGCCCGGTGCGAGCGCAGCGGTATTCAATAGCCACGCTCTGGTATGTGGTCGTCCGTATCATCTGCACCTGCGATTCTCACCACGTTTAGTTTACCGATATGTACAACAACCCATCAATGTTTTTGAACGGCACCGCACCCTTGAACGTTACGGGGTACTATGCCCATTCCAACGCTTCCGGTGGTGACGTGTATTTCGTGAATAACAGCCCTGGTAAGGGAGCGTAACAGTTTCAGTAAAGACGTGTGAGCTCATCTCCCCGTCAGATTCGTTCCTATTCTACGATGGCCTTCATCCCTCCGAGCAAGTGTCCCGCCATGTTGCAACGGAGATCGGTATGTATTTCATTACCAGGCTTTCTCCGTGTCTAACGCCATGAACAGTCAAGACGCTGAACCGTACCTCAGCATACGCAACGTATTACGGGATTTGGTGAGAATGCGGTGTAGTAATTATATTAGTATGCCCATCGCGATGAAATGGATTTGTGTTGCATGCCTCGTCGTTCATTAGCGCGCGTGCTATTATACCCATTCCCTTCTGGTGTCGAAAACAGCAAGTCCCCTTTCCTCAAAGGTACCGCCCATGAAAAGCAACACAATGTTCCATTCTCAGAACCACATATGGTCTACCAATCTCCTAGGTACCTCGCATATTTACTTGTGCGGTTTAAGGTCAAGACACTTGTCACAATGTCAGGTCGAGTCAAACTCAATAGACCGGTAATACTTACATCTCCTTGGCAACATTGCGCTGGGCCTGTTCAGAAGGATGCAACTCGTTCCACCACAAGTACGAGTCTACGAGGAATAATTAGAAACCGCACGTACGCTATAGACCACACGTGGACATACCAGGATTAGTTGCATTCACTACATTCGCACCACTCCCGTGCGAGACGTAACCAGTGACATTGTAAGGCAGGGTTCCATTCAAGAACTCTCCCGGATTGTTGTACATATCCGAGAACTGGATGCTCTCAGTGATCATCCCTGCATACATCAGAGGCTGGCCTACCAAAGCATAGCTGTTGAAGATCGCTGCTGCCGCACCAGGCATTTTGTTCAGCGCCGTAGGAACCTGCAAATCCCAGAGGGCGTTACCAGCCATGACAAGTTCCTGTAACCTGATATTATAATCCGTGCGATTGTGTGGCTGGGGCCAGAAGGTGCCGTCCGGATCAGGAAGGACAGAGTACATCGGTACGAGCTGGAGGGGAATCATATTCTGCAGAAGGAAACGGCGCGCCCCGTAGGAATAGAGAAGGGACATCCATTCGATCGCACATTGCGTGACGTTCACGATCGTCGTTCCAAAGGTCTGATTCCCAGTGAGGAGAGATCCTTCGCCGACGTCGTCTTTCGTTCGTTAGTCAGAGTTTGCTTCGGAGAGGGCAGACGTACTGGTGCCGATCCAGAGCGAGTAGACCGTCGTGTCGGGATTGAGTGGTTGGGCGGGCATGACCTGCAACCCCGGCACCCAGTCCATCGCGAACGCCGGCATTTCATACTCGAGCACACTTGGGTAGTTCGAGTCAGGATACGAAGGCGGGCCTGCCCCAGGCCTCGGGGTGAGGAGGTTGGAGCACGCAGCGCCGGAAACGGCGTAGTTGTATAACTGGAGGGAGCCGTACATCTCTGCGTAGCGCACCCAGGTAGTTCCTCCGTCAGGGGAGGGTAGACTTCCTGGTAGTGCGGGGGAGGGCAGGACATGTTCTGCTGGAAGTATTGGACTGGGAAACGGAGTCAGCAGGTAGATCCCGTGGTGGTTTGACTGGAACTTACGACGGGATTGGTCGGTGTACGAGTCACCGAACGTGACTAGGGTACTCGTAGGCCATGCCAGGCCTTGCGTAGCCAAAACAGCGAGCGAGAGCAGGGCCGGCAACATCTTCGAGCGTAAGTTGACAACCAGACAGCGATGAGAGGTCAAGCACAGCAGCTTAGCAATCCCATATAATCGCGTCGTACACTCTGTTATTCCACCATTCTATATGGGGTATAGTAGAAAATCTCCAGCATGGGGAGGTTCTCCCGAGGTTCCGTGCCAGCAAGCAGTGAGACGACACGTCGGAAGCACGGAACAGAGAAGACACATAGTTATTAGAGCTCAGACGAAGTTAGTAACCAGTGACCAGAGAGTCGTCCTATAGTTTGTGGGTCCGGGCTGGCGGGCGATAGGAGAACATGAAGGAAGAGATCAAGAATTGAAGAATGCGACACGCGTGCCTTTCACGAGTCACAAGTCACGTGCCCTGTTCTGTCTTCTCCGCTCTTCGTTCACTGCAGCCTCTCCTCACTGACACAACAGCATGACCACTCCCCCGACGCCTCGCCCCGCTCCCGCTCTCCCAACGCTCGTCCTCCTCTCCCACCAACCCCTTCCAACCCCCTCCGCACCCTCCACACCGCCGTCATACGTCCACCCTGAGATCATATACCACTTCCAGGATGACCCACCGCTAGCCCTCGTCCCCGGCAACACCTCCCTCGGAGCGTCCATCCACCCACTGGGAACGTCGATCTTCTCCCCTGGGTACGCGTCAATAGCCAGTCCTGCAGCGGTACGAGAAGACGAGAAGGAAGTGCTGGTCATGGATTGGGATCCTGCTTTGGTCTCTGCAGGGCAGGCACCAGTAGTACGCAGTCTCACCTCGGGGATTGCGGTCCGAGGAGTGAAGGTAGATTGGGAGGGTGTACCTGCTGGATGGGCAGGGGGAGAGGGGATGCTGGTGATCGATACTCTTGGATTGGGGTGAGTTTCTCCGAAAACAAAGTGCATAAGGAGCTGATTGGTTGGAATACCAGGGAGACCGAAGACATCCAAGGGAAGGAATTACTAGGAGACCCCATGGTAGCTCTTCAGCGGCTCACTCAGCGGTCCGTGTCCTCCCTCTGATGCCTGCACTGTGGAGGCTGACCGATCGCAGGAACGCGCTTGTTCGAGAGGCGCTCGATTACCGGGCGTCGCCTCTGCCTGCGATGGGAGAGGACCCGCCGTCACCGGACTTGGACACGGGGGAGAGGGACACGGTGAGCGTTTCCCCCGGGAGCACTGTTTGAATGAGCCAAGTGGGGTGTAACGTGTAGACTGTATTTTGTTAACTGTTGTGGGGAGGTGCTTGATCAGTCGATAGGCATGGCAGATGATGTCATTCGGTGCTTCTTTGAGATAAATATTATTTCACCCATGTTGTATCAATGAATAAATCACAATGACATTCTCTGATATCAAACATGCAGTAAACATATACAATCTCCACCACCAGCAGAATAAATTATTCATCTTGGCAGGGGACTGATCAATCTGTTATCAATCCATTACATAATTCCATAAAACTGCGCAGTTCTCCGGCGCCCGTCCAACAATGAGTCAAACTACGGTAGTGTTACCTAGGTGTGCTCATAACCATAACTCTCTTTCTACTTCATTATCTGCACATTCATTTGAATTAGGACAACAAGAATGACAGAGCTGAAGGAGATCGAGCGACGTCCAGCAGGTGCGTCCATCTTTTCCCCGGTCTCGCAACGCTAACCATTCTTCATCAAGGCGTCGTCGAACGCTGGTACTTCGCCCGCACGCGGGCCGAAGCAAACCCCCTGGTGCAAGTCGGCTTCTCCCTCCAACTCCCGCGCCCTCTCATTCGGGGCGAGCTGCTCTCCTCCCTCGGCGCTGCAGCACAACGTCTCCCTGTCCTACTTCCTTTCCTGAGCACGCGCGTCTCCGGGTACTCGGGGGACGGTCCACTTGAGGTCTACCGTGTGGAAGATGTCTTCCGCCCTGAAGAAGTGCTCCATGTACGAGAAGAAGAGTCCTTCGAACACGCGCTCAACTCCCAACTCAAAGCGAAGTTCGACATGGAGCGCCGGCTGTGGGGCGTATGGGTACACCTCCCGCCCTCCTCTCTCTCCCAGGGGATGTACTCTACCGCCTACGTGGGCGCCTTCGTCCACCACTCGATCGCAGATGGCGTAGCCGTGCTGGGGGTAGCGCGCACTCTCGTGTTGCTGCTTAACGATCCCAACCTCGAGCTAGGAGGACAAACAGGCATCCCCCTCCCGCTCGAGGCAAAAGTTGAGGTCAAGCCTACACTGCAAATGACAGCAAGCGCTATCTTCCAGGCGTTTGTTCACCCCCAGTTACCGCACTTCCTCCGAGCACTATACGAGCCTCGTACCTCTCCCTGGGTGGGAGAAGCCCCGCCCTCCGAACCCCCCGCTTCGAGGCACATCATCCTCTCCATCCCTTCGACACAGATGAAATCCCTTCTCTCCCTAGGCAAGCAACACGGAGTAACGTTCACCACGCTCCTACATACGCTGCTACACCTGGCCATCTCCCCGCTCGTCTCCCCTAACGAGCACGTATTCAGCTCCATCCCAGCCTCACTCCTCCCACGTGTGCACTCCTCCCAACCACCCCCAATAGGGGGCAGCTACGTCGGCCCAGTACACCAACACTGCCCTCCTAGCTCCTTCCCCCCTACGCTAGCCTCCTTCTGGGCAGCATGTACCCCCTGCAGCAAAGCGCTCCAAGACCGTCCGTTGCTAGACGCAGGCATCCGAGGTTGGGGACTGGTGAACCTGCTCTCTTATACCTCGCTGATCCAGTATCATGCCAAGCACCTGCAGTCCACCGAGGGGAGGAACAGTTTTGCGCTGTCAAATCTCAGGCATGTGCGGTTTGCTGCGTCCGAAGTCGAGGGTGGGTGGGTGCCCCAGGAGGGAACGTTCGCACAGCCTATGAGGGGGAGTAGTGGTGTTATGTTGGCAGATGTGTTGGGGGTTGATGTTGAGGGACGAGAGGGAGGAGGGTGCAGAGTGGTGTTTAGTTGGGAAGAAGGGGTGGTGAGTGAGCAGACGGCGAGGGGGATCGTACAGCGGACGAGGGAGGGGTGGGAGTGGGTCATCAGCCAGGGGGAGAAGGAGGCGGGGCAGGCGTGATCAATTTGGTTGTTTGCATGGAACATGGACATTGCGAATTTGTGGATAGCTTTAGATACTTGTAATTGATCAACTTTTGGTCATTTTACCAACAGGTCTGAATTGCTCTTGACCACATCTTACAACCATGCACGCCCACATGCGCATATGCGCTTGACCCTCTATTGATTAGGTCTTCTACCCACACTACAGCACAGGACATCCCAGTCCTCCCCAATAACAGACACATGACCCAAAGATTGAGCAATCGAAAGAAGATGAAACGTGGAAGAGAAATTGCGGCAATAAAAGTGTGCGGCCTGCCCGTCATGCCCAACGTGTCGGTCCCGAGGGCGAGGAGTTCAGCCTGATTAATGAAGAATGCGGGTATCAAATGCTTCCTGCCAACTAGCACAACACAACTCAGTGCACAGCACGATGCTGCTCTCTGTCGAGGGCTCAATCATGCCGCTACCTTCTCGGGCACAACACCGTACGTGCGCCTGTACTGGTCATCAACGCGTTCAAGGTAGTACGAGCCGGGGAAGAGGTCGTCCACGCTCCCGACAGGAGTGTAGTCCTTCAACGTGTGGGTCTTTTCCCTCAACTACTGGGATCAGCTAGGTGAAACAGAAAGGGGAAAGGGGGGACTGACGTTCATCGCATCCACGTATTCCTGGCACGGGCGGACCTCCATCGCTGCCAGCCTCGCCTCCAGATCGAGCACTTCGAACATCTTCTGTGTAGAGCCCTTGACGCTCAGGCCGAAGAAGCTCGCCGCGCACCCAGCACCATAGGCGAACATGGAGATCCTCTTCCCTTCCAGCTGCTGGCCAGGTATGCTCCCGACGAGGGACGCAAGGCAGCCGTACAGGGAGCCAGTGTACATGTTCCCGCAGCGCTCGGAGCACTTGAGCGTCGGGTGCACACGCTCCTGGTACAGCTTCTTCCCCAGTCCAACGAAGATCTTCTCCACCGCCTTGTCAGTGATCGTCTTCTCCACAGGAGCGTTCTTGAAGGGGGCGGTAACCTCCTCCGTAAGCCCGGAGTAGAGAGGGAGGGAGGGGTCTGCCAGCCAGTCATGGTACAACAACCGGCCGTGGCACTTCTGCACAAGCTTGCCATACGGCGAGTGGAAGACGGCGTAGTCGAACCCGTCCATGTTCACCTTCTCATCCGGGAACCGCTTGTTCATCTTGGCCCGGTAGGTCGCGTAGCACTTGTCGAGCGCCCCGGTGTAGGTGACGTTGGAGAGCTTGCCATCGACGTACGGGTATTCGGAGGAGAGGTCGGGCTTGTAGAAGTCGTACGTGTTCGCCATGTGTGTCCCGTGTACCGCTGCATCAAAGTCAGGTGAGGGTTACAAGGTATATGCGCGCGTACGTTCAAGAACAAGAGGGGCGTTGGGGCCGATGAGCATCGCGCATGCGCCCGCACCGCCGACGGCACGGGCAGCGCCCTCTTCATACACGGCGATATCTCCGCAGAAGACGATTGCGAGCCTGCCGTCCCAGGAGGAAGATTCGACCCAGTTCACTGCGTTGAACAGCGCGGCCGTGGAGCCGTAGCACGCGTTCTTGCTGTCGATACCCTCGATATCTGTGTTTCCTGCGTCGGCGAAGAGGTCCATCAGGTGCGTCTTGACAGCCTTGCTCTTGTCGATGAGGGTCTCAGTACCGACCTCGATGCGGCCGACGTTGAGCGGGTCGACGTCGTACTTTTTGAGGAGGGAGGAGACGGCAGACAGTGCAAAGGAGATGATGTCCTCCCGGTCGTCGATGTAGGCCATGTACTGCTGGCCGAGGCCGATGGTGTACTTGCCCGTGGAGACACCATCGTACGTCTCGAGGTCGGTTTCGGAGATGCACTAGGAGGGGTTAGATGGGACGGTGAGAGAGGGGGTGGACGCACCCGCTTAGGGAGGTACATCTCGATACCGAGAATACCGACGTTCTGAGGACGTTGGGAGGCCATAGCGATGGATGAGTAGTTGGGGGTAGGAGGGGTGAAGGAGATGGTGGGAGTAAGGTAAGGAGTAAAGTGGGGGGTGGGGAAGGCGTGTAGTATTTATTGTCCCTTCATATACGAAGGTGTGGTAACAAGAGAGGAAAAGGGCTAACCATGTGGGGCCGTTGTTCTTGTCTGCGCCCGATTGGTTCTTCGCAGCCGTAGGGGTCTCACTTCCTATTTTGCGTTGGGGGCTACATTTATGGAAATTATCCTTCTCTGCTTCCGTGCGCAGGACGGTGCCGGCCTTACCCGACTGCGTGACTGGGTTAGTGATCATCAGATGAATATCATCAACCCTAATATCTATTTCAACAACAATATTGAACAGTCCTTTCCCGCACCATGGTCTGCGGCCTTCCCGTCCGCACAAGCTCAAAGGCTGTTACATCTCTCCTACATAGCAAACTAGATTACGCTCTACAACCACTGTCTCTGGGATTAAACAAACGCGCGCTAAACATCTCCCAGCGCCCGCTATAATCCAGCTACATCCCGCAGAAGGACATCACAGCCCGGCCCTCGCCCGCAATTCTGACCACAAACTCGCCAAGCCAAGTCAATCCTCGCATCATCTCTGACCTACGTATCTCCCGTCCGCCATCAAGTCCATCAGCATAGCGTCATATATGTCTGGCGGGCTCGCCGAGCCCGGGCGTCTGAGCGGCACCGGACTTTCCGGAACCGCTCATCTCGCTTTATCTTTCTTCTCACGATAACGCCCTCCCGCTCGATTGCTGGCGGCTCCGCGGCCCTGGGCACGCACACTTCTCACTCGCTCCTATGGGACTGTACACTGTTTGACGCCTCCAACGACTGAAGCGCGAGAGAAGAGAAGAATTCTGAGGCTGAGGCTGATGATTTGTTCCTGGCTAGGGGTTTCACCTGCTATAACCGTGTTCCTTAAGTTGCACGTGGGTGCCTGAGGAGGAAGCTAGACTGTCTGTGGCTCCTCTACAGGTTGCCGACCTCTAGCACACGGGAAAATCGAGCTGGATATGTATCGATATCAACGGTTTCTACTGGTCAGTCGTATCATTCTGTCTGTAAGCACTTTCCCTCAACCAAAGGAACGACACTGGCTGCTTTCCTCAGACAAGTCGCATCAGGCGTCTTCCTCCGGTTCGCTCTCCAAGCTCCCTAGTGCTGTACTACTCATTCAACTCGATGATCACGTCCTCGTCGAACGGCAGAAACAAGCACGCTCCCTCCCCACTCTCCAATCTCACACTCCCGGCCAGGGAGCTACAGTATCTCCTATCGCCAGTTAGCTGCCCAGTGCTTGCCTCCTCGCTCTTCCAGCTCTTCCTCTCCTTCCCTCCCGAGGCTCCACAGCCCCCTCTGGTAGTATCAGAGAAAGCCTTGGCCGCCAGCTAAATGCACCAGGATATCGACCACATGAAGGAGAGTCTGCTTTGAGTCACCCGGATGCTATCACTGGCAAGTACTTAGCACACGCCTCTGCCCGCACCGCAAGACACCCTACAATGTAGATCACCAAATGCCAGATCTCGAATTACACTCAGATGATAGAACAAGCGAAAAATGCTAAATGATATGGTACATTCGATGCATATGAGCTGTCAAGCACCCCGTTCCCATCAGGACTCCCCATGAGCACATCCCCAGCCCGCTAAAGCGCCTCGACCAACAGCTCCCATCCCGTCCTTCCCCCCTCACCCCCAACAGGTCTAAGCGCACACCTCACCTTCCGCCTCTCCCACGCACTCCCATTCCAAACCCCCACGAGCGCTTGCACCTCTTCCTGACTGCTCCTCCTAAATGCCTGGTCATACGGTCCTCCCTCGACAGCCCAGGCTCCACTTAGCAGGCTGCGGAACCCCGCGTGAGGGGAGGAGAGCCGTTTAGGCGCTACGGCGGAGATACCGTTCTGCGCGAGGATAGCGGTGTGCGTCAGGTCAGTGAGGAACCTGCCCCAGTCTTCTTGCGTTATCCCATGCGCCTCTAGGCTGGGGGCATACACCGCCTGCCAGCCTTGGGCGAGATACCGGCCCAAGCTGTGGATCGTGAACGGCTGAAAAGAGCGGGATTTGATCCTCCACGGACCGGGGGTTGAGAAACATTCCGGGGGAGGGTCGAGCGGACGGTATGTCGCTGGCTGCTCGGGCAGGGTGAGGGGAACGAGTGGCGTAGGACCGGGGTCGAAAGGGGGGAGGGAGAGGTCTCCGCCGGAAGCGTGTCGCGTATATGCGGGAGGAGCTTCGAGGGAAGAGGTGGTACTGTCGTCTATTGCTGACTCGGAGGCGGAGGGAGCGAGAGGTGAAAGAGGTGCGAAACGGACTGCAGGCTCGGAGCGGGAGCGGGAGCGCTGAGGCGGATCCGGAGGGTCGGCTTCTTCCACCATCGGAGTAGGAACAGGGGATTCCAAATGCAAGAGCGAGGCGTTCTGGGGTGTGAAACCAAATGGGTCGTCCGCCTGAGAAGGAAGTCCAAGCCCGGGATATCGGAGTGGAGATACTTCCCTATAGCTCTGCTGGGGGAAGAACATGGGCGAGCTGAGGCTGGTGTGCGAAGGGGTGTCGTATGGCGTTACCGGGGGAAGGGGGATTGGCCTATGGACGGGTGAGGGGGGAGTGTGAGGTGCAGAGCGGGGTGATACCTGGGAGAGCGGGGATTGGAGTGCGAGGAGGGAGGTGTGTTGCAGTGGGTGGGGTGTGGGGCGGACAGGGGATACGGGGGAAGGAGGGCTAGGAGCGAGGCGTAGTTGGGGATGGGATGTTGCTTGTGTTGAGGTGTGAGGGAGTGGGAGTGAGGGAGAGGGAGGTGTAGGGAGATCGACTTGCATCCCCTCTCCCTCTCCCTCTGCAGCTGCAGTCTCTGTCTCTGTCTCCTCCATTGGGTGGTGTGAAAACGTGCGAATAAGTGCGGAAAGCGTCTTGTCTCGTGTATCTGCCTCGGCAGTATCGTGCGAACTAGCAAGTTGTATCGTATCAAGTTTAATGTAGAGTAAATGCAAATAAGAGTAAGATGGAGATGCAAAGATGCAAGATGCTGCTGACTTTGACCGTCAACTGAAGACAACTAATAAAGCAAGCCGTTGGTCGGGTGAGTGCGGCACCCACGGCGGGTACCGGAACCTTTTCCATCTTACTATATAGGGAAAATAAGGGGGGGATGACGCATTTCCCCGCGGCTCCGGTGGGACTGGGGATTGGAGCGAATGGAAACCGGTTATCGCTCGCCTTGTTATTAAATTTCGGTCTGGTATGGCGGCTAAATATATAGCTGCCAGATTCTCTGCTTATGGATCACGTAACTGGAACATCGCTACTTCTATTTCTTCCTCATGACTGGGGGGCCCGACAAATGCCCTACCACGTTGCTCGTTGATGAACTCACATCACGCACGCGTCAGTTGCAAGCAGAAAGGAGCGATATAGCTCTCTTACTCCTGATCGCACCTCAAGGCGTACAAACAAACCTGAATAGATCATCCCCTTGCATGAGACATTGCAGTCGGCGTGCACCGAGCTCACCGAGCTCTATCGACCCTGAGAGCCGAGGAATGTACGTTCGTCGATGCACAACTTCCAGATGCAGCGTGACTGAGGTTTCTGATCGCATTTAGAGCAGCGCAGAGTCAACTTCGATTCCGCCCAGTGTGTACACCGAGCCATCCGAGCTCTGTAACGAGCTAGATAACGGACAGCATTCCCCGCAAGTCGATCATCCGCCAATCCTTCAGCGTCAGTCAACCTTCAGGTCCCACTCTCTCTACTGTAACGTCGCAGCTTAAATAACCCAATATGAATGTAGGATTGTGAGGCTCATGATCGGAAATGACCCCCTCTCCGAGAGTCATCGCCGATCTCTTGGAAGGAGACATCGGCAATCCGTGAGAGAATCAGAATTCAGCAACCGCATCGAACCACCCCCAGCGCATGGTGCATGCCAATCCCAGACACGGGGTCAGGCACTCCCAGCTCAGTTCCCAATGCCAACACGTAAAACTCGGGACTCGGGGACAACACATATACGGAACCGAAGTTAATCCGCCAGAAGCTTCGCCAAGCCGTGTCAGCACGCGACCAACCTCCTTCTCTCTCGCGACAATTGAATGTTTCCTTTGCTGTCCCATCTGCTCCTCCTCGTTATCGCCTTGACTCCTCCTCGGGCTTATCACCCCCGGGCCCGTTTTGGAGGAGCTTCTCAATTGACGTCGCAGTGCGCCATAGCAGGCTAATCTCTTTGCTTCTCCCTTGCTGATCGGAGCAAACGAGCATGCTGGAACTCTTCTCTATTACCTAGGCATTGCGCACTTGTTGGCGAATTTCGCGGCATTTGTCTTTTTTCTCTTATAGAAGGTTGCTTTGCCGGCATGAATGGTCGTTTGGGGTGCTTGCTTGACGACTGGTCTTGGGATGCACGCGCCTCAGCTCGGCACTCTATCTATTTCTCCTAGCTGAGCCCAAGCACGCGGAATATTTCCTCCCGGTACTTCTTTCCGACCACCAAGTCTTCCTTATCCCCCTTTCGTCACCGATACCTGTTGATTCTGACGATAAGGGGTTATCACCACGCGCTCGCCCAAAGCATTAGGCATCGGACCGGTCGATCTCCTCCCGACTTTCCAAGGCTCGACTTGGCACTCCGGGAAAGGGCGTGATGCCCCGTGTGCGCGCGGGACGGGGAAAGAAAGCATGTGCTGGCCACTTGGATACATCCGTTCTCCTCTGGGCTTTATATTGCGACTATCTGCCATGGAGGGGGTGAGTTTATCCTCTTCTGGTTAGAGAACTGTGGTTTGTTAACCGGTTCGAAGGCGAAGGTTGGACTTGTTCACGACTCTTCTATTTTTTAAAGATTGGATTTGATCAGAGAAGATGAGTACGTGTGTATTTCTCTCCAGTGGATCTCCCAGAAGGCTTATCAACACTTGCCTACCTAGGTCTCGCCGGCGCCCCACAGATGAACGTCGACTACGAGTCTGCTCCTGTCGGCCCCAAAGGTCTCCCTCCGATGAACAGTCCCACCGAGGAGAAGTCTGCTCTCGCTACTGCGCTCTCCCACGGCGAGGGGGACACGGACGAGGGTGAGGAACCCACAGCAGAGGAGCTGCTCACTCTGAGGAAGGTGCCTGCGGGTATGCCTTGGCCTGCTCTGGCCATGTGTCTCATCGAGTTTGCCGAACGAGCAAGTAAGGCCCACCACTTTCCAGGTTGAGCTGCGCTGATTTTACTCGTGCCTGTACGACAGGCTACTACGGTTGTACGGGCGTGTTCAGCAACTTCATCCGTGGTCCCCTGCCCAAGGGCGGTAATGGAGCCGGCGCAGTCGCCCCTGGGCCATTGGGATACAACGAATCTGCCGGAGCTCTGGGCATGGGTGTGCAGGCCGCAACGGCGTTGACCACGCTCTTCACTTTCTTGGCGTACACGATTCCCGTATGTTTTCCGGTCCGCCATGTCCTTTGAAAGTCCACTGAGAGGATATACTAGATCCTGGGTGGGATTGTGGCTGATACTAAATGGGGACGATTCAAGACTATCTGTGTTGGAACCGCCGTTGGTGCCATTGCCCATGTACTCCTTGTCATCCCGGCTCTTCCGGTTGTTATCGCTGGTGGCAAGGCAATTGGTACCAGTATCTCTCCAGAGTCTCATGACTATAATTGATGTGACTCGAAGCTGCCTTTATCATTGCGATGCTTATCCTTGCCTTTGCTGCTGGCTTTATCAAGCCTTCCCTCGCTCCGCTCCTTTGCGATCAAAGCCCGGCACACCACGCGGTCATCAAGCGCCTCCCCTCAGGCGAGCGTGTTATCCTCGATCCCCAAACCACCGTGCAGCGGTACCTGCTCTTCTTCTACTGGGCGATCAACATCGGTGCTTTCTTCTCCGTCGCTACCTCCTACGCAGAGCGTGATGTCGGCTTCTGGCTCGCCTACCTCCTCCCAGGAATCATCTACATGCTCATGCCCATTGTGCTCGTCGTTGTCTACAAACGCCTGTACAGGGCACCACCCCAAGGGTCGGTCGTTCTCGAGTGTATGCGGGTGTTCAAGCGCCTTCTCTCGCACGGAGGATGGAAGCGTATGTGGAAGGGCGGCGACGATTTTTGGAACCACGCCAAGCCATCCTACATCGAGCACACCGAAGGAAGTGTCGACCTCAAGGTCGTGTTTTGGGACGACAAATTCGTCGATGAAGTCCGCCAGTCTATCAGCGCGTGCAAGGTCTTCCTTCTCATCCCGATCTTCGCGCTCGCCGATGGAGGCTTCGGTTCCACCGAAAACGCAATGTCCGCAGCGATGCGCGTAAACGGCGTTCCGAACGATGTCATCTCCAACTTCAACCCGCTGACCATTGTCGTCGTTGCGCCCATACTTAACTTTGGCTTCTACCCCCTCCTTAGGAAGTTCAACATCAACCTTGCACCAATGACACGCATGTCCATCGGCTTCATCCTCGCCAGTATCAACATGATCATCGCTGCCATCCTGCAATGGAAGGTCTATCAGGGCTCACCCTGCGGATACTATGCAACCTCGAACTGCCAGATTGGGGATGGGGTAGCAAACATCTCCCTTTGGGCCCAAGTTCCACTCTACTCGCTCCCCGCCATCGGTGAACTCTTCGTAAACGTCACATCGTACGAGATTGCCTACACCCGCGCCCCGGCACGCATGAAGGGTCTTGTGTACGCCATGGTACTGTTCACGTCTGCGCTCTCCTCCGCACTTACCGAGATCGTCAATCCCGCCCTGGTGGACCCATACCTTATATGGCCATACGTCGCCCTAGCCGTTGCTACCGCCTTAGCCGCGATAGCGTTCCCGACACTGTTCAAGCACTTGAACGACCCGGTTGAGTTTAACGATATTGATCGTATGGAGGGCAGGCAGCAGCCACTCGCCAAGGCGCAGGCAGCGGCGGAGTCTGGAGACGCAGAGAAGGCGTAGTAAGCCCCGCCTCATTCTTACGAGAATCACGGAGCGCTGTCGTATTCCCCGGCTGCGGGGTTGCAGACAGTCTAGTATCACAACTTTATGTCTTATGTAACACTCGATGGTACACCGGGTATGCGGATATCAATGATATTGATCAGCCGATGCCTGCACCGGTTGTATATACACTGCCGTGCTTGGTAGAACTTAAGCGACGTTCTGACTGCAGGAACATGTCAGCATAGGCTCGCCAGAGGGGAGCAAATAACTTACGCAAACGCTCCGATGATGTTCCCCTGTGGGAAATACTCGCAGACGTAGAAGTTGGCATTCTGCACAAATGGGAACGCATCAGCACACCCGTAGGAAAGGCAGAAAAGTAGCGCACCCCGAAGCTGGCGCCGAGCAGACCGGGGCAGACGCTAACTGCGCACCCGACCTCTGTAGATCCTTGCCATACGACCTGTGTCCAGTGGCTGGGCACGGGGTTGCTCGGATCGTACTGGCCTAAACAAGTCAACCGATCTGAGCATCCCCGTCTTTCTAGGTGAAATAAAGATCACTCACTGGCTTCATCCAACCACAACTGTATCCCCTGTCCAGGGGTGAAGTCCCCACTCCCAGCAGCCAAGTTCTCTCCATACGGTCCCAAAGTGCCCATCGAATGCTGGAAGACGCACTTGTTTGCCCATTCCTGGGCGGCGGAGGCGAGGGTGTTGTTCCAAGTCAGGGGCGAGGCGTTGAATTGCGCTCGGGCGGCGTTTTGCGGACAGAGGTAGGCAAGCTCGTCCGCTGTGCCGGAGCTGCCTGGGCACGAGCTGTCAGTGGAGTCGGTGGGTCCAGAGTTCGAATTGTTAGAACCCGAATCAGAGTTCGAGTTGTTGGTTCCCGAGTTCGGGTTCGAATTGGAGTTGCTAGAATCCGAGTTGGGATTGGAGTTCGAGTTCGAGTTGTTATTGCCAGTGCCATTATCAGTTGACCCGGAACCGGAAGAACCGTTTCCAGAGCCATTATTCCCATTATCCGAGGGTGAAGGCGCAACATTCGCGGGGGCTGGTGTAGGCTGCGTATCCTGCGAGCTCGTGATCGTGGTCACAGCCTCAGACGTTGGAGATGGGGCAGAGGAACGAGGACGGCAGCGTCTGCCTTTCTTCCCCTTCTTGGACTTCGCGGGACGCGCGAGGGCGGGGAGGACGAGGAGCAAGAGCAGCAGGGCTTGCATCTTCGGTGCTTGGTTGTGTGAGAATAGATGGATGTTGTGTTAGGAAGATTGGATGGTTTTACGAGGGGTAGATGGCGCTAGACCGGTGAGGGTTGGATTGAAGAGAGTTGTGGGAAGTAAAGAGCGGCAGGGTGAACGAGCGTCGGTATACACAAACAGCAGGCAGGAGGGTGTCCAGCACAGGCCTAGACGCAGAACGAGGCGAGGGATGTAGGACGGTGGGGGGAGGAACAGCGAGCAAAGACCTTGGTACGACGTCCTCCTGTGTGACAACTTAAAAGGCCTTCTGGCTCAGCATGATCCAAAATTGGTGCACCGTCCGCCGGGTCGGGATGGGGACGCGTGCAGTGGTGAGCAACACTGGGAGCGCGCAAGGGGTTATGAGAGGGGCGGAAATGGGGTATGCTGCCATGGTGGCACGATTTTGAAATTGAAGGGAGGCGTCGGCATGGCGCGTTGCTGTTGACCTGCGCCGTTGCCAAGCAAGACCAGAAGTGAGCGACGAACGAGCGCTCCAAAGTTCCTCCTAGGCCATAGCAAGAGTTTCTGAAATCAAGCAGTCTAGAAGCCAGTGAACACTTAAAGAGTGATGATATTGTCAGATCGACAATGATATCGGAGATGTTGTGAGATCCAGGGGAGAGAAGTAGAAGGGGGGACGTCGCGGAGGGTCTGCTGCACGTGATTGATGATATTCATTCCGTGCACGAGGCGCGACGCGTTCAGGGGTTTTTGCTTCTTCGGCGGTCTTTATTATTGGTTCGATCGGTGATTCTTAGGATTCTTACTGTCTAAAACGGGCAAATCACCGTCTAAATGAATGACACCACAAATGTACAACGCTCTCACCAACTGAGACATCCGCTTTCCTCCCCTCGAAGAGTCCAGGCTCCCCCATTGGCCACACATTCCCCACGCTTCCTACTTCCTCCTCTTCCCACCCTTCCTCCCCCTCCGCCCTCGTCCCCGACCACTGCCTCCCTCATCACTCACTCCTTCCTCTCCTACATCTTCTCGTTCCCCTCCCCGACACCGCCCCATTCGCCGATGCCATCCTACTGCATCCTTTCTACCGAACACGCACCCGCAAGCTTCGCACTGAAACGTCTGGTTCGAATGCGTCAAAAGGTGTCGGCGGAGATCCGATGCGCGGGAGGTGCTGATAGGGCATAACGGGTGTGGACAGGGGTGACGTTTGCCTGTGGTGGCTTTTGCGTTGCTGGAGCTGCGGGCGGAAGCACGCAGACGGGGCAGAGGCTGGCTAGGTCCAGCAAGGGGGAAGTAGGGCGAGGGAGGGGGAGAGGTGAGCGGTGTGCTCTGCCCCGTACTCCCCTCTATAGAGGAAAATCCAGCCGTGCTCTGCGTCCTTGTGCTTGTCGTACTCGTCGTCCGTGTGACACTCACGTCGTCCCTCCCGAGTGCGGTGTATGCACCCTCATAGGCGTATGGCTCATACCGTGTCCTCCTCCGCTCAGAGCGCCTTGGCGTACCCGGATCGACAAGATTATATAGTAGGGCGTCGAGTTCTGCCTCTGCATTCTGAGGTAGACGATTTTTGTCCTATGCAGTCGAATATATCAGTTGGTAATTTGCCCCGCTGTCTGTGCTGGTATGCAGACGTACCTGCTCTGAGAGCGGGGTGGGTGATGTGGGTGCGCTGATTGGCTGCGTTCTGAGGCTGGTCAAGACCTGCACAGCGGGAGATGATCAGATCCACGTGCGATCAGACAAAGAGGTACGTTAAGTACAGTCACGGCGGTGATCTCTGCCTCCTCCATCTTCATGCGATCTTTGTGCCCGAGTGAATAACGTACAGTGCGCAAACAAGGCAAACAAAAAGAGGAGAGCGTAAGAGCGCAAGGGGATTTGCAAAGGAGAGGACAGCACTATGTATGCTGTAGTATTAGGGGGTAGAGAAGGTGAAGAAGCATCTATGCCGTTATAGCGCCCTCTTTGCCCGTGCCTCCCGCCAGGCGGGAGCATGGCCTTATGGCCATTCATCCCCTCACCCAATCACCCCTCCCCCGCTGATATGCCCTTCCGCCGGGGGCGGTGTGGCACATTAGCCCGTTCTTGCTGCTTCGCGAACACCCAAAAATGGGATTTCGCGAACCCGATCGGGCATGAGGGCGCGGGAAGGCGTCCCCAACTGGAAAGTCCAGTGCGGGTGGGACGACGGGCAAAGGACAATGATGAAACTGCCAGGTGGGAAGGAAGGGCTGGGAATATGTAGACAGAGGCTGTGGCTGGCCCATTGGCTGACTCGGCGGTCTGGCCTGATGCACGCCCAGTGATTGTGGGTGGTTAGATGTGTGCATCAGGTAGAAGGGACGCGCAAGTGTGGGTGAATACCTCAGATGCCAGTTTCTTCCAATTCACTGGACTACGCTTATCCACAATCCGCCCACTCATCTTGCGTCTTCCCTCGCCTCCCTAGATCCCTCCACAGGCGTAGAAAAAGAAGGCGCTGTATGTATCGCTGAGTCAAAAATATTTATACTCAATCGAGATCATCGACGGATACTGCATCATACATAGGGTGCAGCAGGGGGTTGGGGTATTGAATGGACATTCGTTCTATGACAATGGATGCCGACCACACAATCACGCTCGTCCAGCGGTGCACACATCCACTGTTGAGCCAGTCTGCTTGTATACAAATGTGGATAGGACACCTCATTCGACTTTCACGACCTCCCCCTCCCGCGCAAGGTCCTTCATGCTCGTCACGTCTATCTTGCCTCCACTCGCCAGGTTGGAACGCTGCAGGAGCGCGTCCCACCAGGGGAAGAGGAACTCGCGTACGATGAGCCGGAACCAGGGTGTGAATTTAGATCCTAAGTAGGGGGGTGAGCGGGCGTTCACTAGAGATAGTAGACAATCGGATCGTGGATGCAGGGGATTGGGCGGCTTTGGGTAGGGTCGGTCAAGAGCCAATTGGCTCGGCAGAAGGTTCAGAAGCGACCGTGGCCACGGTGACGATCACGGATCTTGCACAAAAAAGGAAAGGCACAACCAGGAAGAAAGAGCAAGGACGAACCAGGTACATCCATCATGTCTTTCAATTCTTGGGGCGAGACATATTTGTATTCGCTGATTTCATTCAGGTTCGGGTTAACATCCACGCGGGCGGACATAAACAGGATATAGTCGACTGCGGCGCGCGAACAAAAAAAAAAGACGTCAGCGATCAGAATTCATGCGAACGCGTCCAAATAAAGACGTAGATAAGACGACGCACTCTCATGCTCACCCCAGATACCATCACTGGGCGCGAGGTAGTGGATTCTGGTGAGATACTGAAACCCTTCAACAGGCGTCTGGCTTTGGGGGATCCCGAGCTCATGCTCGAGCTTCCTCGTCGCGGCTCGCTTAACACCCATCGCATCCCGCATTTCCTTCTCCTCCTCGAAGTCGTCCAGCGGGTGCGAGCAGCACGTGTTCGTCCACATATCAGGGAACGTGATCTTCTCGCTCGCACGTTTCTGGAGCAGCAGCGCGCCATCCGTCGGGCGGAAGAGGAACACGCTGAATGCTCGGTGAAGCAGACCTTGCCGGATGTTCGACATGAGATGGCAAGTCTTCTTGTCCAGCGCGCCAATGGGTACGTCAGCGGGAGTGACGACGATACAACGCTCGTCCATGAGCTTGGACTGCTCGGGGTCGTATGCAGAGAGGTCGATCGTCTCCAGCGGCAGGGGCCCAAGCTCGCCGGTCAAAGAAGCACCAGTCGTAGCGCTCGTCTTGGTCGTTGAAGGCCCAGTGGGGGCAGCAGTAGGCATCTGAGTAGCAATCATTGTAGTATGCAGTAACCTAGCAGAGTGTTGATAGCGAGAGAGAGGAGAGAGACGAGCGGCGCGCAGGCACCCAGTCGCACGATAGAACATGCACAAACTGCTTTGTATATGCACCCGCTGCCGTTGGCCTATCATGCATGTGGGGTGGGGTTCACGGCAGCGGTCGGAAGCGAAACGGTCCCTCACCTTCGGTCCCCAAAGACCCCAACGACGGGCCGAGGAGCGCCGAGGTCCCGAGTTCGTGTGCCCATCACAGTTTTGGTCCTCATCACTCCCAGAGAGAAACACAGGTATAAAAAGGGCTACTTCTGGACCTGTTCAAGCACCGTTACGAGTCTCTTTGCTCCCCATTTTGCCAATCCCGTTTCTCGCTGCTTCGGTTTGTTGGATGGATAATCGGTTGGATCACGCTGGCGAGACTCCTTAACTTCGTCTCGTCAAGAAAATGATGCACTATCAGCACGATTGGCTTGTTCATCAGAAGAGGTTACAGCACTCGGTTCTGATCATATTCCTTCTCTGCTAGAATCTGTGCCCTTCGCCCTGACCTGCTGTCACCTGTCATCTCGCTGGAGCCACAACTCGCAACTGATGTTTCGACCAGACAAATCAGAGGTCGTGTCGCTCTGTTGTTTGCTACCGAGGCACGGGGGGTTGCTGGAGGATTCCCCGTATAACAGACTGGCTACTTGTCAAAGCTCTTGACACCGTCCTCCGGCTTGCTCGCGCCTTGGATCGCCCCGACATTGATATTGTGCTCTTGCGCGGGCGTTGGACTTCATCAACCAAACGAGATGGAAGAGTACTTGTCAAGCCGTGTTATGAGGACCGTATCCCCTATCTTCTGCAAGCCACGGCATCCCTTGCGCCGTGCATCGAATGTTTCCAACTGCATACTACTCAAGCGTACCTCTGTTTCGACCTGGTCAGTCGGTTGGCTTTCTATTCAGCATCTCCCTTCTTGATGTAAGGGCCGAGCTTCCCTCCATCCGTTTACAAGTGGATTCCTGAGGCTTCTGGACAATGTTGTGGGCTGTATCTTCAAGGGCCCCTCCGTGACGGGCCAGGGAATTCAGGCTCTCTCACTGTCTTGTTGGAAGATACCGAGGCGATGGTAGCGGAGGGAGGTTGGCCTAAAGGAACTCCATTGCAAACTCGTGAGTGATACAATCGACGATCTGCTCAAGAATATATACTCACACGCCGGAGAGAGCGCGTACCCGTCACTGGATCTCACCCGACCACCACGATACATTCCAACAGCTCCTGTCTCGTGTTAGAAACAGACATATGCGGACTTTTCCACCCTCTTCTGGAACACTGAAGGTGAGCCTCTGCTGGTACTCTCCGCTTTTTCGACTTTCCACTACATTCCTCACAGCAGAGACTGTTTATTTGCCCCTTGCCTGTGCCAGCCTACGGTTATGTTTCCTGAATTCGCATACACTGCAATGATCACGCTTGCATTTTGGATTACGAGACTGGATCCAAAGTAGGTGTCATTGTGAATTTATCGATTTCCAGCTTAACAGGACTTGCACCTTCAAGTCGGTAAGCTGCCAGTGAGGGTTTGCCGAGGATGTATGTGAGGCCATCGGGTGTGGACGCCACGGCTCCCTTTATACCACCAAATATCCGCGGCCCGTCAAGACCGTTCTTTGTTCGACTGCTGCAGAAGGTTCCAGGTCTCACCTGTTTCCGGATCAGGTAAAAGCCGGTGTGGAAAACCCTGGCGACATTGATATTTCTTGTACCGGGACAGGTCTTATCGACATCCCGGTCTCATCCAAGTCGTAATGGACTATACAGTGGGTGACATTTCGGGAATGTGGACATTTATGTACTTACCGGCACCTATTCGCCTTATGGCAGAATAATACAAATTCCTGAAATTCATCTGCGTGTCGATTTTTCAAATCAGGTGTAGGTGGAAGACAGCAACTATTGAAATGGCGAGGTAATTTAAGACTGGTGAGGTTCCAGTACTATGGCCCTCGGTCTTAACCAGTGGCAGTTCGAGGACCAATGAATCAAGTAGAATACTCACCCGCAATCATACGACGATACCACTACTGCAGCTGTGGGAACAAGGTTGAGATCTAAGCGCCTAGCGTCTAACTCTGAGACAGCAAGGTTCGATTGGGAGGTTCTGTCGGGGTGTCCAAGATATAATAGCCGGAAATAAATGTTGGGAGGGGCTCCAAAAGAGGCTTGGTGGCGATGCAGTGGTCAGGCACGAAATCCGGTCGTGGGCGCTCGGCATCCCTGATCCATGATTTACCTCCGTTAAGCCAATCCAAGGCCTGGGATGTTCAGGGTCTCCGTCAACACTTCCCTCATTGATACCGCCATCACCAGGCGCCTTTCTCTCAGCTTAATTTTCTCCGAGCATGATGGGAACGTGGGCCCCAATAACTGCGGCTTCCCGTGTTATCTGCCACCGGTGTTGTCCGCACTACAAACATGAGTGGGTGAAAATAAAGGGTTTATCACTGAAGAGGCGCCGTCTCTGTTCTCCTCCCCTTCACCCTCTCTCTTGTGTCCCTCTCTTCTCGGTGTCTTTCGTCCCTCTCTTCGCTCCTGGTTCAAGTCATAGACGCCTTCACTGGTCACCACCACTGTACCCTCTTTTCCAAAATTTTGGCCGTCGTACCACCTTACGAACACATTCTTTACGCGCCCTCTGCTCAAGCCACGGACCCCGAATTCGTCGCCCAAGCATAGGACGCCACCTTTAATTCTGTGCCTAGAGTTTTGCCGTCTGAGCATTCTTTTCGTACTCAATCGCGGGGAAAACACGCGATTTCTTGCCCGTTACCAACGTATCTGCCAATTTCGGGCACTCGCATAAGCCGCGGTGCCTGTTTCTTAGAGGCACTTGATACGCGTCAATCCTTTGCAGGACTCATCCCTTGATAAACGTGAGCCTTCCCCTGCCATAAAGACATATATGCTTTTGTGCTCACCATATCTGCCTGCTTACCGTTGTTCTTATCCTGCTGTTTGTCACTCACAACTTGCCACCCAATATGCGGTATCTGTACCCTCGCGAACCACGATTCCCCGAAACCATGTTCAGGCGCCGAAAAAACAACAATCCAACCTCGACTCTGCAGTATCTGAAGAAAATGCGCTTTGGCTCTCTTCTCTACTCCTGGCTCGGGTTATCGACTCCAGGCAGTTCGGCGCCTAGCACGTCCCTCGCCGTCTTCTCCTCCAATGCCTCGTCTTCCCACCATCTCCAGACCCGCGGTGTTACGTGGAACAATCTTGGATGTGTCACCGATGGCCCTGCTCGCGCCCTAACGGGCGATTACACAACCTCCCCTTCGATGAGTGTGGAGTACTGCCAGTCTTACTGCTTCAGCTCGGGCTACCTCTTTGCCGGAACGGAATTCGGTAATGAGTGCTACTGTGGTAACACGGTCTCGAACGGGCTCGGAGTGTCCACGTCTGTGAGTTGAGCACAGAGTCCAGGCCCAATATCATGTCATCTCATTTTATTCCTTCATAGTCAAGTAGTTGCAGCGTGGCCTGCGCTGGGAACTCTGGCGAGACCTGCGGTGGCAATAGTGCCTTAAATCTGTATCAAGCTTCCATGGGTTCCTCCGGCTCTACCTCAAAATGGGTTTCCCTTGGCTGTTATACCGATGCGAGCAGCCGTGCTCTCAATGCCGAATACGCGGACTCCCTGTCAATGACGATGGAATGGTGCCAAAATTACTGTCTGTCATACGGGTACACGTATGCCGGGGTGGAGTACGCCGAAGAGTGCATGTGCGGTAGCTCCATCACTACAGGCTCCGGCCAGGGTGTGCTCGCCACCGATGGAAGGTGTAACATGGGCTGCTTGGGCAATACCGCCGAGGAGTGTGGCGGCACATGGGCAATCAACATCTGGCAGTATCAGACGGTCACACAATCCAGCGGTTGGACGTCCCTCGGATGTTACGTCGACGCCAGCAACCGAGCACTTAACGCTATGTATGCCGACTCGCTGTCCATGACCAAGGAATGGTGCCAGAACTACTGCCTTTCCAGCGGTTTCATCTACGCGGGCGTCGAGTACGCAGAAGAGTGCATGTGTGGTAACTCGATCACCACCGGGTCCGGCCAAGGTGTGCTTGCTACCGATGGGCGGTGTAACATCGGCTGCTTAGGTAATGCCGGAGAGCAATGTGGTGGTACCTGGGGCATCAACATCTGGGTATATGGCGACGTTTCGACTTCTAGCTCTACTGCTACAACAGTCACCACGACTGCCACATCAACGACCTCTACGACCACTGCGCCCAGCACGACCACGACCAGCAGTTTTGCCACCCCGACATTTGCCGGGTGGACGTCTCTTGGCTGCTATGTCGATGCAAGCAACCGTGCCCTCAACAGCGAATATGCCGACTCGCTCCAAATGACGCTCGAGATATGTCAGAGCTATTGTTTATCCAATGGGTACAGCTACGCTGGCGTTGAATATGCGGAGGAGTGTATGTGCGGCAGTTCCATCCAAACCGGCTCCGGTCAGGGTGTACTTGCCACGGACGGGAGGTGCAACATGGGATGCAAGGGCAATCCTACCGAACAATGCGGCGGCACTTGGGGCATCAATATCTGGAAGTATACGGGAACGACGTCCACATCCCCCTCAACCGCAACCCCGACTCCGAGTGGTGGTTCCAACCCAGCTTGGGTCAGTCTGGGCTGCCGAGTAGATGTCAGTGCCCGAGCTCTCAGTGCCACTTCAACTTCGTCGTCGTCGATGACGGTCAAGACTTGCCAGAACTGGTGCGCAAGCCAAGGTTACCTGATGGCTGGTGTCGAGAATGGGAACGAGTGCTACTGTGGCAACGACTTCACCAACAATGGTGGCGGACAAGCCGCTTCTAGCGATTGCAGTACACCTTGCGCCGGCAGCTCGACCGAGATCTGCGGTGGCGGTTGGAGATTGAGCGTGTATACCCTGTCTACGGCTGCCTCGGTCACTTCTGTGGCATCAAGCACAACCACAACAAGCACAACATCAACCACGTCTTCCTCTACTGCTACTCCTTCTCTCACCACTGGTTTGACAACCAACAAGGTGGTCATTGCTCACCACATGGTTGGGAACACGTTCCCCTACAGCCAATCAAGCTGGGCAGCCGACATTGCCCTAGCTCAGTCCAGCGGCATTGATGCTTTTGCACTTAACTACGGCTCCGACTACTGGGAACCTGGCCAGTTGAGTTCTGCGTATGCGGCCGCCGTGGGTACAGGGTTCAAGCTGTTCCTGTCGGCCGACATGACCGCCCTCCCCGGTGGATCGGATGGAGATGCTCAGAATCTTGCCAATCAGGTTCGACAGTTCGCTGGTCACCCCAACCAACTCTATTATAACGGAGGCCTGGTATTCAGCACCTTTTCTGGGGAGACTACAACTTTCGGACAGGGAAGTGTTCAAGCTGGATGGCAAGATGTACTCAACAAGATAGGAGTTCAAGTCACTTTTATGCCTTCGTTCTTCGTCGACCCAAGTACCTTCGGGAATTACCCCTTCGTGAGTGGCGCATTCAACTGGAATGGCGGGTGGCCGTCGGGCGACTCAGATGTCACCTATGGTACTGATCAGCAATGGATCAATGGCCTGAATGGGAAACTTTACATGGCTGCTGTCTCCCCCAACTTCTTCACCCACTACAGCTATAAAAATTTCCTGTACAAGAACGACGATAACCTGTTTGCAACTCGCTGGGAGATGCTTATCGCCAACCGCAACCAAATCGCCATGACCGAAATTATAAGCTGGAACGACTATGGTGAGTCACACTACGTAGGGCCCATCGAAGGTGCCATGCCCGACGGTACAACATGGGTGAATGGATTTCCCCACACGGCGTGGCTTGATATGAACAACTACTACTCGTTCGCCTTCAAGTATGGTTTCTACCCCACTTTCACCAACGACAAGGTCTATATCTATGGACGTCCGCATCCAGCTGGCGCATCGGCGTGTTGTGATGGCATTGGTCAGCCAAACGGGTACAACTGGGAAGAGGACAATTTTTACGTCGTGGTTTTTGCTACATCCTCCGCGTCTCTCGTTCTCTCTACGCCACCTTCTGGGTCTGGGGCGTCCCCTACAAGTGGCAATGCCAACCCCACCACCGTCAATGTCAACGTCGGCATCAACAAGTTCAGTCATTCTCTCGCCGTAGGCTCGGGCATGCGTGCTACCCTCTACCGGAATAACGTACAGGTGATCGATGTCAACCCCAGTGATTACACTTTTATCAGCAACCCTCAAACTCTGAATTACAATGTCTACGTGGCAATAGGCTCGTCATAATCTCATGCCAAGCATACTTTCACTCACCGTCATTCGTTTCATATGTTGCCCAGCTTGTAGGGAGGTTTCTCCCTTGTGCTATTGTTTCCACTCTGGGAAATTCTATGGTACCGTTGTTGTATCCTTGGATAGCAAGCATACAGTACATAGTGTCTGATCTGGGCGATGCTTTTCGTGCCGGTAATAAAGAATCGGGTTTATTTCATTGGACTTGTCGGGACAATGATCCGCCGAATCTTGTCGAATAGGGGAAACCCACGGGCCGCAGCGGACCGGGTGAAGCTGCCATATGGGCATTGTAGCCCTGGTATAGAGGGATTGCCAGCGCTCCAACTGTGCTCATTTCACCTCTCGTGCATCACAAAATCGCTATTCTTTCATCCTAAACCACCCAGCAAGGCATAAAATGGAGGCGAACCTGAGCAAGCTCAACTGCTTGATGTGTGAGTACTCCCGATCGGCTTTGGAAAGGCCGGCGCGGGCTGGAATACTCAGGGCGTTGGCATTGAGAAACAGACTGAGCTGACAACGGCCCGGTTTAGGCGGCACTGGAGAGTACACGACGGGATGGACTGGCGCTGGTGCCTCTCAGTCTGACAAGAAAGTGGGTGTTGTGGGCTTGACCCTGTTCGACCTCCGGCGGCTTGGCAAGGTGAGTTATTGCTGTCCTGCGTAGTACCCCACATCCTGACCCATAGGATTAGGTTAATGCCCTGTCTATGGTCGGCACGAACGGGGCGAAGTTCCCCGACATTCGCGCACACTTGCAATCCAAGATCGCCGACGTGTACAAGGACTTTGACGTGGGGTGCGTGCGCTGCGTGCCGTAGCTGGACAATGAGCTGACTTTCACATCAGCTTCAAGAGCTATCCGGAAGGGGACAAGCAAGACACGGAAGCGTGTACGCTCCCTCATTTGACATCATATAAACAAGCAATGCTTACCGCCAGATGCAGACAAGACTGCCATTGATGCGCTTAAGCCTGGAGACGCCGTCATCATATTCACTCCTGACAGTTTGTTGATTCCTATCCCCTTTTGCAAGCGACTGATTTTGTTTTCAGATACTCATTTTGCCATCGCTCTCTATGCACTCGAGCGCAAACTACATGTTCTCCTCACCAAGCCCGCAACCCAGTTACTGGAGCACCACCAAAAGTTGATTGACGTGGCGGAGAAGAATGGCGTTGTGTGCTTTGTCGAACACCATAAGCGGTTCGATCCTGCCTACTCTGACGCCCGCGGGCGTGCACAGGCCCTCGGGGAGTTCAATTTTTTCAGTTCATGGATGAGCCAGCCGAAGCATCAGCTTATTACCTTCAAGGAATGGGCGGGGAGGGACTCCGACATTAGGTTGGCGATGCTGCATCATGTCACCATGAGATACTTACGGACCGAACAGTTACTACCTCAACTCCCACCACATCGACATCCATTGCTGGATCATGGGTGACAAAGGCGTGCCAACTCGTGTAGTGGCTAGTGCAAGCAAAGGTATTGCTACCAGCGAACCGTTTAATTGTGTACCTCAGGCCGAGGACACAATCACCCTCCTTGTGGACTGGGAGTCAACCACCAGTGCGAAGCATAGGGGAACTGCAGTGTACACTGCGTCCTGGACCGCTCCTATGGGCGCGGGTATCCACTCTGGACAACATTTCCACTACATGGGCGCAAAGGCGAGGACTTCCTAGATCAAAGTGTATGGAATGCTCACATTCACGTCGGTAGGGAGACGTGCACGTCGACCAAGCCCATCGCGGATACGACGTGACAGTCGATGGTTCTGGACTCGCCTTTTACAATCCTTTTTACATGAAGTACACGCCGTCCGAAACGGGTCACTTCGACGGCCAACGAGGATATGGTTATATCTCCATCGAGAAGTTTGTCGATGCTGCACGTATGGTCAACGCCGGCGTAGCAAAGCCGGCAGACTTTGACAAGCAGGGCTTGCCGACCATTCTTAACACTGTCCTCACGACCGCGATCCTCCACGCTGGCCGTATCTCGCTCGATGAGAAGCGTCCTGTGCAGATCAAGAAGCAGGGCAACGGGTGGGCTCTTGAGTAAGAAACAGCTGGTGCATTGTGCAGCTCTGAATACCCCTCACGGATGATCGAAGAGGTGCATGACACCCATATTGCAAATATGTAGTTGCATTGTACGAAATAAAGAGGAATAACAATTAGATCATGCGATCCGGAGAGATCTCCTCTTCTGGCAGCAATTCTGCCTGGAACTTCAGACATGTGAAGATACCGATTCTGGCAGGCTTCTCAGAAGCATAGAAACTGTGGCGATGAGAGGGTTTGTTGGATTCTGATTCCCACGTAATTATATCATTCTCATTGTAATGTCATATTTCCAGGGTCCATGCGAGACAATATATTGTCCGATCAAGCGGCCTAAGGCGAATCTCAGATTTGTTGGCATAGCAAACCTAAGTCATTTCATCGCATTCTACAATGAAAAGTGCAACTCAAATAATATGCAGGCCATCGTTCCGCTTCGTCCCCAGGTTGACTGGTAGAGACATCTGCTGCTCAGGATAATCGCATGACCCATACAGAGCACACCTGATCCAGAACATCGTCTTGCAGTAGAGTAAGTCTATCAGCAAAGAAGTGATACAGTTGTGAACCAAAACTGAGCAGGTCATGCCCTGACCGATATGGTCTCTGGCCCCAGACGTACCTTGACCGCTTGTTGTAATTGTCAGGTCTCAGGTGCAGCTGTCAACAAGCGTCGCATGTGTGGGGAAGGTCAGTTGTTTTTCATTGCCGAATTACATGCTAGCCGAACAAAGCGGACCAAAGCGACGTCAGCTCTACCATCATCGCTTGTTGCATTCGTCACCAACCGACCTGTACATTGTCACTGAATGCGAAACACAAATCCATAGAAATTGCCACATGACATGCTAGAAACAGAACATATTGTGCCGAGGATCAGATAGAACACAATTATACAAATAGGCATCGTTCCGGCCGTCAGTTGCTTCCATCAGGGTGACCAATCGCCGGTCTCGGGTGATGGCAAGACACAAATATCTGACACCGGTCAAATCTGAGATCAAGACAAAGCGGGGCGCGCTAACAATGCTGTCGGCGTTCAGTAATGATGCGGATCACGGGCGCCTAGGTCATGGGAGGAAATACATCGGATCATGTCATCCGGCGTTTCCATACAGTCTCGCAACCGAGCCGTGTAGAGCATCGACCAGGATGATAGCGATAAATTTCCGGATGCGATGAGAGATCGATTCCACGCTTTCGCTAGTGTTGTCGCCATCGTTTGAAGTGCTCCCTGAAGCAGACAGTTATCGATCACGAAGCAATAACCCGCACAAGGTGGGTGATGTGCCTAGGTACGGTATGACACACTGTCGGCCGGATTAATGTGCGGCTCCTCTGTCTACAGCACTAGTACCTCTTCACCATAGTAGGATGGCGAGGCGGCAGCAGATGTGCCTCTATCAGCGATGGATAGCATGATGTAGCATTTGTCCGAATTTCGGTGTTGTTGCCTCGAAGCGACACGATTATCGGAAGATCGGTCGGGAGAAGCTAACATGTTAACGGGAAGCAGCAAGAACTGTCGATCGACGAGGGTAGAATACTTGTGATATTACCGTGCGATAATCGAACAGTAATTTGTGCCCGGCACAGAGAGTATTCCAGCGGTTGAAGTTAGAAAGCGAGGACATTTCGATAGATGTACGTCTTTGAGGTGCGGTGCAAAAGAGCAATCGGGGTCGCATGAGCGCCTGGTGTGGTTTTATGTAAATTCCCGCTCCAACAGGTCAATGTCCAAGGAATGTTTACCAGTAGAGAGGTAATCACGTATAAACATCGAACCTTGTACGCAAAGAGCCACAGAAGCGGCCATAAGCGCTCGGTGAAGAACGGGAGGCGTTGTTTAGCTTTCGCTTACTGGGGCCGCTTCTGCAAGCCTGCTCTCTGCAACATCACAACAATCAACAAAGATAAGGTTCAAAATAACATACTTTCATGACAAAACGATTTCAGCAGCACGATGTTGTGGAGCTGGCAGAGTACCTTGATGCAGAAACGTTGGAAAATGCGAACAAAGGAACAACGGCCATACACATCCGCTTCTAGTATCCACCGATTTCGAACTTCGTCGTATGACCTGAAATTTTAGATGTGAAGAGCGGGAGGAAGATGTACGCTTCGACGTCACATCACGTGCTGCCGAATCATGGGCTTAGCACTGGAATGTGTGACGCGTGACTGGAATGCATTCCAGGCAACGTCAGAACGTCTGCCTTACATGGTGGTCAGGACACCACGTAGCATCCAAATCACTGCTATTTTCACTGCTTCAGCGGCGGCCTACTTGCCTCTGGACCGGCTGGTGGGTAAAGATCATACACCGAGGCGATAATCGTTTACTCTCCGACCGGCCGAAACAGTGTTACCTTAGAATGACAATTTCATCGGTCAGGGTTTCCGTTGAACCGGATGTTCGATGCCATTGAAAGGCATTCGCGGACTCTGTGAAGGGCCTGTATAGAACTTCAATAGTGTCGCCAAGGGTATGGGTCTTCGCTTTGTCATCGCCAATTCTTTGCGGGTTTCAAAAACGCGCTCACTTGAAAAAGCACAGTTCATCGTACGGACCGCTGGAGACAACGCCCCATGCGACTCCATGATTGACACAAACCCATTACATGACCCTAATATAGCATTAGTCCCTTCCCGTTTGAGCTGTGCTACTCAGGAAGCAGGCTGATCAGAGGGCGCTCAGCCAGGGTTGTAAATGGATGAGGCACTGTGCCGTCTCCGGCATGTCATGTCCCCCATGCGGCCGTGGGATCCTGTAGACGGGTGATAATCAGCCCTTGTCGCGAAACATAGGAACTCCTTACTCAGTCACTTCCGCTTACTCCCAAAACTTATAACCAGCAGCCAGTGCGCTGATTATGGTAAGCTGCGCAGATACAACAAGATGCGATTTGTGAATCGTGTGTTGTTATTCGAAAGCGGTAGGTTGTCCGAGTAACACAGGGCCCGATTGTGATCCGCAAAGGAGCGCCCAGGATTGGGCGGCCCGGGGTATCGCACGACTGAGGACCCAACTTATCCCAAGAAAGCGAGAAACTGGTACCCTTCTGACTCAGAAGCGATGGCAGACCGAGAGCATCTCCGTTGTTGCAGCTTTTCGTGCTTCTCTACACGCGCTATCGAGATGGGGCGGTATGTGGAAGCAACGTCACTCTCTCTGGCCCCTGGGGCGCAAGATCTTCGGGCAGGGACGCGACGGAGATGCTTGGATGAATCGGGCAGGCAAAAGCCGCGATGGGTCAATTCGGGACGTTGACGACGAGTCACGGCCTGGGCAACAATGCTCCACAGACGCTGTTCCATTCCGCATCACTACGACTAGATGAATCCTATGTCAATGGCCGAGGGGGCGTGGAGGAATCGGGAGGTTTGGGACAACCATATTCTGCGCGAATGTTTATAGTATTGTCAAGGGATGCTTGTTTTAGGATAGTCCGGGACACGAGGAGCAACGTGAAGAGAGTGAAGAGTATATATGAGGAGAACACTAGCCCAGGGCACGCCTCCACACTGGGCAGTGCACCCGGGTAATTGCGAAATCTGCCGGGTTCGAACGTGCTGCTGACGTGGGAGGAGACACAGATTGGGCCGCAAGAGCTCCAGCGCACCAAGTCTTAAAGGCATCAGACACGGGCGGGCAGCGCTATCTGTCGTGTGCACAGGAAGCGATGTTGGATTAGACTTGCAATATAGCAGCAGCTCTTCACATCACATGCATGCAACAACATTAATCTACTTGTTGTCGTAGTTTTACCGAGTAGCAGACAAGGGCGTAGGTGCTCCGCGAAACCGATCAACCGGCGCTTCGAAGTACAGGATGATGGGCGGCGTGAAAGGGGAAGATCGAACTGCGACCTTGACAGGTCAACGTTGCAGATTATATACTGAAGGAGGCAAGAGTGACAGTTGTCAAACGTTCTCTAACTGCCACCGTGAGAGATCCCTGGGGACCATCATGGGAAGACTGTGATATCGGAGAGCAATCAATGCAAAAATTTCAAGCGCTTTGTGTGCACAGTTTCAGGAACCCCTCTGTACAATGGACGTACCCTGAACAGGCCAGCGAGGCAGCGATTCGGTGAGAGCACGAGTGCGGGCGATGATGGTAGATCATGCGAATAGGGGGACGTTGACGACCATGTCCAATGTGGAGATGTCGGACATTCGGTTGTTCGCGTAAGAGTTCCAAGGTGCTGTCGAGACAGCCTGCATGTGAGCTGTGCCCCGGTCGCTCGGTCATTTCCAGCAATCACAGAAGGCGCGAAGACGTCCCCAGGCGCAAGGCCATCACGAACCCGGCTAGGGTCAACGTCGGGGCCCTGCCTCAAGCGGATGTCATATACCCCAGTACGCCTTGCTGCAAACACGAGGCATCAGGCTGATACGTCCCACTTTGGTTTTCGGTTTTTGACTGCTCTACTTACCTCACACTCTCCCTCGTCGTTCGACCACTCCTCACTCCTATTCTCTCTCTCGCCTTCGTCGGCACCTCTCCCTCTCTTGTCACATCCGTCGGTGCATATACCCTCCACGCAGCACCAACCGATCCTGTTTCCTGCACTTGCTTTTCCCTTTCCGCTCTTGCACACATCGCATATACGTCGCGTGGACAAACACACGGCATCCAATACCCGCATCTCTCGCGCTTGCACCCTCGTCCCCCTCAAATCGCACAAGGGTCGTTATCCTCGTAGAGCCCGGAGCCCAGCAGTCAGTCGAAGAACCCGACGACTGCACCCAACTGCCCATACGCCAAAAGGCACTTGTGTCGCCGCACCGCCCCTTCTCGGTCGCAGCATCCAGCCAGCTAACTCAAGTCATTCATTGCACCACCGTATACCATATCGCGCTCTCGGTGAGGATCGTCGATTGCTTTCAAAGTATCGGGCCCGCTGACGATGGTTCGATGCAGATCGAAGAGATAGAGGGGCAGTTCGAGCACATCAGAGCTTGGTGAGCTTGTATAATCTATCGGAGAGTGCCCAGGAGCTAATTGAGTTTGAACTCTCCAGATATTGTCAAGATATTCCAGAGTGGAGCTTACTCGTGGTGAGAACCCTTCCATGCACTTGCTCTTCACATTTTTGCTTCGCATCTTTCTTTTGCGTTCAAATAGAAGACGCATGGGAGTGTTTTGGATTGATGTCGATGGTGGTGGTGGTGAACACAGAAGCGCCTCATGTTACGTCGAGGGGTGGCTCGCTGTGATGTGCCAAGGCACGAGAAGCCGAGCTTCTGGACCACTAGTGGAACCGTGACTGTGACCTGGGAGAGAGAAGTGGGCGATGACGGAGGTGATATGTCGGAGAAGCGCGGCTGCTTTTTCAACTTTTGCACACCAGGACAAGTATGGCTATTGCCTCACTATCTTGGGATGGATGGTTCGGACCGGGATTCTCAGGCTCAACGCCGATCGGTCGCGTGCACTCAGCCCCGGGAGTACCAAACTCCCCGATGGTGGATGGTACACCTGATGAGCAGCCTGTCGCGTCCTGTCATGTCAATCACCATGTCTCTCCTCCAACAGCTCAGGGGCCGTGACATGTTGTCCCATGTCACACTTGTGCATGCACCGGATCCTTTTTCCCTTTCTGCATTCTCTTGTTCGCATCCGGCCAATCACCCATTAAACCTTGAGGTTTCATTTTGATTATTTGGCTCCTCTCTGCTTCCTGACAGACCCGGCGCGGCGCTCCCTTCGGTGGGATTGCGCCGTCACGGTGGGCCTCTTAATCTTATTGTTATTCTCTTGTTCGCCTGCGCTTGTTTCACGATTGTTATGTCCCTGCGTGGGTGGCGCACCTATTCCGGGCTGTGCCGTCGTTGCCGTCCACCGGAGGATCCGCAACTCGGTGATAGAGGCCTTTGCGTCACCGTTCTCAGCTTCAAGAAGCACCCGCTCTTCACAAGGGATCTAAACTTGGTCCCTGCCGCGTGTAGCGGTTGTCTTGCGGTGGGTGGGGGGGGCCATAGGTTTGGCACTGCCCGCCAGAGGGACGGTGGATCGACGGCAGACGCCGCTACATTAGATGGGCTCGCGTGGGTGGTGATGAACTGGGAGAGAAGCGTACGCGCAGAATAGAGTGACGGTTCAGAAGGCTTGATTATGCCGCGGCAAGTCTTCACCGTTGCGCTAGGCCGCTACAACTCGCTCGTTATCTGTTCCTCGCCCTCTCTTCACATCACATTTACCGGCGTGTAACGCCCACCATCTTAGTACTGTATACTCCTCCAGGCTAGCCCAGCCGCCGTTGCTCTGCTTCGCTGCCGTCATTCATTCCTTTTTATCCCAGACCGTCGGGGTCTCTTCTTGTTACCTCACACCCCTTCCGCAATATTCCCCCTCCTCATTACTTCTCGTATTCCCGCTACCTACCTCCATAACTCCTCTCGGTCTTTCAGCAGTCACTGCTGTAATAACCTTGTCCAGTCCTTTCCGCGACTTGGGCTCAAACCCGAGCCTTGTTTTACCCCAAACGGCCTTCGCTTTCCTTCTTATATCCCCCTTATCGACCTTTGGTCTGACCCGTCATCGCTCACCACAATTCCCACTTGTAGTTTGCTCGTCGTTCCCCGCACTCTACAAGTCCATATTCGCACCCTATCGGCATATCGCGACGTGGTTCCGGCTCACTCTTAACTGATTGCACGCCGGTCCGCATTCCAGTAACCCCTACAACGATATTGCCCACCATACGTACTTGCTAATCCAATCCGCCTCTCATTACCCAATACCACAACGTGTTCGAGGTCCATTGCGGCATAGACCATCCGACGAGCAAAGAACTAGGGAGAATTAAAAGGCTAGCACGGGGTGCTTCATATTTGGTGAGTGTTGTTAACTTTGGTGATTACATTCCTCCGCCCAAGTCCCTATACCATGGGATGGACCACCTCGCACCTGCGGCCTCACCTCGGCGCCTCTGCGTCACCCTCTCCATCCCTATGCTATGGGCTGTTGGCCTATCCAGAGGGATGAGACGACAGTCTCTAGACGCTGCTCGCATTCCTTGGCGCTGATGGTGCTGATGGTCCTTACATACCCATGGGTTCAGCATATTTGGCTTCAAGCCGATATGTTGAGCTATGGTGCGGTGTCAGTTCATCGAGCATAGTCACTCGAGCTTTATAAGTGTTGCATTTGCCTGTTCTGGCATTTCATCCTTTCCTTTTCATCCCCCCCCTGCTTGCTGCTGCGCTGCGCTACCTCCCACTACTCTACCGCGTCCGGCCTAATACCCGTCCACTCGTTTTTCTGCATAACGCTGTATCTCTATTGCTGCCCCAATTTTTTGTGGCTGATCTCAACCGACTTGCCTATCCGGCGCCTTCCTTACTCTTCGCGTTTCTGCCTTTTTCGGTCGGTGACCCTCGATCCTTCCCCTCTCTACCCTCGAATCCGCTTAACTCCGCGCGCCATGTCCCTGACCGTTCTTGCTGATCGCCCTGCTACTTCCAGTCCGCTCCCCTTCACCCAATACTTCTCTGCCGCTTCCTCCATCGTCTCTCCCTCTCCTTCCCCCGAACCCGCTGCCGTCCCCGACACAAACGCAGATACCGACCTCGACATGAAGACCCGCTCCAACCCAGGTCAGGGCCCTCTCAAGTCCAATCGCGTCCACGCATACGTTCGTCAGGCGAAGAAAACCCATGCCGTCTCCCACCAGTCTCTCGCTCCTAGTGGCAGCAGGGCAGGGATGTCCCCCGGTCTCGCCGCCACCATCGCTAAACTTCGTTACTCCCCACCGGCTGCCATCATGGTTGAGATCAACAAGCAGAAGAAGCAAAAGCAACTCATGACCCGCGACGCGATGTTACTGCAGGAAGAGGAGTATGCAGAGGAAGTCCTTGAGTACTGGCGCGAGCGTGAGGTACGCACCCTTTGCTTCATGTTGTCTCTGTGTGGCACTGACTATATGCATAGGCCAATACGCACCCCGAGGTTCCGAACATGGACATGCAGCCTGAGCTTGGCTGGGAGATCCGCCCGTGCCTCACCGACTTCCTCATTGAAGTCCACCTCATGAACCGCATGCGCCCCGAAACACTCTACCTGGCTATCAACATCGTCGACCGTTATATATCAAAGCGCGTAGTATTGAAGAAGCACTACCAACTCATCGGCTGTGCTGCCCTCTGGATCGCCGCGAAGTACGAGGATGAAAAGTCACGTATCCCAAGCCTGGCCGAGTTCGTCGATCACTGCCACAACCAACACGACCAGTCTGCTTTCGTCCAGATGGAGCGCCATGTCCTTGCAACGATTGGTTGGGACATCGGTCACCCGACTGCTGAAAGTTGGTTGCGCGTGAAGTGCAGCGGCGAGTCGTATGAGACTCCGCGTACACAACACGTTACTCGCTTTCTGATGGAGCTCACCCTGTTCAAGAGGGAGTTCGTACACCTGCGGCCCAGCCAGATTGCCCACGGCTCTCTGTGCTTGGCAAAATACATCTTGGGAGAGTCGCGCCTTTCGGTTAGTGCTTCTTACATATATGCTGGAATATCTGCTCATGTTCCAACAGAGAAGCGAGGACACGACCGAGTCGCGCGAGGTTTCGGAAGCGCTCGATGAGCTGTGCTCGGAGGGGGTCCAGCGCCTGTCCGAGACTGTCTGCAAGAAATATCAACCCCACTACTATTCCGGCGCGTCGCGTATTATAAGCGAGTGGTATGCAAGGGGAAACCGCTACCACTACTCCCCCTTCCCCGAATGGAACATCGACTTGCCATCTTCCTCAGAGGCATACAAGACGTTCTATGACTCTTCTCTCTCCCGCTCGGGGTCCAGTATGGACTCAATCTCCTCTACCTTGTCTGCGAGTGGCTCCAGCGATGCTGGCGATAGCATGCCGGCAACGCCGATCACTCCCATCTACCCCAGCGCAGAATCCTATGTCAGTGCCAGTGGAAAGGAGAACCAAGCCCAGGGCATGCTGTTTGGCATCACCCCAGAGATGGCTATGCGCGCCAAGGACGAACCAATAGCAAAGTCCGACGAGGTCCTGGTGCCCATTAACCATAACAACAAAGTCTACTCAATGCGCAGCTCGTTCATCGTGCCTCAACCATCCGCCGGTGGCTCTCATGCTGTTCAGTATGATTTCAGTGTCGTATGAGCGCTCACGTTCCGTCGCCGTTCGCCACTGTATCCATGCATATTGTCTTCATAGCGCCTCTCCCGTCATGGTCTCCTCCCTAACGCCTTCCTCTCTTCATGACGTCTTTGACTCGCTGTGCATAGCCTCTGCCTGCCTTCCCCTTTCCTTGCCATCTTCCTCTTCATCGCAACTGGTCAACAAAATGTATCAACTACACTTTTTCAGCAAAAATCCAAACAAATCTTCTCGCTCTCTGCAACCCTTTCTCCAATTCCCTGCATTCAACGCTCGATTCCAGCAAATTCTCTTACCTCTACTCACACACACGGCACACACACATCGCTCTGTGATATTATCGTACAAGCCTTTCTCGCCTCGGTCGTCGTTATCAACCTCGATCTACCGATCTCGGATCGACTTGTGTGCATGCCTTGAGCTGCCTATGGCGCTTAGCCTCGATCGGATCGAAATGGTCGACTCGGAAGGCTTTACTTTACTTCGTATTTCAGCGGCATTCTTTTTTTGACATCCACAGCGGTATTTCGGCCGGCGCCCCTCCATATCCAGCAGCAAGCAGTACCAAAAGCAATCCAAACAAGGGGTCGCGCATCGACATTCCCTTCGCTCATTCGTCATTCCCGTCGTTCGTCGGACGCCACCCATGCACCCACCAAGATCGGTCTTACTTATTTCATCTTTTGTGGTGATTATTTCGGTTATACGGCTCTGCCCGTTCTTCCTCCTGTGCCGCTTGTTGGGCCGACGACGACAGCTTCGCAATCAAACCAATCCTGTTACTATTACTAGGCACGTTACTTACTCTTACCTACTTTCAACTACCCTAGCTGTTACTCGTACACCTCGTACTTGCCTGTCCAATCGTTACTCCCCATCAACAGAATGACAGTTGTATTCGTTCACCAAAAAAATCCCGCGTGTGACTGCTCAAGAATACGAGTGCAATATTCTCCATCAGAGGAAACTAGATTTCCCGTCATAGAATCGAATGTTGGTTGTTACGGGTCGAAAACACTAGAACACTAGCTGCAGAACGCTCTTTGTGAGGCAAACGCCCATGCAGATATTGAAAAGACGCATCACATAGGTCTGGAGACGGCCTCGTGTACGCCTCGTGTTTGCGACACTTCGCCCGGAACCGTCGTCTCGTAGGCTCGAAAAGGGATAGTCGCAATGCCTTTTCCGGTGGAACATCCGCCTTGATATGCTAATGAGTTAGCACAGCGAGCCAATCTAGATGATACTTGGAGATGGAAGTTAGGAGTCATAATGATATTCGATGCAGGAGGGTTGGGGCTGGGTGGGACGAAAGATAACAGAACTCACACCCGACTTGTTCCAGGGGGAAGGTTGTTGGGAAATCAAAGATAGGGGAAACGATATACGAGCAGATCTGGAGAGAACTAACACGAGAAGTGAACTCAGAGCCAGCTAGGCCGCGCTAAGGGATGGATAGACCGAAAACAGCGTCTGGTTATCTGAGCGTCAAGACAAGAAAACAAGCGATCACTCGAGATCTTGATCGTTCTGCAAAGCGACAGAGCGTTACGCTTTGAGGATGGGCTATCGTACAGAGATCTATCCGCCTGAATCCCATGGAAAAAGGCGTTGCTGATCACAATGAATTGGATCGACGACACGCACAATTTGGTTCACGCGACACAGCTCCTACATCCAATCCCGGTCATACCAGACGTGACAAACGTCGAAAAGTAAGAACCATCATACACAAATAATAATGCGTGCATAAATGAAGTCATCGTCGTGGTTGCTAGAAGAAGACGCGTAAGTTGGAGATGGTCGGCAACCCTTGGCCCGGGTGTCAGGGGTACGTGTCCGCGTTTTTGACTGCTGCCAACCACCTCACCATCGACAGCGACAACAAAGCCCAATCTCCCTAAACACTGCACCACTATGCAAAGTTAGCATGTGTATTCCACTTAATTTTTATCAGGGGTGTTAACTGTGCCCCGTTTTATAGAAGATGACTCCCCCGTCAGTGAAGAACGCCGTCCCCAACTCAAGCGCCTCGATGTTCGCTACTCGCGTGCAGAGCTGTTGCACCTCTCTAAATCACCTCTGGTTGCACCACCAGAGGGCATGCCCGATCTCAGTGACTGGTTTGGGTAAGATATATTTTGTTGTGCCATTTTCATCCGCGTTGACACATGGCGCATACAAAGTCAATTCGAGCATACCAGCCCAGTGATGAACAAGCGAGAGGCCAAGGATCTCAATACAGGGGAGGTCGGATCGGGAAGGGAGCGACGGTATGCTGTTCGCCTGTCTGTTTCGTGCCGAATTCTTACGCATCAGGCAGGTATCGGAAAGAAGATGAGGAAAGTGGCTCGAGATCCTATCGTCCCAACTTGTCCCAAGGAGGGCCAATGGGTTCGTTCCGCTTACAGCCTGTGCGCACTGAGAGCGATCGCTTACGCAATGTGTGCTATTTTACCCGCATTCCGTCCATGTTTCTGACATTTTCATTTACAGACCGATAACTACGATAAGGACCGTTCAGCTGGACTGGCTGGTTCCTCGTTGGCTCTCCGTCGCGATCGCGAGAGAGATCGTGACACTGCACCACACCTGGCAAAACGCGAAGTTGGCGCAGCGCCACTTCGAGGAAGTGAGCGTCCACGCGATTTGAAAGACAGGGATCCAGGACGTGAGACCGCGGCAGACAGAGCAGCAGATAGAGAACGAGCGAGGGAAGCAGGAAGGCGGAGAAAAGAGGAGGAGCTTAGCGGAGAAGCTCCAAAGAAAGAGCGAGGGCGGGCTGGTGAAAGCCAGGACTGGAGAACGAAGGATGGTGAGTCATGTCAGTTCTGCCTACTATTCTCTTTTCCATCGTCCACCACACACACTTGCTGACTCTCTTTTCGTAGCCGAAGGTGCTGTAAGACGGGACGATCGGGATGCAGACCGGGAAAAAGATCGCGAGCGTGAGCGCGAGCGGGATGCTGAGTATATGCGCAAGTATGGAGACTCGTGGGTCCCAGAACCGGATCGCTACGACCGAGACCGACGAGCTCGTGACCGTGAAAGGGACCGAGATTGGGAAAGGGATCGGGACCGTGAAAGGGATAGGAGCAGAGAGAGAAGCGAATATCCTCCACGCAGTAGCGCCGGCCGAACGCCTTGGGATACCGAGAAGGAACGAGCATCCTATGATCGTCGACGGCGTGACGAACGAGAGGACCTGCGCCGCAGTGACAAGGATCGCGAGCGTGATCGAGACCGCCGACCACCATCCCCAGAGCCCCTCCGTCGGCGTCGCTCGCGTTCTCGTCAACGTTCTCCATCCCCTATAGGAGATCGTCGTCGCCGGCCCGGCGCCCGAGATGAGGTTGAGGAGAAGGAACCTGCATGGGCGACTGATGATGTCGCACCTGTTGGTGGGCTGAGAGGGTTGCTTGGCTCTGGAGAGGACAAATTACAGGCCTGGAAGAGGCAGATGAAAGAAGCAGAAGAGAAGAAAAAAGAAGCCGCCCGGACGCCGGAAGTGATTGATGATCGTGACAGCGGTGAAGAAAAGAAGGATGCTGCACCCCCGCCTGGCCTAGAGGCCGCTGCTCCAGCAGAACCCGCCCAAAATAAACGTGAGTGCCCCTTAGATGAAGGGTTTCATACCTGATGTGTTTCGTAGCTATCCCTGCTGCTGAGCCACCTTTGCCTCTCCATCTGCGTCTTGCGGGAAAGTCAGCACACGCGTTCAAGGGGATTGGTCAGGCTGCCCCCTCGACCCCGACTTCCACAGCCCAAAGCGTGGCCGATAAACTCGCCGAGATCGTTAGCGCACCAAACTATGGGCAGAATGCTCTCATCACTCCGCAACCGTCACAGGACACAATTTCCCCAACTCCATCAAGCGAAGGAAGGCAAATGTCGGTTTCTGAATTCTTTGGTGTGGGCCAAAATGGTGGTCTGACTGATGCTGCAAAGAAGGCCGCAGAACTGAATCGTCCGATAAGCAGCACGGCCACAGCACCCCCTCCTATGACCTTGTTGCCCTCTCCCACACCTACCCTTCCTCCCACAACAGGTCCCATTATGTCGTCATCGAATATGTCCAACGATGGGGCTCCGAGGGGGAGCAGGTTCGCAAAGCTATGGGACAATCGAGCCCCTGCGTCTGGATCCATGGACATGTCGTTACAGTCTAGAATGGATGAGACCGCATCCTTGGGCGGCATGCTGCAGGGTATGGCTTTGGGGGGACCGACACCGTCCACTGTGTCTCAGAACAACGAACAGCAGAGGATGAATGAACTTCTTTCCACTTTACGTGGGGTAAGCGTATCTATTAAAATGAGGGTATAGACGTCTGAATCGCTAGCAGGCGCCAACCGCGTCTCTGCCGTCTCAGGCACGCACATCTCCTATGAATGTGTTCCCCAGCGGTGCCGGTCAAGGAAATGTGGCTCAGCAGCATATTCCTACTCAAACACCATTTGGCGGCCCGTACATTGGACAGCATGAGGGCTACCCTTCAGATCGGTTGGGCGGACTAAGCCGAGGTCCCCAACCTGCCACCCACCCTCAACATCAGTACCAGCAGCTTTACGAATACAAACAACAGCAACGCGCTCAGCAGCTTCGACAGATAGAAGCGGCGCGTGAGCGCGAGCTAGCACTTCAGCAGGCTGAGAGGGAGCAAATGGAGCGCTTGCAGCTTGCAGCACAACGGGAACGTCACCTTCAGGAGATACAGCTGGAAATGAGAATGAGAGCTCAATATCAGGGATCTGCCGACTTCGAGCGCGACCAACAGCGACGCGAGCAGGCGAGACAGTATTACGAGTATCAGCAGCGTTTGATGCAACAGCAATCGCAGCAGCAAGTGCAAATCCAGCAACAGCAGCACCTTCTCAGCCAGCAACAACAACAGCAGCAGCAGCAACAGTCGCAACAAGAGCAGAGTCTTCTTTCCCAATTCCAGCAGCCTCAGGGACTATTCGGCTCGAATGCCCAGATGGACTCGAACCCATACGACAGGACTGTGGTCCGATCTGGGGACGGTCAGCGAGATCGCTCTTTGACGCGACATTCCCAGTACGAACACCTGCCAACACCTCCTGCCAGTCTCCCACAGCGGCCGCCAGGAATGGCTTCGCAGCCTTTCAACGGCTCTGTTCCGGCACCTCCGAAGCCTGTGACACCCGGGGGAATGTTCTCCGAACAGACTCTACCTTCTCAATCTAGTCTCCCTATGCGACCACAGCAAGGGTTGGTATCCCCACAATCCCAATATCCGCCGAACCTTCCTATGCAACAAAGTGCAGCACAGTTCAATAGCTTCCCTAACGCCAGCGTCCTTGGACACTCTCGCTCGGGAACATCGACCAGCATGTCCGGTTTCCCGTCTTCAGGTTCAGGCATTAATGCCGGGGGTGTCACGTATCAACAGCAACAACAATTGCAGGCTCAGCAACAGCAGAGACAGACCCAGCAACAGCTTTTGTTGAGCCAGTTCCAGGGCGGTATTCGAGGAGGATACGGCAATCCTCAAGGCGCGCCGCTCACCACACCATCAATTCAGCAGCATGGGCAACCGATTAATGGCCCCAGCCCCGGACCTGGCGGTCAACAGTTGCCACCCCATATGCTTTCTGGCAGATTGCCACCCCAATTCTAGTCGATCGCGACCGAAGATCCCAGGTTCAAACACAGCGAACAAGAAACGTCCAGTCCACCACACAGTCACACACAACCCACTGGAGCACATTCCTATCCGTTGTACTCTGTTCATTTCTCCTCAATTTCCCTTCTAGCACTCTTCTCTGCCCATCTCTCACTCCAACTGTTTTCATGTCGACTTCCACGATTCATTTGTCAGTTTTCATGTGATTTCCTCCTCCGTCTCAAATCCTCAACTTGCGATACTTTCCGAAAGACCATCTATGTCATTACGCCCTCAACGCACACGAGACGTGCCTGGTTTCTGTTCGACTTCATGTCGAAGGCAAAACCTATGTAGCTCTTTGTCTCTCCATATGGGATGCAATTAACGCCATCACCACGTATTGAGACTTCTCCACACCCGGAGCCTGACCCTGTGTGAGACCCATCAGCCCATCTGTCTAACAGTTAGGAAAAGAAAACGCACCTGTCCAACACAATCTCAACTTCTACATCTGATTCGTGATCCGATTTTACTTCTTGCCATTTCGAAATATTCCATCGAACCCACCCCCACCCAGGTTTGATCTTTTAGCAGACTCAGACTGGCATCTTTGAAGAACTGTACTCCAACTTGCCTCGGGTTTCTTGTGTGGTGCGATTACCACCAACCATTTGGATTTCAAGCTGAGCTCGTAGAGTAGTGAGAACAGTTCTGATGGGGTACACAGATGCAAAGCAAACGATGACACAACCATGTCCACAGTTTGTGGAGACGCAGATACCCCTGACACTTCTCCGTGGTGAGATCGAGGCTCCTTAGACATTGCACTGTTGAGATCATGCGCAGTGAATGAAGGCATGCTTCCCTCAGCCACGTCCGCGAAACTGAAAGGTGCGCAATACCGAGAGGTTCTCGCGGTGTATGCAGGAGCAGTGTACTTCATCGAACTTGAGTCATGCACATTCGCGTAAACGATCCAGGTAGCTTACGGGATCACTCGCGATTATCAATGGATCAGGAATTGAAGAATTCAACATGAGAGCGAGACGACGAACGGGCCGTTGGACAGACCGATGCGTAAGACTAGATGGAGGATGGGATTCTTCGGACAGGTGAGACGGATGCTCTTTCGGTCGTCTGAGAGAGTACCAATTGAGGATAGCCTCAGTCACTTCACCGCTTCCTGGAATCAGTAACACGTCTCAATCGCAGGACCGAGATGCGTACCTCCCCGCAGCCAAATCCCAAAACGAGGCAGGCTTGTCCTGAGGCATCTCCCGAGACTCTCGGAGCCACCACTTATCGAGCCAAGCATGCAAGCATTTTTGTGCGCCCTCAAAGTGGGGATTACGGTATGAGGATGCAACGAGGTGATAGTACTGCGAGAGCAGAGATTGGCCATAGTTCTGAAGGAGAGCTTGGAGGTGTGATACCTTCTCTACGCCATGGGTTTCGTAGTTCTCCCTCATAGAATGAGATAGGTTTCCAGACATGGCGTTGTGGGGAGACACGCTCGATTTTAACAGTGTATTATTGGACAATCAGCAAATACCAGCGAATATCACCATGAAATCGAGTTTGTCGTTGTTGAATAGTCCAACTTCAATGTGGAGCAGTGGCGTTCGATGAGCAGTACGATGACCCTAACGTCCTTGATCTGATCAACGCCGTCAGTCAGCTCTCCTGCGCTCCAATGGAATGGCTTGGATCTATCATGTCTCCTTCTTCCTCTTCGTTATCCTCACGGCGATTGCGGTTGTTGGAAGTGCTGCGGGCCTAGTAGCTCAGGCTTGGTTCACAGGTGGTCAGAGGCGATGGGATGTCGTGATCGTTGTGGGATCGTATATCGCGTTGGTGAGTGCTGATGTCGCAAATTGGGCTCGATGTGTATTGATCGAAGTGTAGCTTGTGATGAGCACACTAATCGTTGTCAATCGCTTATGGAGCATACGAGTCGCATTGAGTCAAATACCCAAAGCGTACATACCCGTTAAGGAGGAAGATGCCCCGAAGGTCCGTACGCTTGACGATTCGCTGCTCTTCATTGGTGCTGATTACCTGATCAGGAAGTATACAAATCGGTCCAGGCCGAGTACACTCGAGCAAGCCTGATCGCATACATTGCTCGCCCGAGGAACAAAGTTGCACCTGGTTGGGGTACGCCAGGTAATATACGCTAATACTGTCACAAGCACGGCGCTGACTTATCGCAGGTACAGACTTGGAGCATGTCTTTCTTCCTCGAGCACTTCTGGATACTGTTGCTACTGTTGATGCTGCCGCCCGCAATCTCCTTCCATCATTACCCCCTCTACGAAGCCATGTCACGGTGACCCAGCATCTAGCCCCCCTTACCGAAATATTACACGGAGAGAAGTTTCACGAACAAGTCCGGTTGTACGATGCCTTAGTTCAGAGGGCACGATATGGATATGTCGACGAGGCGCTGTTGTTGACTGAGGTTGAGTACATCGACGGTCTGCGGCTGAGCACTGAACTGGCGAAAGCGTACTGACTCTTTTCATCGTACCTCTCACGCCCACTCATGAATATTTCCAGATTCAACGCCCTATCCGTCCTTCGCCAACCACATCCCAATGTACATGCGAGAGACTTTACTTCACCCTCTCCAGGTTTGGATTTGACTAGTCTCGAGGACCCCGTTGTGAGCGGGTTAAGCTCGTGACACGTGCCGCTCCCTACGTTTTGATGACACGTGTTGCATTTGTATATTGTCCAACACGATCGCACACTCTTACTACATTCAATCTGCCCCGCCATCGCTGGCGCTGTAGGGGCGACTATACCTCTTTCATACCTATGTTGTACTTCCACTGAGCTCCCCTCACGTACAGATCCTCACAAAGAAGTAAATGCTCGTCTCAGGAAGGATGTAGAATCTACCGATCAGTGCTGGGTAGCACGTCATCAGGTGATGGTAAAGGGGTAATGGTACCAGTAGAATCATCGCTTCCTGGAGAGGCGTTTCCATCCTCCTGATTGTGTTCAGCACTGGCAGCACAGTTGTGATGTAAGTGCACTCACATCGCTGGTGGGGTGGCAAATTATGGTCATCTTTGTCATCCCGCCCCGGAGGGGTGTTGCGGAGGCGAAGACGAAGTTGGTGAGACCGACTGAGCGCAACTTGTTTGCAAAGTCTTGATCGGAACGCTCGTACTCTGGCTCGACCGGTGGTGGGGTAGGATACCATCGGTGGGCAACAAACATGTCGCACAACTCCTTCGGGTTGCGGGTTTTTCTGATGAGCCAGACACCGGCATAGTCCCATTTGAAATCTCGCCTCAAGCACTCGTTGCGAGCCTTGAGGCCGAGGTGTTTCTTCAGGTACATTTGGAGCGCAACCTCGGCACCGGTTGGAAGGCCGAAATTCAAGTCGTCACCCCAACTGTTTTCCTTCAACCACCTCCGGAGATCGTGTCTTTCCAACCAAGGGGTGATCTCTTCACGGGGGATTAAGAAGCCGGCATACATCAAGACCTAAGCTGAATGTTCTTCGAGGGAAGGAAGTATGTATGATGATGGTTGTTGGTCGGGAGCGATTCATCGACCCAAGATGATATTATATACCCATAGTGTGGAAGTAACCTTGTTTCTCTTGAAACAGCTGGCAAAATCCGCACAAGTATCTTTCGAGAGACCATCCCAAAAGGAGCACCGAAACAGTGACGGGTGACGACGGTATTCATCCGAGAACCCAACGAATTTATCAGGGTCACAGGTGGCTTTCATGCGATCTACACAGTGGCAATTCCGTCACAATTGAAAAATTCAAAACAAACAAATCAGATACAAACGGGACCACCATCATTCAAACCGCACAGGGAATACCAGCACGCGTCAAGCGGCGGCAAGAGCTTTCCGGATCGTAACTCTGGTGCGAATGACCTGACGGCCTGCGTTGGAGCCTAGACAAAGGGATCTGGACAAGCGAAACTCGCTTTGCGCAACGAGTCGCCTCCCAGTACTAGTCCTCCCCGAGCTGCTAAGGGTAGATCTCGGTCGCATCCGGCTGATCGGCGTCCTAATCTTCTCCCTCGTGGACTAGAGTAAAGGCGTGAGCATGCCGAAATTCCGAGCAGCACGCAGGTCGGCCTCGAGATGCGCTTCAGTCTTGTCAATCTCCTGCTCGAACGAGCTGATCTTGCACTCGATTCAGATCACTAACTGAGCCAGAATTTGCGGAGGCTGAACGCCCCAGAGGAGTTGAGGCTGCTGTTCATGTGGCCCAAGACTATCAGAGCGGGTTAGGTCCGATGGATGATCAGCGTGCCAGATGTAGAGACTCTTCGCTCGCGTTCCCGACTGCGTCTTGCCCTGATGAGAGAAGGCACCCCAAGACCAAGCTCGCCTACTGCGTGCCGAATAGACGCTAGCTCTGCTTTATCCTCCCTGAAAGTTGGTCTGCCGGATCTGGGAGCGAGGGTAAGGAAGGTGAGTTGGACACGGCAGTAGCACTGTCCGTCCCGCCGGAGTCGACGGGTGTAAGCTCTCCTGGTGATGCTGTCGGAGGGGTATCGTCCACTGACATGACTCTGCTGAGGTGGGCGGGCGAACTGGCACCACTTGCCGATCTCACTTCGCGCACATGAGACTTCGCTGCTACGAGCGCGGCGAGCCTCAACTGGTGCATCGTCATTCCGGCAGATCGCATGCGTACGCCGGCAATCTTGAAGCGCCCGGCGAAATTGATAAGTGCTATCCATTCGTTATGCTCGTCCTCTGAGCTGACGTGGAAGAGGTACTGTTTCTTGTGCGGGAGGATGGGACGGAAGCCGTGTTTATGCTGGCCCTGTCAGCGAGATTCACATTAATTTGCGTGTACATACCTCCAAGTTGGTGGTATTGTGGAGAGCCACATGATCCATACTCGGTCCTTGAATGACAGTAGCTGGATACCAGTGATGGTAAAGCCCAGATTGTGCCATCTCTGCTGGGGCCCTCGCTGGTCACCTGTCGCCAGAGGAGCGTGCGCGTGTTCACGAGCTTGAGGACCAACCCGTCATCCTGGGCTTGCCTCATGCTGCCTATTCCTACACCATTCCACGTGGCCCCAACGCTGGAACCGAAGTATACCGATCCCGCGAGCCCAGAACCGACTGTGCAGAAACGGAGCCCACACGGATCTCTGCCGCTCCTGCGAACGCTTCATTGCATCTATCGACCCATGAGGTGCTACACGTCGATCTTCTGTTGCCTCTTCTTCACGTGCCGTTGCTAGAGGCTATCGGGGCAGGGGAGACAGATATGCCCGAAGGTGAGTGCTCGGCTGCCGGCATGAGCGAACTCCGACTCCACCACGTCTTCGCCAAAGACATGTTGCGTAAGGTGACGTGGTCGTAAAAGTACTGTATCTCTTCAGCTCATCTCCACCCACAAGAACGTCAACCCATTTTATCGTAGCCCAACCTGGGAAGAGTGCACACCTATAGAGGAACTCGGCAAGCTCGAGCCTATTATCCAACTTGGTTAGGCATTGCATCTCACGGAATATGACTCACTATAGGGTCCGTGCCATGTTACATGCATATCTTGCTACCTTCGAGTCCCCGTCATATGCATATGGATCCTCACCAAGAAGCTAGATGCTAGGCTGCGAAGGCAATTACCTTTCCAGTGGAGATCGACTGAGTTGACAAGATAAAGTCGCAGAATATAGCTTCGGAGCTTGCGATGGAGCCAGAGGCACGCATAGTGCTGGCGTTTGATCTAGACAACATGTATGGTATGTGACACTGTACAGCGCGTCCTATCGTAAGAAGTCCTGACTGGTGACTTGCACAGTTGCTTGCGAACGCCTCCGTAATCCATCGTTAGTTGGTAAGCCTGTAGGAGTACAGCAGAAGGGATTACTCGCAACAGCTAGCTACGAGGTGCGCCTATTTGATCATACTCTTTCTCTATCCATCTCATAAATAGTCAGGCACGTGCCCTCGGCGTTGACAAACTTTGCAGTTTGTGGGAAGCGAAGAAACGATGTGCGTACCTTCTTGCCCAATAAATTGTTCATGTGGCTCATCGATTGCGATTGAGGCCCGTCTCTCATTCTCGTCAACGGGGAGGACCTCACACTATATCGATACTACTCTCGACGTGTCTTCCTCCTTGTACGGTCTGTCCTTGGGGACTGTCCGGTCGAGAAGTTAGGGATGGATGAGCTCTTCTGCGATGTCACCAACCTCGTGAAGGAGCACCTCCAAGAAACCCGTGACATCTCACCAGATCCTCGTGGCAGATGGTTTGCTCTGGCTCGTGCAGAGTCTGGGGCACTAACAGATTACAAGGGCTTCTGGTACAATCCATCTTCGGAATGTCCTGGTCACACGATTCCGCAATATGACCCCACTGTTTCTGACAACGCGACGTTACCAGAATCCATCCTTGCAGCTTCACACCTCGCGAACCACATCCGACATCTGGTACTCACACAGATCGGCCTTGGCTCTTCGGCTGGGATCGCCTACGATAAGACGATAGCTAAGCTCGTCGGTAATATGCACAAGCCACATCAACAAACGACGCTCGTTGTTTCCCCGACCGCTAGTGAAGAGTATTCGACAGTCGTTCAAACACTTCTAGATCCGCTTAACCCTCACAAACTCATGGGATTCGGTTCGAAGGCCTTGCATACGTTGAGGGATTATATAAGCACTACAAAATATCCCATCACGAGCCCCAGTACCAAGGAAGATGATAGAGACGAGTTGGCTCTAACCGTCGGACTTCTGAGAAGCAAGATGACAGCAGCACTCTTCGGTTCTCTCCTCGGTGCACAGAATGGTCAGAAGATATGGGACCTACTAGAAGGCAGAGACAACGAACCAGTCAAAATGTCTCCCGAGTTCCCCCTGACGATATCGGTTGAAGATTCGTTTGACCAGCAACGTGGAACCCTGGACTGGTCCGGCGTTCTGACCGAGATCGAAACGTTGGCAAATAGTCTACTGAGACGACTGGAAATTGAGCTCGTTGACGGAGGTGAACTCGAAACTCTTGGGAGGGAAGCAGTTAAGCCGGACAGACGAAGGAAATGGCAACGCTATCCGTCACAGATCAGACTCACCATACGAGGTGGTCACTCTCGCCAGATTGCTTACAACGCTAACCGCGAGAGTCGATCGGCTCCCTTGCCTGTTCCCGTTTTTGACTTGGATATTCCACGAACAGAACGAGCACAAGGACTGATTCGTCAACCACTAGCGGGACTTGCGAAACAGATCCTAGACAAGGGCGGCGAACCGGTTGAGAAGTATGAATTTAGCATGTGAGTGGGTGTCCCAGCCCCATTATTGAGCGCGTCTCATATGCGGTCAGTATCAATATCGCGGTTACAAATTTGCAAACCACAACCCCGACCAAAGCAATCAATGCGTTCTTTGCAGCGTCGCCCTGGGACAAGCAAGAGAACAAGAGGATCCGGCATTCACACGAAGCCAAGGAGCCTGCATCTAGCAATGGGTCCAAGCGTCGTCGTCGGACGTTACCGCCTGATATTGACATCAATATGATCAAAGAGCTCCCTGCAGACATTCGAGACGAGGTGGTTCGGGAGTATGGCATCATTGAATTCGAGGAACCTCCCAGTAAGATCATCAAGCGCGATGTCACAGAGCATACTCTCGAGCTTGCAGACGATGTCAATCAGGCTTCAGCTACTCCAGAGTCCAACACCGTCGCCGATGGCAAAAAATTATCCTCAGTCCTGGAATCAATGTCAGACGATGGATGCTGGACCTCGGATGATGACGACAAGAAGGCAATGACGCCATGTACCCTCTGTGGTGCCGTGATATTCGATTGGTCCATGGCGGCACATATGACCTACCATTCGGGATCTTGACCAGAAATGCTATATGGAACTGGATCAGTCGACCCCCTTGTATCGGGGGAAACGGATGGTATAAATACGCTGATAATCTTCCTCTAACATTCTATCCAGTCGACTTCCTGCGATGTTCAAGTCGAACGATCGCACGTCTGCAAGATCACGAGGAATAATCCATGTGTGGCCATCTTGCATCCAACGTCGTCCCGTTTTTTCGATTCTCGACGTAAGTATTTGCTCATTTAATTTTCGGTCGTTTGGGAGACATTCTTCACCCGTGAGCTGAATACGTAATTTGAGTAGGCGCCATCATCCTTGTATAGTGCTACCTTATATTTCCATTCCCTGGCTCTAGGATGGGTCTTCCACGATAGATGTACGTGAATCCATTAAAACATAAATTACTAGTTATATTTCTCGATAATACATATCCACTCACTCACACACCGGTCCACACCGGTTTTTTCATCGTATAGTCTCAGGACTCCACGGCACACTGATACAGGAGTATGGTTACCACCGAATTTTACCATGAAGAGCGACGCAGAGGCATCACAAGTGGAGCCAACTCCGAGAAAAAAAAAGCATGGTAGTGACAACACTGCCGAGAAGAATAGGACGAGTCGTTATGGCGGAGGGTAGCAGGCTGATCAGAGAACATAGACGCTGATATCGCCGTAGGCCTCGTCCTGCTCGACAGTGATCAAACTCTTAGTTGCCAACACTAGCGAGGAGTCCAGTCAGCCATGGCTCCCAGATCCAACGATAATCCACCGCGAAATGAGTGCATCCATGACATACCAAGGCAATTGTAGAAAGCACTCGCAGCCACGTGTTTTGTCTTGGCTCCTTCGGGCAAGACTCCATCGAGCGTGATCCCAGTTGGGCCAGCGCCGGGAGGAAGCCCATGCTGCGCTGCATTCCGTGCAGTTTTGATCCACCTTTAGAGCCATGCCAAATCAGTCCAACGCTTACACATGATCAAGAAATGCACGAGCTCTAGGAAGTTATACGAGTTTCTTTCCAACGTTGCCGGATCTTGTGATAGGGACTGACTCTGCGACTGTGTTTGATTCAGAAGAGGTGCCTCTGATCTTTATCATAAGCAGAAGACGAAGAAGACGGTGTCCAAACGACGCACCGACGAAACCCCCGAACTCTTCAAGGGGTCCTGCAGCCGCAGCACCAAAAGATTGCCTGGGAGTTGAGCCGAGTTCAGATGGAATCAGAGAGCCTTCACGGCTCCCACGCCTCCCCCTGCCGGGAATTAGTTGGAAGCCTAACAAACCTCCGGAATCTTACCTTGAACCGGATATGCTGCCTTCAGGTCTCGGAGAAAATAGTCCCACCATCCCGTCGCTGGATCGCGCGCCGGTCACACTGAATGGTGCCCACGACGAACTGGGACCACCGTCGACGTCCAGATTGTCCCACGGGAGAGAATTGCTCTTTTGACTGATTTCGTGGAGGATAGAGGCACCACGGCCTTGCTCGACCTAGACAACCAGTCAGTCGGAGGGTAAATATTAGGAAGTGGCTTGTACCGAGTTTGTTAGAGAAGGACGAAGGATGCTCTTTGGTGTCCTTGTTTGGTTCAGACCAGGGTCGTTCGAGTTCATATCTTCATACTCATATTCTATTAAATGCTTCAGCCTCGGCATTTTCATCAAGGTGAATGAGACGATACGTGGCTGTTCCCAACCCTGCGCCTGAAGATCGTCATCTGGATAGACGATCATACCATCCCCACGCCCATGCTCGACTTCTTGAGCAACATCGACACGACGGCGAACAGTGCGTTCATCTAGAGACGATGAGATAGATGCAAAAGACATTGGTACAAAAAACCTTGCCTTCTGCTTCTTCTTCCCAGCGCCTCTTTCTCGCTTCAAGGTTGGACTTGATGACGTTAGCGAAGCACTCTCGCAACTCGGGCGCTTCATCTATGCAAGATTAGTCTGGCCTCAACTCATGCATGCAAAATTGCTAACATGCATCTGGAATATCCTTGAAAAGAAGGTCCATCACCCAAGGCTTTGGCGCTTTATCTTGAGCTTCAGCCCTGGCTGTGAGCATATTGTCGTGGTAACCCTCACTATTCCAGTATGTTGTAAACGATATGATCTCCTTCTGCTTCGAGAAAGGGCATACCGATTAGCTACGAGCTCGGCATCAGTCAGCTCCGTCCTCGCATCCAACAACAACCGAACTCGCTTCTTCTTTTTCTTTGCTACTTCGAGCTGCTCCCCAGGACGTTTGATCCCAGGAGGCAGAGCATCAAGCTCATCCACGCTAGGAGGACTTTCCTGGGAGTGCGTCAAAGACGGCGTACGCTCACGCCCGAGCTGTTCGTTGCTGCCATTAAGACCCTATGAAGATTTGGTCACATGGGAGAAGTCTAGCACTTGGTGAACTTACGAGCTTGCGGGGTTTGCGGTGAGGACCAGCCGTCATGTCTTTTCTGATAACTGACGATAGATTTTCTGAAGGCGAAGCGGGGACGGGTTCTACCCAGTTCATATCAATATCGAGACCGAGATCGAGCTGAGCACCAGGGCTGCATGTATTCAGCATATGCTTCCTTAAAGGAAAGTTTTCTCACCCAGCTTCCTCTCCACCCCATCCCTGGGCAGCCCAGCCTTCATCTTCAAGCCCAAGACCTAGATTGATCCTTCCGTCTTGATCAATGCCGCCATCTGCAAGTCCGAGGTCGATATCAGATATGAATGGCTCATTTCCAGAAGACGGCACGTGGCTGCCCGCCCCGCCTATCCGGGAGGAACGGGGTACAGCGGAGGATGAGTCGTGCCCCCTTGTGGGTCCGAAATCGAAGTTGAAGTCGAAATCATAGTCGTGCATCATAGAAACGTCTGGAGCATCAAGGATGTGCGATTCATCGAGAGTGATATTGCGGGGATTCTCTGCGGGTGACCAGGATATCAGTAATCGTCACATCTTTATGGGAATGACGTACTTCGAGGAGCGGGAGTGAGTGTGCCGTGTTCTTCCCATTCCTGAGCAGCTGTTAGAACCAGCGACCATTCCCTCTAAAGCAAAGCTATCAGCTCCACCTTGTTCATGGCGGCAAAGTCAAAGTTGAAATCGAAGTCGATATTGAAGTCAATCGCTGTCCTATCTCCGGCATCAGGAAGAGTGATCATATCTGCCCTACATATGCCAGACGTTAATCAACATGTGTCAATGAGGTAGGTGTATGCGCCCTGACCTAATGGTCCCCTGAGGCATCTCGAGGGCCAGCGCGCCGCTCTCCGCATACATGGCGTTGACGGCTTTCTTCAAGTTAGTAAACGTATGGGTGACATCCGCAGCCCAGATATCGTGTCGCGCGTGATAAACGCTGGAAACATGTATGTGTCATGCGCATACCAGTGACGCGAGAGAGCGAACGAACCGAATGACACCAACCATGAGGTTCGCGCTCAGCCTCAGAGCAAGGGGCTCTGGAGGCGAACTGATCATCTCGCATAGTTGGGGGATATCCGCAGAAAGAATGCCTTTACGCGGTAGCTTGCGAAGGGCAGATTTCGAACCGAGGGTAGCGGCCAGCCTGAGAGACGCGTCAGAGGGGCATGGACGCGTTTCTTAGATGGGACAGGGGATGTACCAAATGAGACCGAAGCCAGAATCACGCCGCTGCAACAATTCTGGAGTGAAGAACATGGTTAGAGTACGTCGGCCAGCAAAGGTTGTCCAGGAGGAGGAGGGATGGATGAGACGAGGTACGGGGACGAAAGAGACATCGCGTTCGAGGGTAGATGTCTTATACGGACTGGAGGAACGCGCCGCAATGACCTAGGTGTGTGAAGAGTGGCCAGGAATGGAAGGTGAGAGGCCCGTGCGCGTACTTCGAAAGCGCGTCTCGTGTGAAGAGCGTGATTATCCAATGTCATTCGAAGACCCTCATTCCAGTGTCTTCCGATCACCGATCGGGGGTGGTTGACAACTCCGAAATCCGCCTGTTGAGCTAGGACACCGGGACAAACGTAGCATAATGAGCATATTCGTCGGACCTATTGAACAAGGACGGCAAGCAAGAGGAAACCACCGCAAGAGAACAGATGACCTCCCCAAGTTCACCGTGAAATGTGACATCGAGAAAGAATAAGTAAGGAATGGATACGGCACGAGTGAAGCATCCGGTGAAGCGAAAAGGATTTGAGGAGGTCCAAGGACAAATAAAGAAGAATGTATCATGATTATAAGCCAAGGGTACTGAGGTGCATGGGCGTCAAGAGAGGATGAGCGCTTATTCCCAGAGGGTCCGAGAGCGCTAAGCCACACAATGGTAAGAACTGTACAGTACCGTAATTGCTTCCGAGAACTTTCGGTCCTCGACTCGTGCACAACGTCCGCTGTACGACACCCACCGCCGTTCTACTCGCGCATCTCCGACTTCCACCATGGCTGAACAGGCGAGTCTGTCGAGCATGTGCTGCCCGGATTTTGACTGATCGTATATCGCAGATCGAGAAGGCCTACCAGCAACAGCACCTCTTCCAGAACGCCAAGCGGGGTATGCAGTATGGTCCGAAGACGATGAGTGTAGGATGCTAATCGAGGGTTATGACAGTGGGCGGAAAGGTCTCCACCAAGACTAAGCGGTGGTACAAGGATGTTGGTCTGGGATTCAAGACGCCTGCTGAGGCAATTAACGGTACCTACATCGGTGAGTCTTACGGTGTTCAGTGGTCAGGGCACGCTGCTCATGACCGTACGACATAGACAAGAAGTGCCCCTTCACTAGCGACATCTCCATCCGTGGCCGTATCCTGACTGGCCGTGTTGTCTCCACCAAGATGACGCGTACGATCATCATCCGGAGAGATTATCTTCACTATGTCCCAAAATACAGTGCGTCGCCTTGTACACCATGTTCCCAAACAGAAAGCCAACTGATGTCGGTGCAGACCGTTACGAAAAGCGACACAAGAATCTTGCTGCACACGTTTCCCCCGCCTTCCGTGTTGAGCTGGGCGATATGGTCACTGTCGGCCAATGCCGGCCGTTATCCAAGACCGTCCGTTTCAACGTTCTGCGTGTAGCGAAGAGCAAGGAAGCGACCAAGTCCTTTGAGAAGTTCTGAGGAGAGGATGGGGTTTGGACCCGTGTTCGGACCAGGCAACTGCATATACTTTCATATGGGTCTGTGTCTTCCACTGATAGGCTAGTGGGATGCGCTGCATGTAGCAGGTTATGCAACTTTTATGAGCCTATGATGACCTCCTCAGTATGCCTGCCCGCTTGTCTTATTCAGACCTCTGGATGTATGAGTAAAGCACGGTTCCTGCGCAAAGTACTGCCTTGGTTCAGTTCCATCAAACCTCGGAAATGCCCCTGTCAAGCGATCGAGAGTATCTGTGCACGGATTGTTGACTATTTGCATGAGGGCATGGTCTGTGAATGTGTGCTGCTAACAGAATGTCTCTTGGTTTGAGCGTAAGGTAATACATGAGATGATGATACAGCTTCGCCTGTGAATGTCCAAAGATACGCGAGGAGAGCAACTCCTACATATTAACCAGCAAAACTCAGTAGCTGCCACTTCAGATATTCCATCCTCAACGGCCCATCCACAGCACGCAGAGGTGTTAGTAGTTGGCACTCGCGATAGACCATGTTGATCAGTTCCCCCGCACCCGAAAGGTGTGCCACTTGAACGCTTGTTGCATGACAGACTAATAGAAGGTTCGACAGATCCAACCTAGAATCAATAGCGGTGAAAGCTACTATATCAGGCCCGGGTGCATAGCCCGGATGAACTCTCTTTATGGTATGGTGTTGAGTGTAACCTGAACGGGGAGTCGCGCATCCGGGTGCCGGGGAGATGCTTGACAAGACTCCCTGCAAGTGATCAGTGGGCCAACTAAATTGGGTTATCTCACAACAAAGCGCTTCTCGCGATAATTCTGATCTCAGTGGGTTTTGATCCAGCGGCGACTTCTTGTCACGTATGTACCGATGTGTGATGCATTCTTCTTGTGCGATGTTTAAATTTTTTAGAAATAAAATAAAACAAAACAAAAAATAAAAATAGGATATCCGTATTAGTCGATAATCGATCGGGCAACCCCGGACTTCTTACTGTGCACCGCGGCGTCAGGCCGTTGTTGTGTACATCGCTGGCATCGAGCATTTATTCACACAAGACACACTATCGGCAAAGCGTTAATCACAACGTTTGAGATTACTGACGGCAAGGCATAATACACGTGATCGACGGTATTCGCAAATTTCGAGGCGAACGGGGACAAGAACAGACGGAAACGAACAGGAGTGAAACAGAGTGTAAGTAAGCGCAAAGTATTGACATGCACCAGGAACGGTCGGCAGAGGAAGAGCAGTTATGCAAAAAGGGCGCGAGGGAAAAACGGCCTCCTCGCTCTTGATCTTTCGGTTGACACACACCCGGACCCGTTCACCACAAGTGTAAAGAAGACCAAAACGCGAAAACGACGAGGACAGGGGAGCGACAGGCCAGGAGAAAGGACCAATTCGGGGAGACGAGCTGGGAACACCCTTCAGCACCAATATTCAATTCAGCATATCGACCCTGGGCGCGATGGCCCTTTTCCGGCAGAGGGGCGGATTTGCGGAAGGTTAATTCGGCATCGGATCTCGGGCAACGGTGGCTCAGGGCGGTGATTGATGATCGGGTATTGGAGCCTGACAAAAGAAGTCGGGGAGCGGGAGTTATGGTGCGGTTGACCAAGCCTCATACGGGGAGGACGGGCGCAATGAGCTTGTTAATGTATTTGTGGGATGGTGAGGGGGCATGGGTTGGATTGGATTGGATTGGATTGGATTGGATTGGATTGGGGCGCGGGCGAAGGTGTTCGGGGGTTGAGGGAAGAGAGGGCGAAAGGCCAGAGAGAAGCGACACAGTGGAGGGTAGACACGCTCCTTCCGATAGATTAGATAATAGTACAGGCCGTCCCACAAGCCTGGGGCTCCAGGTCGTGGGACGGCGATTTGGACGACGATGTCGACCACGTGCTCGACAGGCAAGCTTGTGCTATGCAGTTGCGGGAGGACTCTGCAGGGGCATCGCACTGTCGAACTTCAGTCAGTACTAGATCGAGAGTAGAAAAGCGGTGGTCAGATGGAGAAGTTGAAAACTGGGTTATGGAAAGTAGGACACACCTCTTCCGCTTGGCCTTTGTCATCTCCTTCCTGAGGGCTGGGCCATCGAGCGGCTTCAGCAGCTCAAATGCGCAAAGGAGATCTTCCGATACACTCATACATGCGCCGTAGTTGTCGAATTCTAGAATGTGCATCAGGACAACCATATCGGTATTGATCAACAAACAGCGCACCTCCACAATAGTTCGGTGCGCTGAACACCGTAACCAGCGTGCGATCATTCCAGAACTCATATCCGTCCTCGACGACCATATGCGCACGACAGACGAGGTCCATATCGTACCTCTCCAAAAAGTCCTGTATGACCCGCTTTCCAAAGCAGAAGCTCACGCCACGCTCATTATCCTCCCAGTCTTGGGCGGTATCGGACGGATCAGACCAGAGGAGGTCGTTCAAAAGACCGTAGTCAGGCACGTCGGTTGGCCGCGCGATGCGACGGATGTCGTCCATGTTGTTGAGCGAGGGTGAGAGGCCACCGTGGACGCAGAAGATCTTTGAAGCTACGATGGACGCGATTGGGAGTGCGTTAAACACGTCGATAAAGGTCTTCCAGACCTTGAGCGAGGCACGACGCTTGCATTCGTCGTAGAAGCCGTACACTAGAAAATGATCGATCAGTATCACGGAGGCGGATCAGCAGTTGATGAGGACATACCCCGTGTCACGTTTGCGCACTCGTGGTTTCCCCGTAACATGAAAAAGTTTTCTGGGTACTTGATCTTGTAGCAGAGAAGGAGGAGAATCGTTTCTAGACTCTGCTTTCCTCTGTCGACGTAGTCGCCGAGGAACAGGTAGTTCGCCGCGGGGGGGAATCCGCACATCTCAAACAATCTGATCAGATCCGCGTACTGTCCATGAACATCACCGACAATTTTGACAGGGGGGCTGAGTTCGATGAGCGTCGGCTGAGAGAGGAATATATCGCGCGCTGCGAGGCAGATGCTCGTGATCTCGCTTGTCTTGAGGGGAAGAGACTTGGACACTTTGCCTGTGTATGCCGTGGAAATGAGCCGGGAGATCAGGCCATCGATGTCAATGGTGCTCGCATTGGCGGATGCAGGGACGGAAGAAGCGGAAAAGGAGGCAGAGATGGGGGATGCAGAGGGAGGGAGGGAGGCGCCGAAGGGTGCGTTCGGGTTCGCGTTGGCCAGAATCGTCGGGTTCGTTGGTGGATCGACAGGCGGGGATTGAGCGTCATCAGGTGGGGAATCGCCTGGTGGGCTGGCGGTGGGAGGTCCCGGGGAGGGCATGCGCTTGAGTGGACCATTCTTGGGCCGTGGGGAGGATGTAGCTTCAGCTGTCGTGGTCGTGAGGGTAGGGATGACGTTTATCGCTGGGGGTGGTGGGGCACGCGTCGTCCCCACACTTTGTCCGTTTGTTGTCCCGTTCGACCGAGATGCAGACTGGCTGCGGGAACGGAGGGATCCCAAGCTCTGACTGTCCTTTCCCTCCTTGGCATCTTTGGATGTTGTTGACGACGCCTGGTCGACCCCGTTCGAAGCGGCCTTGCTGTCTTTATCCTTGTGGACTGCTGACGGTAGGGGCATAGGGGGAGGTAGCGCGTCATCTGCATGGGTGTGGGAGGACGGCTCCTTGGATGAGAAGCGCTTCATCTTCTTGGAGGGCTGGTTACCCATTGTTTGGTCGTGTTGTTGTTGAGGACGTGGTGGATGAGATGCTTATCGATAGGCCGAGCAGCCTAGCGGTGCTCGATGATGATGTCGACGAGGATGGAGACGATGACGAGGCTTCTGAAGACGACGAGGAAGAGGAGTGAAAGAGGAGAGGACGTCGAGGTCGAAAGGGGAGAGAGAAGGGGGAGGATTGGGTGTGTCGGGTGACAGGAACAGCGTCCGGGAGCGCATCTTGAGCGGTGTTGCTCAAAAACTCAGCCACTAAACCCCCGTTGTTCTCCCCTGCACACGCACCCCCCTTGCTTTCTCTTACTCCCCACGCACAGAGTGCACACACACATCAGAACGCGTGCTATCCATATTTCAACAACGTATATTCCATATGTGTAACACGCTATAAACACGATATTCGTCTAGTCTATCACACTCATACGTTTGACACTCATCACGCAGTCCGCTCACTATCTATGAGTGCAGTGCAGCGCGGGGGCCGCAAGACGCGTCTCAGCGCCGACCCTGCAGTCATTACCGTTCTTCCTCCGAAAAGCATACGACGTGATTAATCTGCACTGAGCTTCCTCCCTGAGCCTGGGCCATCATACCACGTGGCCATTTACTGTCATTGTCATCCATTGTGAAAGCTGATATCGACTGAAAGATGTCATTATCTACTCTTTGGGATATTCAAGGTCCGTCCCGCACTTGTCCGATCGCTGATAAAGCTCCACAAACCCGGGGTGGATGTTCTCTCCAAGACAGTCTTGGCACATAACCTTATTGTTCAATCCGTTACCTCTACAGGCCGATCTAGTCTTGACAGCCGCTCAGGAATGCCCATTCAGCTATAGATCAAAGCCTGCAAACTCACGACTGTCCTCCTCAATGACTTTCAGCTGGAACTGAATCCGGCATCACTCTTTCGTTTATTCTTCAAAGTGACGAATTTATCTCAGAATCCCGCCCTGTACACGATCATATCTGATATCCTCTCTCCCTGTCTGCTGGCTTCTTGACTGGAGTTGTCTCGCCCACCGGATCACGAACAGCCCTGGGAATCGTTCTCCCGCCTCGGGCGTAATCGTGCTTTGCTGGCATGTTATGCCTGATTCTGCCTGAACACCAGCTACTGTAGACTTAGGCATGGTGCTCGTCACTCATCCAATATACCTGTACATCCAGCATCCGCCAGAACAAGACGACCAGAACTGTTCATCGCAGGCGCACAGGTTATCTCCCTGTTTTCATTACAATCAATCGACCATTATGTCTGCTACCGGAGACGATCTGAAAGGCGACATCCACATGCTCGCAACCGTGTGTATAATTTCTACTATCATCCCCCTGAGGGAACGTTCTAACCCCTTTCGCTCACCTCACACTCAGATCAAATACAAACCTGGTACGCTCTCCACCGTGCTGCCTTTTGTCAAAGCGATCCAAGACGAAGCTGCCGGAGATCCGAACTGCCTGCGCTACGAGATCTTGGTGTATGAGCCGACGGATTCGTTAGTTGTATGTCTTCCCTGACCTGCTTGCTCCTTTTGCATCCCGACCGCGAGAAGGCTGTCAGCTGAGAAAGGGGACGCAGGTCGTGGAGAGCTATAAGAGCAAAGCAGCTATTGATGCGTACGTCCTGCCTTATATCGTTTGCGAGACGCCGACACAGGACGTACAGACATATCGCCGGTCCAGCGCACACAAAGTACTGGGAGGAATGTGAGAAATACATTGTCGTAAGTTCGTTGCTGTGACTGGTCATGAGATGGTCCATCTAATGAGTGGGATACGGGGATGGGCGATAGGACAAATATTGGAAGTTTTACTCCAAGTATTCATGAGTGAGCACGCTGCGCTGGGTTCAGGGGTACGAAGTCAAGAATGTACACTACGAGATGGGCGCTTGTATTTCCCTCACCATATCGATCTGTCTTCCCAGCCCTGACCCCCGAAGTTTCAAGACAGATTACAGCATACCCGAAGAAAATGAATGCCGAAATGCCGGAACCCAGACCCATATTTCGTCTATAGGCCCCGTAGTACGAAGCTACAAGCGAACTTCCCACGAATTCTTTGCATTCCTTATCTGCCCGCCTTGCAACTTTGATCATAAGACATCCAATCAACAGCTCGCTCCACATCAAAGAACGGATCACCTCTCCACGTGATACTTTCAGGGATTTGTTCACCATGTGAGGTGGCGGCCAGTGTCCGACATGAACAAGATCCCAGAGATTGTGCTCGCGATACTCACCCAAGCAGATCTCACGCACACACCAGAAAGATCAAGCAGCTTGTCATGTTCATCCAGACCAATATGCCTTCGAGGACTGCTTGTGCCAGGCGCGCATGTATGAACGGTGAAGGTGTTCGAATTAGTGGGAAAGTTTCGGTTAAGTATAGAAGCAACGTTATCAGGATCATCGTTGCCCATCTTGGGCTTTACTTCCCCTAATATTTTTGCATGGGGATTGCCGAAACCATTGCGATACCATCAGTCACCTCGTTGTATTGTGTGGACTGGTATGTAACAGTAGTTGGTGGGTCTCCCCTATGCTATAGGGTTGTACACAGAGTACAAGGACGCACCTGAGGACAAATTGCAGCAAGCAAGGGGTAGACTCTACTTCCAATAGGAATAGCCCGAAGAACATGACGGGATACTTTCAGACACGAAAACAGGTGATGCCCTGCTTGACCCCCATGCACTTCTAGGGTACAGCCGGTCAAATCGGACGATTTGCGTCCGCGACAAAGAGTGCCTTCCTTTTGGAGAGTCGGCTCCGAAGTGAGGGGTCCTGCGTGTTGATGCCTGACCAGTCAATAGTATTATTTATTTTTGAGAAGTCAAATACACACCCAAATGGAAGAGCAAATGAAAGAGCAAACTGAAACGGTCCTGTCCTCAGAGTGAATAATAATTAGCTTTTCACTCAAGTAAGAATATCGCTTTTCCTTGGTCGAAAAGTTATATCATCCGCAGGACCCCTTAACAGAACCAGGATTAGTCCGGAGTCGGCCCCAACACTCTATAGAAAAGAGGACAGATAGTAAGGGAGGGGTACCGGACGAATTTTCTCCAAAGAAGGGCCACTGTGGAAATTCTGTCTCCGTATTGGGGGTTCCAAACGATCTCATTGAGACCCAGCGCGACAATGACGGTAAGACCCACCGGTCTTGTTTCTGACGTTGTACTACGTAGACGAGATACGTCATGATATGTCTATCCCGCGAGAGTCTTCTTCTTCGGGTCTGTTCTCTGCCAGCAGGATTACGACAACAAGTCTTTGTGCGTTGACGTTCTGAACTTCCCCCCGGCTGCAATAATTAATCTCCGAACAGCATCCTTGGCCACTGAGCTCAACTCTCGTCTGGAGGCCAGGAAAACAACTTGTGCGTCTGGGTGACATCCATGAGCATATTCCAGCAGCCTGAAGAGCGCGTCGGACCTGCATTCAAGATCCCCGAAGTGCTCGACTCGATATGCGTTTATCTCGACGACCCAGACCTCGTCAAAATGGCCTGTGCCTCAAAGAGCTTCACAGACGTGTGCATGAAAATCCTTTGGGAATCTCCTGTATTTGATGGGTCGCCGTTGGTCAGGATGAGCCGGCTGTTCCCAGAGGATGTAGGGAAGCACCTAGGCCAAGGACTGGTAAGTTTTTTCGCACGGTGTGAGTCTCGCTAAAGCCTTACTGAACAAGCGTCCGGGTGCGAGAATCCCCCCGGGGGCATTCGAGCGATTCGACTACTATGCTGGACTTATCCGGTCACTCCATCTGTGGCATCCCGAAGAGGAGGCCGCCATCGCCAGAGTGCTGACCGATAGCCGGCCAGGGCTATGGCTCTTCCCAGGCTTGGTCGACCTCGATCTAGGCGCATCAACCGAAACGCTCCGAACAGCACCGTTCTACTTCAGCCCGTCTATACTCTCTCTCCGACTCAACCACTGGGACCTCAATGGCATGCGCGAGCTCTCGGCGACGGAGGACGTGAAGCGCTCGCTCTTGCGCGCATGTGCTTTCCCAAAACTCGAGAAACTCGATTTGGCAGACGCGCTCTACACGCGCCTGGAGAATGATGGGGACCTTGTGGAAGCGTTCACCGACATTGCACGGAGGGTGTACGATTGTCGTGCACTTTCGTTCCTCACTGTTCCGGGCGTGTTCGCTGCCCTAGCAGGGAACATGAGGCTGCATACGGTGTATCTGAACCTGGTTGATAAACAACGACACCACGAGCATTTGCACGTCATCCTCTCCCGGCTTAGGGACGATTTCATTGCTCTGCGCAAGCTCGGGCTCGCCTGTTCGGCAAAGCACGCCGTACGCATGTTGCAAGAGACACGGCGCGCATACGAGCACATCGATCTGCAAGTTGATACACCCATCGAGGGTGTTCAGCTCCATGAGATTGCTGTCGCCCTCTTCCTATCGAGCAATGGCCTGCGCTATTTCCGGCTGCTCACATCGGCTCACCTTTTCTGCGATGTCGACCCTCCTTTACGGCTATCTGAAGCGTTCCAGCCTCTACAGAGCTGTCGCATGTTGAAACATTTTGAGCTGGCATTAATGTTTGATGAAACACATATGATGCGAGATGTCGAGCTCGTGGGATTCTTCAGGCTTTGGCCGGAATTGCGCGTCTTCGTCTTGAGATGCGACACGGATGGTGACAGGGCAGTGGGGGATGATGATGAGGGGAGCTATAGTGGATCTGAGAGCTTGAGGGAGAATGGTATCACCCTCTTCCCTCTAACAGCGGCAGCACGTCATTGCCCGCGGCTGCATACCCTCTCACTGCCATTTGTCCAGACGTCGGAGATTCCAAGCACGGAAGGCATCGAGCGCGTTGATGGGAGCGTCGCCATACGCTTGAACAAGAGTCATGTGCATAACCATCAGGAGGTAGGGGAGTTCATGGCCAGGTTGTGGAGGGAGACATATCTCTCTCTGGGTGGGTGTGTGCATCTTGAGGGGATGACAATGAGATTGTGATCGGAAGGGATCTGGTGAACAGAAATGTTACCGTATTGTATTGTGTCTATCTGTGAATATTGCAAAGCAATAGAATCTCCAGTGCACATGAGCCCTGCTTTCCTATGCGCACTAGGGTCGCGTCTTGTCTGCACAGCTTCGCCTCTTGCGCGACGCATGAAAGAGAATTACTCGCCTAATAGCGGCAGAGGGTTGTATGCAGGGTTGGTGGAGGGTCGGGGTCGCTTGAGTACCACCGCATGGAATGAGGAATCCGATGGAGTAGGGCTGACGTGTTCTCAACCGGCTTCCCAATCGCTCATGCTGGGTGGACATGTATGCGCGTGTTCGAGGTTGATTTGGCACGTGGGACGTAATCGAGCGGGAGGGCTACCGGGCGGAGTATGTGCATGCGCCAATGGAGGGGGCAGCCTAAGAAAGGTGAGGTGAGACTGTACGCGTTGTATGTCTAGACACCTCGAGCCCTCCGGCGGGGTCGGGGTCGCACGTTCTCCCCAAGCTCTGGGATCTCCTGCCGCTCCTCTCCCCAGTATTCCCACCGCCCCTTCAGCGTCCACGTCGCACCTCAAGACGAAGGCGCACAGTCCCAGCCAGAATCTGAAGAACCCCACCACACCGTGCGTGTTTGGTCAAACGTTTGCGCCAGCTCGAAACCCCTCAAGGAGCGACAGTTTTGCAAAGGCTGGAGCACCTCAGAGAGCCAGACATGATGGCCAACGTGGCAGAACAGATGGGGCGGTGCAAGCGGGTAGAAATAGCGCAGTCCCATTCTCGACAGGAAGTGGGCGACAGCGATCTCATGGAGCTGAACACCCTCGATGGCCGTATCGACTTGCAGATCGATGTGCTCGTATGCGCGCTGCGTCTTCTAAAGTAACAACGAAGGCCCGAGGGGGAGCTTGGGAGATTGGTGAGCTGATACTACAGTATGTGTTGACGGCATACTGTGTCTATCTTATGCTCTCTAAAGGCAGCATCTTCAGCGTACAGGAGTATGTCTTCATTCATTGGCCAGTCACGCATCGCCTGGGCGTAGACTGACGTGTTATGGAGAGAGGTGACCGTCCGATGTCTCCCCAGGGGGGGGGGCTGATTGGCGCTCTTTGGATGGACTGCCAGTGCTCTACACGGCAAAATTGAGGGCGATGACGGGGAAGGATGTCATCATTTTCTCTTCATCTGTCCAGTATCAGGTGGAAAACAATCCCTTCAAGAGGGTAAGAACAGACCGCTCCCTGCACACATTCCTCGCACAGCACAAACACGGCCCTGCGCCCAACCTGGCAAGGTCTTTTGTATATCAACAGTACACGAGCTCCATACGCTCTTGCTACCTTCGCTGTATTCGCTGTATGTGCGCGGGGGAGACACACGGATTGAGAACCGTATTTAGTCGCGCTTGCGGACTAGGAGTCGGCCTGTGAGGTGGTGAGGACGAGGCGGCGTTGGGATGGGGAAGACGGAGTAAAGCCGACGCAAACGGGACCCCTAGGTCGAGTGCACCTAACCCCCACGTGTCCGCCCTGATAGCCTTTGCGGATCACTTTCAACTGGAACTGATGTTCGCTCTTTTCGTTTATTCTCCGAACCGACAGTCTGGTCTCAGGACTCCGTCGTTCCCGGGATCATATCTGATAATCACTCTAGTGGTTCACCGCTGGCTTCTGAATCGGAGTAGTCGCCGAACGGGTCATTCTCCTTCTGTGAACAAGACGGTACTCTGCTGGAATGCCTGATTCTGCTTGAAAGCAAAGATGGATTTGACATCATACCCGTTGCTATTCTGCGATATGCATTCAGCGTTTGTGAAAACAGGTCGACCTGAACTATCCGTCTCAGGCCTCGCGTTTATCTCCGTGTTTTCACCGCAAACAATTGAACATCATGTCTGCTACCGGAGACGACCTGAAAAGCGACATTCACATGCTCGCAACCGTGCGTCTTATTTCTGTCTCCCATCATTCCCCTCCTGAGGGGACGTTTCATCCCCTTTCGTCCACCGCCCAGATCAAATACAATGGCGCAGCCTTTTGTCAAAGCGACCCAAGAGGAAGCTGCCGGAGATCAGAACTGCTTGCGCTACGAGATCTTGGTGTACGAGCCGACAGATTTGGTTGTATGCCTTCCGGCGCACACAAAGTACTCCGAGGCATGTGAGCAGTTCATTGTCGTAGTACATGTAGGGCGTCCAACCAGACAAAGAACGAGGGCGCTAACAGCTGTTGTGAATAATCAACTCGTTCGTCCGTTCATGTCGCTGTCCTGTCCACGACGGAAGCGAATGCGGATATGCCGGAACCTATCGGTCTACGTCATAGGCCCAGGAAGAACCTGCCAGCAACGTTTCACGAATACCTTGAACCCTTCATCGCTCCACATCTTATGTTCTCCCCAGGTGAGTTGTCATGCGTGCATCCTGGCCCCGCCCAATCAGGTGTTTCCTAAAGTTTTCAGGGTCACTTCCGGATGCGAAGCAAATCCGAGGAATGATCATCATCGCTAAGCCCAGGCGAATGGGATGTAGGCATCTAATCGGCCGCTTATCTACTTTGGAGTTAAGCCGTCGGATTTCGAGACCGGCCATCTATCCCTCTCTGCTGTTTGTCTCATAACGTGTATAGGGAAGCCGGCTCGAGAGCATGCAACTTTCTATGCCTTGTGGTGCCACTGGTCTATCGCCTCTCAATCGGGTCAAACCTCATCCGATCAACTACTCCATGTCACCACTCAATTCTGCCAGCCGTGCTGAAATAAGTCACTTAACAATATAGTACATGGTGCATATATGCCCTGAAGCTGTTCCCCAAATGCTCAGGAGCCCCTACAAATTCGGGTGGTTCCTCCGATTGTCCTAGGTGAGTTTAGCAAGACTCTAGGCCTCCAATGTGTGATGGAGACTCGTCATGATGCATCCCAATGGCCCTGGGAAGGTCCGTAGCATTAATATCCCTCGTTCCAAGTGCTTGAACATAGCGGTGTTTCTGGTATTCTCTTCATGCTATAGCGTCAGAGCCTGGTCATCCTCTGAGGGCAGCCCTTGGGGGAGGGGGTTTCAAGATCTCGGGCACTCCAGAGAGACCCCTAAACTACCTAGTTTAAATTCCGTCCCATGTCCGTTCCGCGTGAGCTCTTGCCGGAGGAACAAGAAATGCCTAAAAGAGCAGAGACCCGACTGTGGCAGCTTGTTGTATTTGCTGCCGTCGGACTAGTTCCAAACTGGTTCGACGAGACCTAGTGTGTGGCACATTCGGGGCGCCATAGGAAGACCCACACGTCTTGTTTCTAACTACTAAATATGTCAAGCTACGTGTGTTCCGCGATGCTCGTGTGCTTTGGGTCTGTTTCCTCTGAGCTGCAGGGAATACGTCACGTCTTTCTGTTTGGACGTTCTATACTTCTCCGGACTGCTAATATTTCATTGCCCGCTCTCTAAATAGTTCAAGGTATGTACCTGTGTGTTGGTGCGTAACGCGTGTGCAGACCCCAATCCTTATCAGTGGCAGACGTTGACAACAACTCGTACAGTTGATTGACGTCCATGGACCCGTTACAACAGCCTGAAGATCGCTTTGCACGCGCACTCGAGATCCCCGAAGTGCTCGACTCGATATGCGTTCATCTGGACGACCGAGACCTCGTCAATATGGCTTGTGCCTGCAAAAGCTTCACAGACGTGTGCATGCGGATTCTTTGGGAATCGCCTGTCTTCGAAGGGTCGCCATTGGTCAGGATGAGCCGGTTGTTCCCAGATGGAGTAGGGAAGTACCTAGGTGAAGGACTGGTAAGCCCTTTCCTATGTACCGCGCGGGTCTCGTTAAATGTGCGGCAAGCGCCCGGATATGCGGATTCCATCAACAGCGTTCAAGCGATTTGACTACTACGCTGGACTCATCCGGTCACTCCATCTGTGGCATCACGAAGAGGAAACAGTAATCGCCGTGGTGCTGACAGATAGCCGGCCAGGGCTATGGCTCTTCCCAGGCTTGGTCGACCTCGATCTAGGCGCATCAACCGAAACGCTCCGAACAGCACCGTTCTACTTCAGCCCGTCTATACTCTCTCTCCGACTCAACCACTGGGACCTCAATGGCATGCGCGAGCTCTCGGCGACGGAGGACGTGAAGCGCTCGCTCTTGCGCGCATGTGCTTTGCCAAAACTCGAGAAACTCGATTTGGCAGACGCGCTCTACACGCGCCTGGAGAATGATGGGGACCTTGTGGAAGCGTTCACCGACATTGCACGGAGGGTGTACGATTGTCGTGCACTTTCGTTCCTCACTGTTCCGGGCGTGTTCGCTGCCCTAGCAGGGAACATGAGGCTGCATACGGTGTATCTGAACCTGGTTGATAAACAACGACATCACGAGCATTTGCACGTCGTTCTCTTCCGGCTCCGGGACAATTTTCCTGCTCTGCGCAAGCTTGGGCTCGCTTGTACGGCAGAGCACGCCGTACGCACGCTACAAGAGGCACGGCGCGCGTTCGAGCACATCGATCTGCAGGTCGACACGCCCGTGGAGGGGGGTCAACTCCACGAGATTACTGTTGCCCTCTTCCTGACGAGCAAGGGTCTCCGCTATTTCCGACTGCTCACATCCGCCCATTTGATTTGCCATGTTGATCCTCCTTTACGTCTATATGAGGCGCTCCAGCCTCTGCAGAGCTGTTCCTCGTTGAGACATTTCGAGCTGACGATAACGTTTGACGAAGCGAATATGATGCGGGATGCCGAGCTGGTGGGGTTCTTCAGGCACTGGCCGGATTTGCGCACCTTTGTCTTGAGGTGCGACGTGGATGATGGTCGGGCGTCGGCGGACGATGGGGAAGGGAGCAGTAGTGGATCCGAGAGCGCGGGTGGGAACGGTATCACGCTCCTTCCTCTGGCAGCGGCGGCGCGATATTGCCGTCAACTGGATACGCTCTCCCTGCCGTTTGTGCAGACATCAGTCATTCCAAGTACGGGAGACATTGAGCGCGTCGACACGAGCATCGCCGTACGCTTGACCAAGTGTCATGTGCATAACCACAAGGAAGTAGGGGAGTTTGTGGCCAAGTTGTGGAGAGAGACGTATCTCTCCCTGGCGGGGTGTGCGCATTTTGGCGGGGTGAGGATGACATTGTGAGCCGGCAGAATCTGGTGAACAGACATTGTGTTGACGAGGATTGTACTGTGTTGCATCGTACTTGGCTGTAAAGTACTTCGGAGCAATAGAATTCCGGTGTGCACGAGCCGTGTCTTTCTATACCCACCATGCTAGTGTTTCGTGTACACGGTTTCGTGTCTTGTCCAACACATAGTAGAGGGTGACGTGCTCGGTATCGGCAAACGGTTGCATGCAGAGGATTAGTTGAGTGCGAGGTCGCTAGAGTACCACCATATATAGGGCGGGTTCGGAGATGGAGCTCACGCGCCCCTTTATCAGCTTCAGATCCTGCATGCGGGCTGCACATATATGCGCATGGCTGAGGTCGGATTTGTGGGCGGGACGTGAGCAGAGGCGTAGTGAGTGTATGCGCTAACGAAGGCCACCTCGGGAAGGGGAGGAGAGCATTTTTGCTACACTTCTCTGGAGAAATCGTGTTCTGCAGCAACGGTATCGTCCACATGCAGGCTCGCAGCGGGATTGGGAAGAGCAGGGGGGAGGGCGTTCTTGAATGATCTTCGATCTAAATGATGTTGACGATATATCGTACCTATCTTATAATCGCTGTAGAGAGCATCTACAGCGTACATAAGAATGTCTGCATCCAGCGGCCGCTCGCGCCTTGGCGCATACGGAGGCGTTCTGGAGAGATACGACCATCGGATAGCTCGATCTGTACATGGCGGCTGATTGGCGCTCTTGTGGATGGGAGTGCCAGCCCCAGACGGCAGTTTGGAGGGTGATGGGGAAGGAGGTCACCATTTTCTCTTCATCTATCAAGTCTCAGGTCAAGAATAACGCCAGGAAGGTAAGGACGGACCGCTCCTTGCACACATTCCTTGAACAGTTCAAACTCGGCCTTGCACCCATCCCTAGCAACGTCTTTGTACGTCAACAGTATACAAGCTCCATATGCTCTTGCCTGGAAGCTGTTATTAGGTACTTTCGCAGTATGCACACAGGAGAGACGCACGGGTTGAGCACATGATTTAGTCGCGTTTGCTAGTTTGCGGACTAGGAGTCGGCCTGTTGGTGGTGGTGAGGAGGAGGTCATCGCTGAGGAGAGGGGTCAGGGTGGCGTTGGACTGAATCTGATGGAAAGACGGGGTAAGCCGACACACAACCGACACCCTTTTTGGGTTTCTTTCGGCGTTCCTGTCGAGTGATCGAGTGTTTCTCTCTCTAATACCTTTTTGCTGTCTGGCTAGACTGGATCTGAAAGGACAAAAACACTTGCGTCATCGGCGTCATACATACTTCATGCGGTTGCTCTAGACCATCATGCCTCCCAGTCAACCGCGTCCATCCACCGCCCCCTCAGCCTCCACCCCTTCAGCATCCACAATACCCCGGTCAATCTCCCTCTCTCCCCCGCCTTACCCTGGCCCTCCCACGCTATACCCCGCCCTGGTCACCACCACCACAACGACGACAACGACGACGGTGACCACGACCCAGGTGCAGCAGATCCTGGGTGGTCTGGCACTACCTGGCTTTGGTCTGTTGAGGAGGAAGAGCTCGAGGCCTGGATCGAGAGGCAGTGCGAAGGAGGATGACAGGGAGGGAAGGGCATCTACTGCAACCTTGATGTCGTCTGGACGGTCAACGACGCCCGCTCTTCCCGCTCCTGTACCAAGACCTCTTGACCGCTCTCTCCTGCTCTCAAAACCTCTGCCTTCACCTCCCCAGCCTCTTTCCCCCCACACACCCCACCTCCCTCCCACACCAGCAGTAACCCTCACACCCTCATCCCCTCCTCTCTCAGAGGGCGACACCCCAACGCTGCCTACTCTAATGGAAAGTCCTTCAGCACCCACCGTGCTCGCCCAATCCTCCCTCATACTGCAAGGTCTCGGTCTTCCCCTGCTTGCTCCCCTCCCCCCCGGGGGCTCGTATGCACCTGCCCTCCCCTCTTCTATCCCATCATTAGGTATGCTCGCTTCTCCCATCTCGCTGTCACCGACATCGGTGGTGTCGACCGCCTCGGCTCCTTTGCCGGGAAAGGGAAGGAAAAGGTTCTCGATCCGGAGAGCAAAGAGCTTTGATCGACCGCCATCACCACCACCTCTACCGGCTTCGAGCTCTACCTCTACTTCAATATCGGGAACGTCCACCCTACCCAGTTCCTCACTCTCCCTCCTATCCACCAGCCCCTCGTCCCGGACATCCTCACTCGATCCCTCCCCTCTCGCCCCTAACGGGAAAGTCCATTTCGACGACCGACCGCGCAGACCACGAACTGCCACCCTCCCCGTCTCTCGACCTCCGGGACCAGAGGGATGGGTGGACGTGGGAGCAGAGCGAAACGGTCTGCTGCCCCCTTTACCCCTCTTACCGATTGTCCCGCTTTCACCACTTCAGCTCTCAAGTGAGTTTCCAAGCTTGCAGTCGCCATCTGGTTCGGGCCCCCGTCAGAGCCAAGATATGCGGTCTGAATCACCAAGAACGGGACCGTCCGTACCTCCTATGCCTCCACCTGTCCCTGACGTAGTGGAGAAGAGAGGCTTCTGGAGGAGAAGGCGGATGTCTACCACAAGCACGGGACGACCAAGCAGTCGGGGGAAAGATCAGGCCTCGGGGTCGAGTTCTTCCGGAGTCGGGAACACTCTACCCGGAGATAGCTCTCAGGGACGCACAACTCCGAAGTTGGACGATCCATCTGCTCCGTTTACGCCTTTTCCTGTTCCTGTGGCGTCAGCCAGTGGGGGAGGGGGACTGTGGGAGAAAGCAGCGAGAAGAAGGGCTTCATCGGCCTTTCTAAGAGCTGTTACGGGGGCTAGGGATCCGGATGCTGGAAATGCGAATGGGGGGAGCATGGAGCTTGTCCCGCTTTCGTCTCTGGGGGAAGGAGAGAGATCGGAGGAGGGCCAGAGGCGGAGTGATGTGAACGGGAGGAGAAGCGCGGGAGGAGCGGAAAACCCCGAGCCAGAAGGGAGAAAGCGGGCAACGACGCTGCTCAGTCCTGTTCAGATCCTCCCACAGAGGAAAGATAGCCTGCGACGTGTTGCTCGTGCACTAGGACATGTCGAGTCGGAGTCGCCCAGCGCTGCCAGTGAGCGGGATATATGCGTGTCTCCTGAGGGAGGGGCCTTCGGGACTGTGCCTGAAACCCCCCCATTGGAAGGAGATTGGTCCTCCCCTGTTCCTTCGCCCGCTTCAGCCCCCGACCCAACAGGCGGCACAAAACACCAGGCCAGATCCAGGAGCACCACCCTGGATTCGCTCGCCTCGCTCGCAACTTCCTTCCCTTGGGCTAGGAACTCACTCCTCCTCTCCTCCGGGGTCGCTCCTTATGCGCATACAGCGTCGGATCCCCCTACACCAGGATCGCCCAGTGCTATGAGGCGAGGAGTAGGCCTTCTGGGAATGGGAAGGAAGAGCGGGTCTGTCCCGGTCGGACTTGGGGAGAGTGAGATACCACGGGAGGGGGAAGCGGATCCTGTGAGGGAGGCGAATGCGGACGTCGGGAGAGGATCCAGGGAGAGGAAGAGACGGACACTTGTGGAGATAGAGAGAGAGGTCGAGTTGGAGAGGGTGGTGAGGACAGTTAGTAGAGTCGAGCTTGCCGAGGTGCTCTGTGGGTTAGTACTCGTCCGATCATGGGGTGAGAAAATTGGGCTGACGTGTTCTGGGTATAGGACCCCCCTTCTCGCCCTTCACATTTCTCGGCTCTCGCCCTCACCCTTCCCCGCACCGCAGCTTTACTCCCCCGGTCTGCCGCTGGACATCTCCCTCCGTGTCCTGCTTATGCATCTCTCCCTACCTAAGGAGACGCAAGCGATCGACCGGTTCGTCGAGACGTTCGCCACTGCCTGGGCCGAGCGATATACAGGACTTGTCACTCCTGACCAGGCATATATCCTTGCGTTCAGTATGATCATGCTTCATACGGACCAGTTCAACCCGAGCAACAAGCGGAAGATGAGCAGGGAGGACTATGTGAGGAATACGAGGCGCGATGGGGGAGTGGGGGACGTGGTGCTCGAGGTAAGCGGGACGTTCTTGTGGGTCGACATGAGCTGACGGGATACAGTACTTTTACGACAACATCACTTTGACGCGATTTATCTTTGTGGAAGATGCTGTGGATGTACATGGTCAGCGCTCACTCATGACAGCACACGAGCTCTCACCTTCTGGCATATCCGTTTCTCCTGCCCCGTCAACCTCTAGCAGCGGGGCGCGCAGCAGAGGCAAGAAGATCGACGTGTACTACCTCATTGCGCAGGGCAGGCTGGATCCCCTGCGCCCACCCGTGGGGGCGTGGATACCCCCTTTCGATCCGTTCACGCATGCGGGTGCACACACAGATCGGGGCGCAGACGAGTGGGTGAACCGGTGCAACGAGGCGTTTGCAGGAGCAGCAGAGGTCCGGGTGGACTCTGTCTCTGCTCGGTCGGGTTCTGGGCTCGCGGGATTAGGAAACTTCGGTTCCAGTGTTGGGGGCACCGCGAATGGTGTAGGAACAGCCAGCATGACTGAAGGCCATGATGGTGGGTTGGTCCTCAAGCTCACGAAGGTGGGAACTCTCCTTCGGCGACAAGAGACCAGCGACGGCCCGAGCGGGGGAAAGAAGGCAAGCTCGGGCAAATGGCGCAACCTGGGGGTCGCCATCACTGGTAGCCAGCTACTGTTCTTCAAGGACCCAGTGTGGATAATGAACCTCAAGGAGAGTGCGGATGCGGCTAGGCGCGTTGGGGTGCAACCACCTAGGCTCGCAAGCTTCAAGCCGGACGATTGGGTGTCGCTAAGAGACGCGGTGGCTCTCTACGATACCACCTACCTAGAGGTATGTACGCGCAAATTGATGTAAATCTTGCTGACAGTGCTGGTAGCATGACCACGCCTTCCGTCTCATCCTCCCGCAAAAGAAGCAGTACCTCTTCCAGGTCAGCTCGGAAGACGAGCTGAACGAATGGATGGCACTTATCAACTACGCCGCGAGCTTCAAGACCGCCGGCGTGCGCATGCGCTCTGCGGGGATGACAAGTCGCCAGCTGGGGCTCGCCGCGCTCGCTGCAGCAGAGTCGCACGTGCGCGAAGTGAGATCCGTGAGCGGTGCCAGTTCGCCCGCCCACCTCAGCAGAGTCGTGTCACTGGACGATACCCCTCCGACAGCATCACCAGGAGAGCTTACACCCGTCGAGTCCGGGACGGACAGTGCTACTGCCGTGTCCAACTCACCTTCCTTACCCTCGCTCCCAGATCCGGCAGACCAGCTGGAAGCAACTTTCAGGGAGATCAAAGCAGAACTAGCGGCTATTCGGCCCGTAGTAGGCGAGCTTGGCCTTGGGGTACCCTCTCTCATCGCCGCAAGACGCAGTCCAGGAACGCGGGCGAAGAGTCTCTTCATCGGGCACGCTGATCATCCATCGGACTTGACCCGCTCTAGCAGCCTTGGGCCACTCATGAACAGCAGCCTCAACTCCTCTGGAGAGTTCAGCCTCCGCAAAGGCTGGCTCGCTTCGCGATCTGAGGTCATCGAGCGCAAGATCAGCTCGTTCGAGCAGGAGATTACCAAGATCGAACCGCATCTCGAGGCAGACCTGCGTGCTGCTCGGAACCTTGGCATGCTCACGCCTTTCCTCAAGTCCACGAGGGAGAAGATTAACGCTGCTGTTCAGCCACTGGGGCGGCGGGTCACGCAACTCCGTCTCGACCTCGCTAGGCTGAGATGCTATTGCGACGTCCTTCGCTCGGACTTGGAGGCGGAGCAGCGTGAATGGGCAGAGACAAAACAGACTGCGTTCGATGTTGCCGAAGCGCGGTTGGGCGGACGAGGGCGTGGTCTGCGCGTCGACGTTCCACGCATGACACTCTCCATGCACCTAGAGTCGCCCCGGGAACTAGAGACGGACTCGCCTGACGAGCCGCGGCAGGAGCGCATGCCTGGACGGCCGGCTAGCACGATGACGAATGAGTCCTATCACTCCGGTGACAAAACGTGGAGTCCCGAACCTTCACCTGCGTTTAGTGCGCCGATGAGCCTGATGCGATCGACATCTACCCTTGGTGTCTCGAGGGTTGTGGCCACCACAGACGATATTCCTACGCCTACCAATGGACGTTTCTCACTAGATACCGCTTCTCCTATCACACCCTCCACATCAAGCTTCGCACCTGCCCAGCTGCAGACCAATCTAGATCCTGAGGACGTGTTGCCTACAGGGGCGTCCCCAATCTCACCGATTACGGCGGAAGAAGAGATGGCGGAGGACTGGGAGGCGACCCGTTGCGCAAAGCGGGTTTCACTTGTTCAGATCCCTTCGTCTGCGCTCCAACCAAGACTGTCAGCTCATGCACACAAGCCGGAAAGCTCTTGTCACCTCCCAACGGGTGCGGGTATTGTATGATAGACGGTTTGCTGTGGGTGGACCCGTTTGTCTATTGTTGATTTCGATTTTTACAATTGTGACGGTATTGCCGATGTGTAGATCGCTTGAAAGCCACCTTTGACGATGTTGAATTTGTTGGGTTCTTGGATGGATACGTACAGCTTTGAGTCACAATTTCTGAGCTTGGTCTCGGAAAAGAGACCTGGATCCTACAGGGTTGTTTCTTACATACGCACCGTGTATGACATCATCTCGCGTCGAAGTCACTCCTGACTAGCAACCATCATCATACTCCTCTTTCTTGAAGAACACCCAGCTCAATACCTGATGTACACCGGCTTCCTAATCCCACATAAGGACACATCGTCCCTTGGTTGGAACGACACAACCTTCGGAGGTGGTTGAAGGAAAACAGTTGGGGTGACGGCTTCAATTTCGGTCTTCCAACCGGTGCCGAGGTTGCGCTCCAAATGTACCTGAAGAAACACCTCGGCCTCAAGGCTCGCAACGAGTGCTTGAGGCGAGCTATCAAATGGGACTATGCCGGTGTCTGGCTCATTAGAAAAACCCGCAACCCGAACGAGTTGTGCGACATGTTTGTTGCCCACCGATGGTATCCTACCCCACCACCGGTCGAGCCAGAGTACGAGTGTTCCGAAAAAGACCTTGCAAACAAGTTGCGCTCGGTCGGTCTCGCCAACTTCGTCTTTGACTCTGTGATAACCTGCAAGGGCAGGACGGCGAATATGGGCATAATATACGATCCTACCAGCGATATAAAGCGAGATCCCCGTCCAACCTGAAACTGCCGTCGTCACAGGAAAGGCGGACTCCTAAGTCTGCCCCTGCGGCCCTGGCCCTCTGCACGACCCGAAAGTTGTATGTACTGCCAATACTCAGTGTTGCCAATATGAGATCTAGTATACGGTAGGTCGATATAGAGACAAGAGACCAACATTGATGCGTGTGTTCGTCCCATAGACTACTAATCGTTGCCCTTCCAGCTCATTACACGGTGCGTATCGTCAGCTGCACCTTCCATAGACTCCTACTTGTTACTGTGATTAGCGACGGTTTCTTATCGATACCTGTGTAGGAGCATGCATAAGATCTAGTACTACTGTGCCAACATAGAAAAGCGTATATCCACCGCAAGCCTGATCTGTCATCTGTGGCGTAACACCTACACGACAACGTGACTACCACACGCGCCCGCCGCTTGCCACTTTGCATCTAACCGCCCCTCTATAACTCTTGGAGCGGCATCCTCAGCACTATGGCACTTACCAACGTAATCGACTCACACCTCATCAGCTGGCAAGGCCGATGGTCTGCTACTGCGCCGATAACCAGTGCCTGGGGCGCGAGTGTGCTCCTGTTCAAGACGGACGCGCCTAAGATTATACTTAGAACGGGAGGAGGATCGCACGAGAGCTCGGGTGCGCCTGACTATGATGAGATGTATCTAGATGGTTAATGGAGAGTGATCGTAGTCGACTCGATTAGGTTTGGAAAAAGAGTGGTTCCCTGTGTAATCTGTGAGCGCCCCCACTTCTCCTCCCTGTTCCTCGACATTGCTGACAAATGTGCAGTCTGGAGAGCAGGCAATGGAGGGATACAGAAGAGTCTTATCAGCGGACAGAAGGAAATACTGCTCTACGACGGTCCGTCGATTGAAGGAGGACAGGTTATCGAGCTTGTATTCGGAGAGAATGGCGGTCATCTCGAGCTAGATCAGCTTCTCGTTTCTGGTGGGTCGTCGTCCCTTTCTGGATATCGTCCCACGCTAACCGTCCCAGACGGCCACTCTCTGCTTCCTCTCTCTCCCACCTCGGGTAGCAAACCTCTCAGGCTCCTCTTCATCGGTGCCTCCCAAACTACAGGTGTATCAACCCCAGACGTCTATCCTCCGCCTCTCCCATTTGGGTCCTTCACTGGCTGGCCTCTGCTCTTCACACGGGACCTCCGTTCCACGGGCAGCGAAGTGTTCACCACCGTTGTAGCGCGACCTGGGATCAGACTCATAGATGGACTATGGGATGGAAGGGAGTTTCCCGGCAAGGACAAGAAGGTTTGGGATGGTTGGGAGGGTGTTGGTGGATTTGAAAGCAGGAAAGGGGGACTGGAGGCAGAGTACGCAGATGTGTTTTTCATCTGTATCGGTTTGTTTGATATTCCTATGGTCCTAAAGCATAGACCCGTTGACTCGATGGAAGGGTCGAACGATATTTCCAGCGGTATTTCGGCTTCGCAGTTCCTGGAGGTGCTCAAGAACTTCTTCATCGCCCTCGTAGCACGCCTCTCTCCTCCCTTGCGACATATCGTCTTCGTTGCACCATTTGGATTTCACAGTCGCACCTCCGATCGCAGCTGGAGTCGCACAGGCGTGTTCGAGTCTGAGATCGAGCAGATGGTCAATACGCTCTCGAAGGAGTGGGAGAACAAAGGTGGTGTGGAGCAGGTGTGGTATGTTGGAACGGCGGGCTGGCTAGATGGCAGTCTATGCCCCGATATGCTCCACCCTAACGAGGAAGGGAATCGCGTGATTGCAAAGAAGCTGAGAGAGCGGTGCGGTGCGAATTTGTCGAATGTGTTCTGATAGTATGGAAGAAGCTGGGTAGAGAATCAAGGTGAGAGCAGTTTGTATGATAGTAATGGAAAGCAAGATTAATGTGAATGTATCACTGCACCACCGACAGAATCCAGGCATCGGAATTATCGAGAAACCAAGAAGGTGATGATAGGACGAGGAGTGAAACTCACCGGGCACACAGCGCTTTTCCGACAATACGAAAGATACTTTAGAATTGGATGGATAAGCCTCTAAAAGCCAGTGAACTCGTCAAAAACCACTGCCAACAAACTTGAGTGCATCACCAATTTGGATGGAACTTTACGTGCCACCGGAGGTCTTTCCATGATTTTCACTCATTTTCGTTAAGCGCTCGCTGACGTCATTCCTTTGACTCACGTGACAGCACCCACGAACGGCCATAATCGTCCATTTGGCTAACATCGCGCAGTTCTCATCAGAGGAATCATCACATGCGCAGGACATTACTGCGCTGACAGAGGGAGATCCACCCTTCTTCTCCTCACTGCATTCTACCTCTTCCCACCCTTTGCAACAAAACGATCAGCACGATGACACTCGCTAATGTGATAAATTCACCGTTGATTAGCTGGCAAGGTCGCTGGTCTGCTGCCAATCCCGCGACCTGTATTTGGGGAGCGAGCGTGATGTTGCTCAAGACGGATGCACCCAAGATTGTGCTCAGAACGGGCATGGGAACGAAGGGGAGTACGGGTGAGCTTGCGCTTCGGCATGATGGCCAGATGCCTGACAACAGATAATCTAGTTGACCATCCTCGGCTTGGGAAGCTGGAAGTTCCTTGTGTGATATGTGAGGGTCTTCGCCTCCGGTCCTCGCCATTGCTCATAGAGGTGCAGACTGCAGAGCAGGCGAAGGAGAGATACAGAGGAGCATGATCAGTGCAGCAAACGACATTGTACTCTACGACGGTCCGTCAATCAAAGGGGGACAGGTTGTTGAGCTTGTGTTCGGAGCGCTTGGAGGCCGCTTAGAGCTTGATGAGCTGCTCATTTCCGGTACGTGTCATTGTCGCTCTCCCTCTTGTTCCCACGTTGACAATCGCAGAGGGATACTCGTTGTTTCCCCTCTTTCCCACCCCAGATACCCAACCTCGCAGACTCTTATTCATTGGTGCATCCCAGACCACGGGCGCATCTGCTCCGGACATTCGCCCGCCCCCTCTTCCATACGGGTCCTTCACCGGGTGGCCTCTGCTGCTGACTCGCGATCTTCGTTCTTCAGGCAAAGCCGTGTTTATTACCGTCGTTGCGCGACCGGGAATTCCCCTGGTAGAGGGAACTAGGGAGGAGAAGGAGTTTCTTGGGATGGATAAGAGGTTCTGGGATGGATGGGAGGGCGTCGGTGCATTCGGAAGCCGGAAAGGTGGACTGGAAGCAGAGAAGGTAGATGTGATCTTCATCTCTATTGGTTCGTTCTATCTTTCTGTGGTTCTGAGCACGTTCTACTGTAGCTCACCTTGGCGGCAGGGTCGAATGACATTTCTAGCGGTGTTTCTGCTGCGGATTTCCTCGAGGCTCTCAAGGGATTCTTCAACACACTTGTGGCACGCCTCTCTCCTTCCTTGCGTCATATTGTCTTCGTCGCGCCGTTCGGCTTTCACAGTCGTTCCCCCAACGGCGACTGGAATCGCACAGGCGTCCTTGAGCCTGAGATCGAACAGATGATCGATGACCTGTCCAATGAGTGGGGGGGCAAAGGCTATGCGGAGCAGGTGTGGTATGTTAGAACGGCAGGCTGGGTAGATGGTAGTCTGTGCCCCGATATGCTCCACCCCAACGAGGAAGGGAATCGCGTGATTTCAAGGAAACTGAGAGAGTGGTGCGATGCGAATATAGGGGACATACTCTAATATTAGAAAGAGAGATTCACAAGACATCATCGTGCCTGTTCGCTGCTGGTGGTGTGGCCCTATGTAACTGTATGTCGGGTATCGACTACGTTGGGACCGTATTCTAGAGGAATCCAGCGCAGATCCCAGTCAAGATATACCCAGTGACCGGTCCAACGGACGAGGAACATCTGGCTAGGGCGGTATTAGACAGGCGGGTAAGTCTCGAGTCCCATCACACGTACTCCTGATGAGGCACTGAGTTGTTATTTGTCCATACGCGCTAACGTCATATCTGAGAAAGTTGGTCGTCGAACATCTCCACGCGAAACGGCCATTTCATGCAGGATATGATCCCATTCTACTAAGAGGGCATCAACAAAGATACCAAGGACCAGACCGACGATCAACATACGACTATGATGTTTCTGGACCAATCGAAAATCGTCTTGGGTTGGAAGGGCCGGCAGGCCGCGATTTGCTTCGTGTATCAACCGCTCCGCCAGGACAAGAAGTCCCTTCCTTTCGTTCCGACTTTGAAGCCTAATGGTCGGGTCCTTGATCAAGTTGAGAGCCAGCATCAATTGCTCTTTTCGTGTCGAGGGTCGTCCCTTAGGCTCCACGATGATCTCGCCAAAAGACTTGAAGAACCTTGGTAGGATCATGCCGTTGCTGAGTTGCGGCAATGAGTCAGAGGCATCTTCTTCATCTTCAAGGTGAACCAAGTCCTGTGTATCGTCCACAGCCTCGTCGCCGACCACTGGCTCCGGGTGCTTCTCCAAGTACCGCCAATAGTCTTGCACGAGGCTGAGACCGCTGTCCATGTTTGCCTTATTATAGAGCAGCATTTCGGCCCATAACAACTTTCCCTCTCCCGAATTTGCCCGTGCACTCCAGGCGGTGGACGCTGCGGCTCTCTCGTCATCGTGATTGCAACCCCAAAACTTCTTGTGTTTTTCCGGAGTAATTCCTGGCTTCAAGTAATACCACTGGGCTGCTCGGCCAGCACCCCAAGTGGTCCGAAATACGAGAGACTCGGCGTATTCTCGGGCCTTGTCCAGTTTCAGTGGCAACACGTCCCAGACAGGGGTCAGACGACTGTGCCACACAGCGAGGTTCCAAGAACACGAAGGAGAGCCTTTGTTCGAGTCAGCAATCAGAAAAAAAAACAGAACTTGTTTCTTCATCGCACCCCGTTTATGTCCCTCTTCCCAGAAGAGGCGCGCGAGCATTCCATTCCTCTCTGTCAGTGTACCAGCCGCATAAAGCCTTCCTAAGAGGGACATTGCCATCCGGCGACCCTTCGCAGCTGCACGCTGCAGGGCATCCACCGAATCCTTGGCAAGTTCATTGCGTTTCGTTTCGCTCAAGCGGCCATGCGTACGAAGCAGCTCCGATTCCAGAAATGCGGAAAGACCCAAATAGGCTTCTACGAGATCTTCACCGCGTTCCTTGAACCGCCGTAGAGCATGATTGATCCTTTCGTATTCCGGCGAAACCTCGTGGTTAACGGCGTAATAGTAACTTTCCCGTGCCTTCTCCTGCAACAACTCATATGCTGCGGCGGGAACACCACCTTCCTCGCCATTATTTAGGGCAATCCAGAGCAGAACACGTTTCAGATGACTGAGCCCTAAAATATTGTCAGAAGGGTGAGAGGAATTCGGTTGAAACCAAGAACGAGCTTTGGAGTGAGCGCAACTGATTCGCCAAATGATACAACATCTGTCTAGGTGGGAGCTTATGATGTGAGGCAGACACAACTTGTTGTACCATTAGCCACAACACCAACATGCGAAGATGTTTACGCACATCGGAGGATCTCCGCCTCTGCCGCTGGATCTGCAACATTCCCTTTTTCAGCCAAGTCCGCCAATTGCATTAGCTCGAAGTGGGTAAGGCCCGTCAAGTGCCGCAAATTCTTGAATTTCGCATTGCCGAGTCGTCTCCAAAGCATCCTCGCCATGAACAAGCCGGGGTCGTCGGGGTCGTCGGGATTTGGTCGCATGACTTCATCGGCTGGTGTACGTAGCCACGCAGGGGCGACAAAATTCGAAGTGAGAGCCTCCGAATTGGAGGGCAATGGTGGCTCCACACGTTCAGAGGAGTCATGAGGAGGTGCGTCAACGTTAGGCTGGTGGGCAGTCAGCAGTGAACTTGAGTTGCGCGTGCCTCGAAGACTGGAGGCCCAAGCCGACGTTCTTGATGCATGAGCGGAAGTCCATGACCTATACAAGCCAAGCAAGAGTACAGCAGAGCCGCGCATTATTACAGCAGAGTATGAAGTTAAGCAGTGGATATATTATATTCGGTGCAGTACTGTGTGTAGAAAGCTCGTCCAAAGGTAGGAAAACAGGACCCTGAGGTCGGAAAATCCTCGGCTCCGAAAAAAGTCGTAAGCGAGGTCATGTTTTGATGATGTCTACCACAAGCAGCCACAAAAGAATTAAACAAAGAATGGCACAGGGCCATAGTAAAACTATGTATATAATCATCGATAAACCTCCCGGGCCTAAGCCACTCCCCCCAAGTCGCGCCACATCAACCTCCTCTCCGGCCAGCAGCCCACCAGTTCTCCCTGAGCGTCTTCGAACCTCACTCCATTGGCTGCACACAAGTCCCGGATCGTTCGCAGAGTCTTGGCGTGCTCAGGCTGGGGGAAGCTATCGTCCCGCTCATCGGAGAGAGGTGATGGGAGGCTGGAAGGGAGGGGCCGCGGGTTGCTGACGGGGTTCGTAACGGCGTCGAGCGGAAACGGCCCCACTGTTCCTATTTCAGTCCTTCCCGCGCCTAGCAAAGCTCCAGAATTCCCACGATTCCTCAAGCTAGCATCCTCGGTGCTTTCATGGACACGCCTCGCGCTGACTCTCCCCTTCTGGACATCGAAGAACCTGATCAACTCCAACCTACATACATCACCGCCAATCAAGCCAATAACCGCATCGAGCACGTTCTCCAAATGTGTCCTTGTTCTTCGGTCCTCTTCTTCTTCTCCTATCCCTGGGAAGCCTACACTGTGCGCGCCGATCCAGAAACCGTAACACCCTACTCGTCGCAGGTTCGAATGAGAGCGGGGGACGCAAGCAACGCCGTACGCTGCACCTGGGAGGCACGTTACAAATTCCTGTGCGTTTGGGCAGAGAGCGAGAAGAGCCCAACCGAGCGAGGGCAGGAGGAGGAGTGGATCAAATGTTTCGAGTACTTCAAGCGTCTCTATTCCCTGACCGTGGGAGTGGAAGAACGCGGCGAGCCCTGGAGGAAGAGGCGGCTCTTCGGTGAACAGTCCGGCGGGTGGGTGGGGAGGAAGGGTACCGATGGGCGTTAGGTGCGGCTGCCAGGCATGCATATATGTCGGAACGAGTGCTGCAGCCGCAGGAAGGGGGACAAGAGGCGGGACAGGCCAGTCGGCGTCGGGTTCTCCTCCGTCATCGCCATTGCCCTCAGGGGCAGCAGCAGCATTATCGGGCCCGGGCTGCTGGGTCCGCCGGAAATCTCGCTCGATCTTGAGATACTTGAGGTGGGGCATCTGTAGCGTTGACATCCATCCTAGGAGAGCGTCACATGCTTCGGATAGGCAGAATGCGAGGGTATGCAGCGCCAGTGGAGGGAGAGATCCATAGGCCAGGAAGGGCTCCTCCGTGGGTGTTGTTGTCGTGCCGGATGTCGTTGTAGACGGCAAAACGACGTAGGTGAATCGAAGTACTTCCAGCTTCGGGCAGTGGGCAAGCAGTGAATATACATCTCGTGTAGTCACGTTCCACTCAGAGTACGAGAACGTGCGCAGCGTCTTGCCACATGCGTTCACCACGGCCTGGGTAAGGTTGGATACGTATACCCCGCACCACATTTCCTCCAGCTCCGTACAATGCCCTATAATCCGGCGCAACAGTCCCTCATCAGGTCTGTTCCTCCAGGGTGTGGGCATCCCTGCGTTCTCAGCGCCTGGCAAGAACTCGAGCCGTCTTACGAGCCTGCCCACCCGACCGAAGGGGCGGTCTTCGGCGAGTGCGATGATGGTATGGCGGGCATCCATATCCATGGGAACTACGAGCCATTCGATGTTCGTGCGCCATACAGGGAGGCGCTGGCTGAGCTTGCGAAAGGCGCGTGAGACTTGAGCAAGTCGCCGGCGCGTGCGAATCGCAGCGAGCTTGTCGCTGTAGGTGCAGGCGATGGATGAGCGCAGTCCGTCCCAGTGCATCTGCGGCGGGGTGAACGGAGATAGTGTGAACGCTCCCGTTCCTGGGTGGATGGTCCCCGAGAGTGATGGAGAGGGTGGATGGATGAGGTAGCCTGGTGGAAGGGGTAGGGAGACGGAGAAAGAGAGAATTAACTCCCATATTTCGGTAGGAACGCGAGAGAGGACTGAAGGTCGGGAGGTGGATAATGTCGAAGATGCAAATGCCGGTTGAGAGGTCGAGGAGCACATCGTTTGAATAAGGAGAAAAGGAGAAGAATCGTGTGTCGCCGAGGAGTGGATGAGGAGGTCGACAACAAACAAGCGCTCAACAAAAGGGTCTCCCCTCTGTACGGTCATCCCCACGTGACACTGGCTGGCAGCTCCCATACACCAGATGGTTTTGGATGCCGTTGCGCGGGGAACTAAAAATTTATCCGATTTAATGTTCATAACCTTTTCATAGCTGGCATTGTACAGGAACTCCCATGGTATCGAAAAAATGAAGTGATTGTGGGATCACACCATGCTGCTTAAGCAGGTGAACGGAGGTTACCAATACCGTTATATTGACCGCTTCTAACTTGCAGCGATTCTCCCGGTCTGTCCTACCAAGTCCATTCTGCGCTGTGCAATGCGTATTGTTGTCCAATAGTTCATTGCCATTGTTATAGCATGAATCGGCAGCAGCCGTAAAATTGAGCAGGTGAACTCACGTCAAAGTCCAAGGGAACAATATCTCTTCTTTCAAGGTGCAATCTTTCTCCTCTCAATATAGAAGCAAAAACAAACTTGTCCTAGCCAACGGAGCGTAATTTGCGTGCAAACTCTCTATCGGATGGACCGTACTGATCCTGTGTGAACCGGGCACAATACCATCTCATGGTAATGAAAACACCAGGCTGGTTGGTCGTCTTGCCAGTTCTGTACCGCATACAAACGTGTAAGTAGTCGACTTCGTACTTGGGATTCAAGTGCCAATGCCGGCACTCGACGCCGGCGAACTCCTTCAAATACGCTTCGACAGCATACCGTGCCCCAAGCGACAGCCCGTGGGAGAGCTGTGTTGGATCCAAACCATGTTCTTGTCGCCATGTGCTAAGGTTTCGTTCGTTCTACCATTCTTAAAAGTTGGTAATTGGGATGAAGAAACCGGTTTCCATAGTAAGAGAGAAATTATTGCACTGTGAACCAAGAGACTGGATGTTGCACTTACACACCTTTGCAGGACTTTGATAGCGTAGTTGGTGCTGCACGTTGAGGTTGGTTATTGTGAACATGACTGTTTGGTTCGTCGCGACCAGAAGACCAGGATAGATGGACCTATCTTGATGACTGCAAGGTGGCTCCGCTAGATCTATTAGAAGAGGAAGCAAAGCAGCGGCATTGTCAAGAGAGGGTCGGGACAGAGGGACAGATGAGTTAGGTGTTGGTGTGTGTCGTTCGACTAGGGAAAGGTCAGCTTGCTCATAAGGGCAACCACGTAAAGCTTTTGACAGATGAGAACACGATACTAGAAATACAGGTCTGCAAGATCTAGCACCTTGACCTTGACATTGCATGAAATGCTCTCGCAGGCAAGGAGCGGAAGGAGATAGCCAAGTAACCGGTCCCTCACTTCTAGGGATGACAGAGCATACCGCAGAGACCGTACGCGTCATGCAAGACTGTACTGCAAGTGCTTGGTAGTGGTGGGCGGCACGGGGAGGGGCTGTCCGGATAGGTCGATTGTCATCGGTAATCGTGGCAGCCATTTGTAAAGTGCTCTGGTCTTTCCACGCGACTCAGCGTCTCGTTCAACGGGGCGTACATCCAGAGCACGTGACTAGAAGGAAGCGCGGCTCCGAGAAATCAGGGTGCGCAGCAAACAAAAGCTCTCGATCCTTTTTCCGAATGCATGACGCGCCAGTGGATCAAGACACCTCGGTCCGATTCTGCGGTATGCGAGGTGAGATCTGCTTAAGGGATGCCGAGGGAGGATTAAGGCGCGTTTTGTACAAAGCTGTTTTCTGTATTAGGCCTGAGCTGTACATGTGTTGCGGTTGATGAAAAGGGCCCGAGAGAATCGAACCCTAAAAATAAAGAGCCGTCTGGGCTCTGGCCGAACCGATGGGGTGTCAGGGCGGGATGGCGATGTAAAGGTGTGTTGTCATGGCGTGAATTGAATACGTTTATGCTCTTACCCCCTTAGCCCACCTCTGTCCCCCCCCTGAGTCCCCTCCCTTCTTTACCTGCAAACCGTCCCCTCGTTTTTATCCCCCCAATCACTTGTCTCTTTCTACCTCACCTCAACCTCGCCCACTCCTCTCTTAACCGCTCAGACCCACCCCAGGTCTCTCGTTTGTCCGTCCTTTCACGTACGTCCCCTCTTTTTCAACGCTCAGCTCATTTCCACCCCCTTCTTCTCCTTCTCCCCTGCTCTCTCTCGTCTGCACGGGAGAATCCAGTCAGCCAGCATGCATTCTAACACACTCTCATCCGACATCGACGCTAACTCCCTCTCTAGGGCCATCACCGCCGCTCGTTAAATACCACCACATCTTTCACGCAGACCGTAACCCTTACCCGCGCTCTCCGTCTTCACCTGCACCCGCACCCTCACCCCTTTCAACCACCTCAAGCAACTCAACATGCGCGCCTCGGTCTTGCTCATCGCTCTCCTCCCCTTCTCCCTCGCCCTCGTCACCCCTCTCAACCGCGCGGCCCACCATGCCGCCCTCGCACGCCTCACTCCGGCAGAACGGGGGTCCTACGAGTCTTCCCCCCACTACGAGCTCATGCAGAAAGGCTCTGAGGCGGAACCCAGCAAGCGCAGCGTGAACAAGAAGGGCAAGCGTTGCACTCCTAAATCGGGTGGATCTGGTGCTGGTGGTGGTTCCAGCTCCAGCGCCGCCTCGGACCCTACCCAGGGCAGTGACAATGGTGCTGGGAACGTCGCTGGCTCGCGTACGTCCCTCTTTAGTACATGTATGCGCGTGTTCTGACCGAGATCCTACTCTACAGCTACGGCACAGGCTCAGGACCCTCCTCCCACTTCCACTCCGACCTCCAGCAGTGCCGAGCCTACTCCCAGCCCGTCGTCTGGCTCCGACTCTGGCTCAGACTCTGGCTCCGACTCCGGCTCCGGCGGGTCGGCCAACGACCCTCTTGGGATCCTGAACGGGTCCCATACCGGCCAGGGCACGTTCTACGACGTCGGTCTCGGCGCGTGCGGTGTGACCAACGTCCCCTCTGACGCGATCGTTGCCGTCTCGCACATCATCTATGACGGGTTCCCCGGTGCGACCGCCAACCCGAACAAGAACCCTATCTGCGGGAGGCAGATTACTGCCACCTACAAGGGTGTGACACAGATCGTTACCGTGCAGGATAGGTGTGTCGGGTGCGCAGAGTGGGACTTGGACATGAGCACAAGCGTGTTCAACAGGTTCGCCGACCCGGCGGAAGGAAGGATCAGCGGGGTGGTGTGGGACTGGGTCGTGTAACCTTCTGTCTCCATCAAGGACTGGACGCAAGCCGTCCAGCTGGCTAAGGGGGGTGCCAGTCGTCCCCCTTCCCTACCCGCACCCCTTCCTCATCTACCTCATCTCCGCACTGATCAACTAGTCTAGTTCTCTTTTCTTCTTCTCGTGTATTTGTCCGCTGTGCGGGCCTGGCTCTTATGTCCGGCAAGCCGGGGTAGGAATGTAGGTATATGTATGGATCGCGGGCCGTGCCTGCTGCTTTTTGCTTGGAGTTTTATGTCATGGTTGCGTACCTGGTGTGATGTTCTCTGTTCGGAAACGCGCTCAGCAGAGCGGTCCTCTACTGCTTGTCTCCATTTCATGGAGAAAATGCGCACATTTTTCATGTGCCCGGTGGTGAAATTGAGTGTCACGTGATCCTATGCAACCTTAGACGCGTCCCATGTCTCGCACCGGTCTGCGGGCATCTCCTATTCCCTCTGTTCGATTAACTGTTTTATAGCTTTATGTATGGAGCTTTCTGCACTGCCAAAGGATGAACAGCCCCATTCATCTGCTCAGGATAAGTACGCGGACTGGGCGATGACCAACGCAATGAGTCTGGCGAACTGAAGGAGCTCCTATGTGCCGGAGTGGGCAAACGTTACCTGCCAAAACTAAATAACACTGGCTCGCGTCTATACTCTCACACGTGAACGACATTGTGATGTGAACAGAGGGAAGAGGTCGATTTGCAAAGGACGACGTATGCGCGAGGTTCGTCAGAGCGACTTGCTGATCTGCGAGTCGCCGAGGGCTGCATAGAACGTCCGACATACCTCTGGGCTGGTATGCGGTCATGGTAGATGGTGATGGTTCTGGTCAAAAAGCGTTACATCTCCGCGTCGCCGCTGTATCAGTACCTGCTCCCCGGTCAGAAATTAGTCTGCAGACAGAAGTATTTGTCGCGGGCAGGCAAGGGACTATTTTTAGGGGTCTGGCATTCACGTGACCCTTCGACTTTAATTTGTCGCGACGGCGCGCAGTGAGTTCACTCCGAACGACCAACTGATGGAGCCTTCAACACCACCAAATAACGAACAACTCCGGTCGTCTGTAGCGGATACCCCGTATGGCCAATGGCCAACCTCCACGCAACTATTTGACTCCCGTGAACTCGACATCCACCAAAGGCACCTGACTGCTGAGCTTGGCCCAACGTTGCCTGTGAAAACGAAATCACATTGGCTCTCATCTATATTGCCTCATTTGGACATCAGTCCATCCGATGTGAAACATGTATACGACCACATCGTCGCGACGGGGCAATACAATCCTGTGACGAAGGCTTGGAAAGACCTGCCGAAAATCCCAAAAAGCGACCCCAGACACGAAACGGAGGTCTATGCGGCGCTCATCCCTATCATCAGTGCGATTATCGAAGCTGCATCTGCATCTTCAATATTTGCCTCACCGAAGTTGGTTTACCGGCAGAGGCCGTTCACCCCACCCGTACACGGCCGCCAAGTCGATCGGACTGAACCGGACGCTTTTTCCGTGACCAAAGCGTCGTCCACAGCTGTTGCTAAAACTCCTGAGCAAGTAAGTTGGCTCGACATTCGCGACATCGCGGAATTCAGGAAGAACGACACTCCGGGTGATTTGGAAGATGTCTGTCTCATTCTATCATGGACCTGGACGTCGCTTGACTCTTGCAGGTGATATGGCATCTGCATATGCCCCTCGACAACGATCTCAGACGCTGGTGCACCTATGGAGAGACGATTGCCGGCATGATCATGCGATGCTACAAGATGTCGAGAGAAGGTGTGGTGGTGTCGGAGGAGGTTGACATAACCGAGGTGTGTCCCGAGGCTTTGCGATTCTACCACCAATATGATACTGATCTAACTAGGAACCCCGTTTCTTTATCGAATACGTGATTCGGATTGCATTCGGAGAGGAATTCGACCTTGGGATCGATCCCACCATCATACTGAATGGAAATCGGAATTACGAGTTCAGGATCCCACACACTGGGACGATAAATAAATATACTTCGAAGACGAGGCTTTTCAAACATCGCCTCCATCATATTCGTGGTCGTGCTACCCATGTATTCCTGCTAGAGGATGACGACGAGAAGACAATGGCGGTGTTGAAGGATGCTTGGCTTGAAGTTGATCGGCCCTCAGAAGGACAGATTCTCGGGAATGTCTTCGAGGCCTATGAGAAGACTATTCCAGCCGACTGCTCTGTTGTGGAGAGGAAGCAGCGAATGGATCGCGCGCGCCGGTATTTTATCCCTATCATCACTTCTTGGGCCGTGCAAGACGTGGTTCAAGGAATGATCATGACGCCTGGCGATGTTGAAGATGATGATCCGAACAGCAGTGCGGGCGTGTTCGAACTTCCACGAAACGTGGCGTACGACCAACTCGCATCCGCCACCCGTAGTCTGGGGACTAGCCTGAGCGGAAGTTACCCTCCTGTGACAGCTGTTACCCGCAGAGCGAACGGTACACCCCGCATGCAGCGGCAGCGCTGGAGAACTGTCTATGGGACTGTTGGCATTCCTTTAAACAATGTTTCGAATGCGAGGCATGTCAGTATTGTTTTGCGCGACTGTTCCGCAGGTGACCACGATTCCCCCTTTATATTGCCTTTGTTCTAAACGTCTTCAGCACTCATGCTGCTGACTCAGGCTGAGTATCGGCATAGAGATATCAGTCTCTACAATATGTACCTAGTGGAAGAGAAAGTCAAGGAGCC